GAAAACTGATGACTTCTGAGATGCACAACACAGTGAAAGTAAGACCTCTGTAAATTCTCTCATTTTAATTAAGCTATAAAAGCTTTTTGTTGACGGTCTTTTGTGTGCTCTTTGTGGTCCAGATCACTCCAGAGTATAAGCTCTCGATCCCTAAACTACCGAGTCCCAGTGGAGGAGAGAAGGAGAGGAAGGAGTCGGGTAAGAAAAGTGCCCATTACGATCAGCAGAGCCTGGAAAACGAGAAGCAGTTGAGTCCCAGTACTCTATGCCTGCCTGTGTGTCGCATTAGTGAGTCAGTGCAGCAGCTAATGGACTTGGCCATACAAACTCTGTCTGAGGCGGTGGGCAGCTCCCCCCAGTGGTATGTAGCAGGCAGCCAGATGTTTTTGGGTCCATGTGAAAGCTGTAATTACGGAGCTACATTAATTTGGTCTTTTTCTTTCAGTGCAGTCCAGCTTTTCTACACAGTTCGAAACATATTTCACCTGTTCTATGATGTTGTGCCTACATATCACAAGTGAGTTGGTGTATTTTTATTGCAGTATTCTTGGTAGACTGGGTTTTGTTTTTAATGTGTTGCTGTTTTTATAACTTAGGGACAACTTATTGAAGTTACCTCACTTGGCTGCCATCCAACACAATAACTGCATGTTCATCGCTCACCAACTTTTAACCTTGGGTTTCCAGTTTAAACCTCACCTTCCTTTGAAAGATGGGGTGTCTTATTTTGTAGACTTGGTCCCAGGTTTCAGAAGACTAGGTAAGGGACGCTTACATGTTTTATGATACTGTTTACATGTTTTATTCAGCAAGTATACATTACAATTGATCAAAAGTGACAACAAAGATGATACAAAAGATTTCTATTTCAAAGAAATGCTGTTCTTTTAAACTTTCTATTCATCAAAGAATTGTAAAAAAAATAAAAATAATAATAATTACACAAATATGAAGCTGAACCGTTTTCAACGTTGATGGTAATACTAAGATATTTTTCTTGAGCACCAAATCATCATAATACAATGATTTCTGAAGGATCATGTGACACTTAAGGCTTGAGTAATGGCTGCTTATTTATTTTTTTACACAATGTTGCAGTTTATTATGAATGATTTATCTGTGCACATTTATTTATTTAAAGGAGTCATAACCTGTAAGTTTCACTTCTCCACGAGAATCAATGTATGTTATGATTGCCTAACGATTATACATTGGCCGGGAAGCCGATATTCAAAAGTGAAGCGTTTGTTTACCCCAGGGTTCGTAAACCAGCCCACGTGCACGCGCACTCAAATACGAGATTTTAATTTCTCCCCCGACTTGACGTCAAGACGAGGCAGGATATACCATATATGGACACCGCAGACATATGCTGAAGGAAGCCCGCCCTGCCCCTCTCCCCCTCATATTCAGTCAAGAAAGATGCAGAAATGTAGTGCACACGTGAGTTGCTCTGTGGTTGACTGCCAGAATCAACATTCAAATGTGTTTTCTCTACCAAAAACGGACCAAACTACCAGGGACCAGTGGATGAAATTCATTTTTAATGACGCTGTTCCAACAACCCTATCAACTGGCTCAACGTTAGGTGTCTGCGCTAAACATTTTACACAGCAAATGAGCCACTTCACTGGACATTAGTAATTAGTCATTTAGTAATTAGTAATTAAAATCTGATACATTGTAATTATGAAGTTTTCCCTCAGTGATAAACAGACAAGAAAATGATACAGCTATTATTTCATATAATTGTATATTATATAACAATGACAACATATCATTGTATTGATTTTTTTTATATAATAGATAAGGATAGATAAATAAAACAAACAGTCAAGTAATAATAAACATAAAGAAAAACATCACGTTACATGTCTGTAGATGAAAAATATTGAATGTCTAAAAAAAACACAACGTGAAACAAGGCAAAAACAACACATGATGGCAAACGTTGATCTCTATAACCACTGTAAGCTGATAAAAAAAGTAGACTACATCTCCGTTAATGTAATCTATATTAAATAAAAGGTAAACTTATGTGGGAGAAAATAGCAACAAACGTTTTAGCTCGTTACTGATGTTAATGTATGTCTCAGTCAAAATGATTGTCTTTACCATTCAGAGACATGTTGATGTAGACGTCCTTCCATTGACTCTATATCTTCCGTTTCCAGCTCTGGTTCAGAGTCTGGCTCAAACATATATGGTTGAATTCCGTAGGTCGCGGCCAGGTCGGGTTCATTCACAACTTGCGCCATGATGTCATTTTGGAATGATATGCTGAAGTTACCTGCGGTGTCAAGCCCCCTCCTTCCTGCCACCAATCAACGCGCCCCTCATTTGCATTATTAAAATGACCGTCCACGACAGCCAAAATATCGCATCAGATCTCGCGAGACAATAATGCATTTAGAAATAAGGGTCAGAGGAGCTCTGTGTTTATTTTTTTCCACTTTTCTTTTTTATAAGGGCCTGAAAGACTATAATAGAGCGTGGGTATCCAAGGTAATACTAGGTTATGACTCCTTTAAATGAATGTGCACCCGTAATCTAGTCCCGCCCTACTATTTGTTTTGTCTCATTCCAGAAACATTTTCAATTGGATAAAAGGGTGTGTGTCCAGCAAAGCGTTTTTCCCGGCACCTAGCGTATTCTTCCAGTTGTTTTTAATGGGAGTGCCGCGTTTATAAAACGCCACGAGTGTAACGAGGCCGATTGTCTATTTCACGCTGAAGTGTTGAGTGCTCTGCTCATCACTGTCACTTTTTACCCAGCCGTCCAATCACAGAGGAGGAGAGGCGGGACAAATACCACACCGACCAACCGTCACACTCTGCTTGAACAATGTCAACAGATGACAAGAAGCATAATAACGGAACAAAATCATTTAAAACAAGAGCCAGAGCAAATACTTTACATTGTATCAACATTTTTATAAAAAACAATCTGTGAAATGAGAGTAATACTTCCACGGTTATTCTGTATCATAGCCAGCAAACCGTCTCTATTTAAAAAAAAAAATAGGCGTTTTCAGCAGGCTAAGTCACAATAGGGAAGAAAAGATGATCGCAACTTCCATTTCATGCCGACTTAAAATAGTAATCTCATATGTACACTACCATTTAAAGGTTTTTTTTTTTTCCCTTCTTTCTGTTTTTCAACAAGGTGCTCGGTGCTTTGTGGCACAAATGAACGTTCAAAAAGCTGAGATGTTGGAGAGACTGTCCACTGCACGTAACTTCTCCAATTTGGATGATGAAGACAATTATTCTGCAGCCAGCAAGGCTATCAGACAAGTATGATCAAACACAAATTATTTTCTGAATAGGCTTTTGCTGCTTAAATTTAGGTACCAGTATGTTGGCATATTTGTGCCTAGTGTACTTGTCACTGGGGTTTTATTGCTGTTGTGAATTTTAGGTAATTCATCAGCTGAGGAGGTTGGGAAAAGTTTGGCAAGATGTCTTGCCAGTAAACATATACTGTAAAGCCATTGGGACTCTCCTCAATACTGCAATATCAGAGCTGATTAATAAGATTATGATGTTGGAGGTAAGGCAATACATAATGCTGTTGTTTTTTGTTACACCACCAAACTATTTGAGGTGTATACTAAGGGCTGTCATTCCAGGACATATCTAACGTGGACGGTGAGCGACTGCGAACACTGTGTCAAACCATTATAGAGGAAGGGCCGCTGGTCTTCAATCCATTGCCAGATGAAAACAAGAACAAAAAATACCAAGAAGAGGTTCCAGTCTATGTAAAGAAATGGATGACCTTAAAAGAGATCTCCATGGTTCTAAATGCTAATCTACAGGAGATAGTGGACAGGTCATACACTTACTTAATCTTTTAAATTTGATTCGTTTTTAGGAGTCTGTCTGTAACTCTGGTAACAATTTTTATTTGTCATTGGGAACTTTAGAATGATGTATTTCGTTTATATATTTAACGGAGCTCACATTTATAAAAAACAAAAACAAAACAAAACGCTGTCTTCTTTTTTTTAGGTGGGCGGAGGGCAAAGGACCTCTGGCAGTGGAGTTCTCATGTAATGAGATGAAGAGCCTCATTCGTGCCCTGTTCAAGAACACAGAGAGGCGAGCAGCGGCCCTCGCTAAAATTGTCAAATAGACATCCAAAAGACCAATGCACTTCCAACGCAACATAACGCTACATGGAGCTTTTCCTTACATAAAATGTGTTCTCTATTTTTCTATTTTGCTGAAAAATGCTTTACAATAAATGCTGTTCTAAGCACTTGCCTGTTCTCCTACCTTATGTTATCAGTACATGAATTAATACTTGAAAAATACCTCAATAAACTCCAGCAATGGCACATAATCTTGTTTTAGGCTGTCTAAAGTTTTTCAGTTTACAATTCACCCAAAAAAGAAAATTGTCCCGTTGTTCCAAACCTGTATGACTAAAAATCTGTGGAACACAAATGAAAATGTTAGGCAGAATGGTATCAATTGACAGCCTCTTAACATTCACTTTCATTGTATTTTTTTTTTTTTTTTCATATAATAAGAGGATTGTGACTGAGGCTTTAATTTTGCCTCACATTTACCTTTGTGTTCAACGGAAGATAGAAAGTCATACGAGGTTGGAACAACATGAGGGAGAGTAAGTTTTATTTATAGGTAAATCAAACTTGAGTTTCAATACAGGATTTGTGGAAGAATGCAAAGTGGTCCAGACAACTTCTGGATGGATAGAAAGTGCTTGACGGCACTTTTACGTCAGTACTTCATACTTTACGACACCGGCTTTGACAGCTTGAAGGTTGCCATGTTTTTACAATCTTAATCCACCATTTAAAGGAGTAAATAATTGTACAGCGTTTTTCACAGAAACGTTGCTGTTTTCGCTAGTTCACCTATTAAAAAACAAAATTAGGATTTCTTTTTTTAAAAAAGTGATATATTTCTATTATTGTATATACCGGTAATTCAATTACAAATCTGGCAACCCTTGTGCGTCACCCGGAGGACGAAGCGCAGGAGTGTCGTAAAGTGGGATGTTTTGAGTGGGGAGGTCATTGGAAAGTGAGGTTGTTCTGTACGTTTTGGGGAGAACAGACTGCTGCTGCTACCACAGGTGTCAGATATTCTGATACCAGAGTAGCCTTACTTAAATCCAGCGAAGTGTTACGGGGTCATCACTTATAAAATGTTGCGTTTAGCGCTGCGAGTGCGCCCATCTGCCAGGCTTACCCGGCCCAGTGTCCTCTCGGGCCCTGCTACTGCTGCCAGTCCTCGACCCGGACCGGTGTCATGCCATCATCTCAAACGATACCACTCCAACGGCCCGGTCCGGATCCGGAGCTTGTGTCATGGTCGGCGTGTGTACAACAGCATCTTCAGTAACAGACCATGGGTCTTGCGAAGCCAAACGGCTAGTTTCAGTCAAAGCATGCGAGTGTACAGTCTACCGCCCCATCAGAGGGTAAGTTAAGCTACCTATGTTATGTGCTTCCAAAAACGTTTGACTTGGAACACAAAAATAGATGTTAGGGACTCAGCCTCAGTCAACGTTTACTATCATTGCGTCTTTTTCTACGTAAGTTAATGAAAGTGAACTGTGACCGACGTTGTCACTATGACATCTGTCATCTCTTTCTGTGATCCACAGAAGAAAGAATCTCATACGGTTTCGGAACAACAACATTAGGGAGAGTAAACGTTGTCCAAAAAAAAATTTATATGCGTATTTGGATGAACTGTCTCTTTAAGAACTGCTATATTGCAACACTGCGTTTCTTTTGCTGGTGTCACCTTCAAGATGCTCAGTCTAGAAGTATATGTGTCATGAATTCTGTGGGCTGTCAGAGGTCCATCAATGTTTTCATGCCTATACGAAACATACTGTCACTCGAGACAGCGTAACATTTTCTCATACTGCTTAACATAATCTCAATTTTTAGCCTCAGAACATAAAACTGTGTCCACAGTCACAAACTTATTGTGCTTTTCCAGGCCTAGAAAACACAAATCAATTATAAGAAGTTATGAGAAAGTCTAGAATATTTCTTTAGTGATTGAATATACATTTTTCCAGTTATACTACTTTTAAACCAATTTATTAGTCCAATCTCTATAACATAAGTTAAATAAGCGAAAAATATAGTATTTTATAGTGCAATAGTCAGAAGGTGTGGGAATCCTGAGTAGCTATAGAAATCTAAAAGCAACAAAACCTTTTAACTACCATTTCAATGCAGATCATATATTATGCTGAGAAGATTTGATAGTCATTTATGCCAAATGCTTACAGCTTTCTGTTTAACCTAATTCATTCTATTACAGGTGGAACTGCCTGCTTTGTCCCCCACTATGCAGATGGGCACTATTGCACGCTGGGAAAAGAAAGAAGGTGACAAAATTAATGAGGGAGATCTGATTGCTGAGGTGAGGCATATTCAGGGTTTTGCCACCAAGAAGCCACTTGATTGTTTAATTTTATTGTAGATAAAAAATATTAAACTAAATAATTCCTTAGGACAGCTTAGATTAGAATGTCTGTCAACCGATCCGAACCAGGCTTTCAACAGCCCCATGTTATAATTCTGATCTAATCCTAATTCTTCTGTTTTGATTTGGTCAGGTTGAAACAGACAAGGCTACAGTAGGATTTGAACTACTGGAGGAGTGCTACCTAGCCAAGATTTTGGTTTCTGAGGGTACAAGAGATGTGCCCATTGGAGCTGTCATTTGTATTACCGTTGACAAGTAAGCACAATTTCTATCTGCAGTGCCAAGATACAGAGCATCATAAGATCTGATGTTTTTTGTTTTACATAATACATATTACATAATAAACTTTATGTCCTTAAAATGTTGTAGGACAGATAAATGGTGCATCATAAGAAGGGCGTATGTGATGTAACTAAATTATACTGTCTTGATCTTGGCTTTTAATAAAAGCATAAATTTGCATGTTTGATACCCGTGTTGACAATTCAATATTGTGTGATTTGATATGTATAATATTAATGTGTACTTGTTTTTCCCACTTAATTTACATCATCTGTCTTTTGACCTTTAGTCCTGACCTCATCCCTGCATTTAAGGACTTTACAGTGGATAAAATGTCTAGCTCCGCCCCTGCAGCTGCCCCTCCCCCTCCAGCAGCGCCCACTGCTGCTCCTGCAGCGCCACAAGTTCCTGGAAGCTCCTACCCACCTCATATGAAGGTAGGATGAGATGTTGACCAAATATTAAAGTGACTACAAACAAATTCAGAAGTGAAAGCATTTGGGATATTGGCCGGTCTAAGCATAAGCAAGTATATTATTGCATGGCGTCATTAACTTGCTGTCTTGCTTTCTTTAGGTTCTTCTCCCAGCTCTCTCTCCCACCATGACTATGGGCACAGTGCAGCGCTGGGAGAAGAAGGTGGGTGAGAAGCTGAGTGAGGGAGACCTGCTGGCTGAAATTGAGACCGATAAGGCAACAATCGGTAAATTGTCAGCTATTTTGACTTTAATTATGATAATTCAACAGTAATAGTTAGATCTCTGTCCACATAAACACCTTAAACATATTGATAACATAATTTCTAATGAGGTGGAAAAAGTGGTCAATGCCCAAAACCCGTTGGTTCCACTCAATGGTGCTTAGATAAGACCTATTTACACCTTAACACTTGCGTTTTTACTGATTTGCTAAAACTGTTTCATTTACACTTGTGTCTCTGCAAAACTAATTTAAATCCAATCTTCAATTCTCACGATATATGCAAATTTAACAGAGTTTACATTGACAAAAACAGCAGATATGAGCTGCATTTTATTTATCATCAACTAATTTCAAGATCAAAGACCACAATAACACCACTATGAAGATGTTTGTGTGACGGCGAACTTTCAGTTTCATTTGCGGCAGTTTTCACGTTGGCTTGCTGAAGAGATTTTTAGCTACACATCTGCAGTGATGCCTGTTGCAGTAGCGCTGGCTTTAACATGTCATTTAGCCCATAACATGCTCTCAACACCATTATTTTTTAACATTTAGTAATGAAGTAAAATTTTACTTTTAAATTTTAATTTAACCTTTTAATGAAGTGAAATTGACATATGTGGTTTCAACAACCAGATGCATTTATACTTGTCCAGTTTCGTCTGGAATGCGTTTCAGACCACCTCCTGAAGTGGTTTGAGTGATCGAATTTAAATCAATCTCGAAAGCTTATTGGAGGGCATTTACAACCGGTGTTTTCACGATTGGATAGCTATTTAGTCAGAGAAAATGCATGAAGTGACCTGGTGTAAACAGGCCCCTAGATAGATAGATACATGTGTGTTTGTGTAAATATACATACATAAGCAGCAGAGCTTTTTTCAATATTGATTATAAGAAGACATGTTTTTCGAGCACCAAATCAGCATATTAGAATGATTTCTGAAGGATCATGTGACACTGAAGACTAGAGTAATGATTGATTGGACATATGCACACACAAATGTATATGCATAAAAAAGATTTTAAGAAGTTTGCTGTTTGCGTATGATGAGATATTAATATATGCATTAACACTGTTTAGTAATTCCTTCCTGTGGTTTTCAGGTTTTGAGGTACAAGAGGAGGGCTACATGGCCAAAATAATGATTGCTGAGGGCACCAGAGACGTTCCTCTCGGCACTCCTCTCTGCATCATTGTGGAAAAGGAATCTGACATTAGCGCATTTGCAGACTATGTAGAGACCGGTGTGGCTGCAAGCCCGCCTCCTGCTCCTGCACTGGTAAAGAGCTCTGTCATTTCTACAAGATCTGTTGTTTATTTGTGTCTGCTGTTTAAAGTAATTATGATTAATTATGCACACTTAACCTAATTGTTTTGGTGATCAGCAGTCATTTATTAAGAGCATTTGGTATTTATTAACCACATGTCGGTATACTTTTTGTGCGGCCACCTAAAGGCCATCGTGATGAAAATCAAGGTCTTGTTTTTACTGCCATCATAATATCAAGTTTCATGCCATGACCGAAAGTGAAAGGTCACTTTGCAATATTTGTAGTGTTTTGCAATACTGCAATCACGCCATGCCAATTTTGTGGGTGTGGCCATCAAGAATAGACTACAACACATTACTGTTGGTTGTGGTGCACATGATATGTTCTGACAAGATATTAAGATTGTTATAAAATTGTTAATGTATGTACACACATTGGCACATGCACTAACCACTAAGCCAGGGCTGTGTTTCTCAACAGCATTGTGAGCTAAGTTGACCGTAGAGACCATTGGTGGCACTGGTTCTACAATGTACTTAGGCTTAAGATGCTTTTGGGAAATGCAGCCCAGAACATTTTTAGAAGCATAACATGTTCTAATCCAAATTTTAAGAAGTTAATGATTCAAATCTTTAACCTAACTATAAAGAAATCATTTTAATATGTGTATTGTGTATATGACTTTTAATTGTAGCTAATTTTTCAGGTGGCCACCCCACCTCCAGCAGCAGCTCCCGCCCCAGCACCTGCCGCTGCTCCAGCCGCCCCTGCTGCTCCTAGGAAGGGTAGGGTGTTTGCCAGCCCTCTAGCCAAGAAACTGGCAGCCGAAAAGGGAATCGACATTGCCCAAGTCACAGGTAGGAGAGCTTTGATGCTTTGACTTTGATGCTGTCTGTTAGCTCATTTCATTTGCATGGGTGATGTCACTCACAGTGAATTGGGAATATGCTACTGCTTTGTCAATAGGAACTGGACCAGATGGCAGAGTCACCAGGAAAGATATCGACAGCTTCGTTCCACCTAAGCTCACTCCTGTAAGTCATTCAATTTCTTTTAAGAAAGCCCAGATAGAATATGTGCCATAATGCTGCACAAATTTCCACAGAATTCCCGCCATTCCAAAGTTCTTAAAACCTTTTAACCAGAGTTAACATTAACTAAATCTATTAAAAAGTGTTTTGCTCTAGACAAAAATTAGAATAGTTGCTATTACTGGAAATAAATAAATAACTTAATTAAACCTAAATAACATATATCGTTTTCATACCACCAGGCCCCAGCCGCTGCACCTTCCCCTGCTGCACCCACACCCAGCCCTCCAGCCACCCCTGCTTTTGCTGCTGTACCAACAGGAACCTTCACCGACATCCCCATCAGCAACATCCGCAAAGTGAGTCCACTGACCTTAGAAGACACTTTATATTCTCTAGGAATACATGAAGACTTTTATGTTACCCATAATACTCTTGTTTCCCTGCCTGTCTCTTTACTGCTGTGCTATCTAGGTGATCGCCCAGAGGTTGATGCAGTCAAAACAGACTATTCCTCACTATTATTTGTCTATTGATGTCAATATGGACCAAGTTCTTGAACTCAGGAAAGAGCTCAATGCTGTGAGTGAACTCATTTCCCGTGGCTGTAACATGATGATAAGCTCCACATTACAGTAGTCCTGATTTAAATGGTACCTTTCCCTCATGATCAGGAGGTGAAAGCTGATAACATCAAACTCTCGGTCAACGACTTCATCATCAAGGCCTCGGCTCTAGCCTGTTTAAAGGTCCCAGAGGCCAACTCCTCCTGGATGGACACAGTTATCAGACAGTGAGTGGACTCCCACAGTGCACTTCTGATCTTAACCATTTGAGGGCAGCAGTATTTTCTCACATATCAGTAGATGTAAAGTAACTGATGTGACGTTTAAATGAAAGTGAATCTGAATTAATCAAGCACTTTTTCTCTCCGGACAGAAATCACGTGGTGGATGTTAGTGTCGCAGTCAGTACACCTGTGGGTCTAATCACTCCCATTGTATTTAATGCTCATATTAAGGGCCTTGCGACTATCAGCAAAGACGTAGGCTCATTAGCTGCTAAAGCACGAGATGGTAAACTACAGCCGCATGAATTCCAGGTGAGTACTTTAGGTGCTTCATGTGGATATCAGAAATATGTATACTGTATATATGGTAACACTTTACAAAAGGTTTCATTTGTTAACATTAGGTAATGTGTTCACTAACATGAACTAAACATGAGAAATGCATTTGTTACTGTATTTGTTCACGTTAGTTAATAAAAATCCAGCTGTTCATGTTTGTTCACAGTACACTAATGTTAACAAATACAGGTCCTTCTCCAAAAATTAGCATATTGTGATAAAGTTCATTATTTTCCATAATGTAATGATAAAAATTAAACTTTCATATATTTTAGATTCATTGCACACCAACTGAAATATTTTAGGTCTTCTGATGATTTTGGCATACAGCTCATGAAAACCCAAAATTCCTATCTAAAAAAATTAGCATATTTAATCCGACCAATAAAATAAGTGTTTTTAATAAAATAAAATAAAAGTCAACCTTCAAATAATTATGTTCAGTTATGCACTCAATACTTGGTCGGGAATCCTTTTGCAGAAATGACTGCTTCAATGCGGCGTGGCATGGAGGCAATCAGCCTGTGGCACTGCTGAGGTGTTATGGAGGCCCAGGATGCTTCGATAGCGGCCTTAAGCTCATCCAGAGTGTTGGGTCTTGCGTCTCTCAACTTTCTCTTCACAATATCCCACAGATTCTCTATGGGGTTCAGGTCAGGAGAGTTGGCAGGCCAATTGAGCACAGTAATACCATGGTCAGTAAACCATTTACCAGTGGTTTTGGCACTGTGAGCAGGTGCCAGGCCAAATCACCTGATAGCTAGCTGCATTGACCCTGCCCTTGATAAAACACAGTGCACCAACACCAGCAGCTGACATGGCACCCCAGACCATCACTGACTGTGGGTACTTGACCCTGGACTTCAGGCATTTTGGCATTTCCTTCTCCCCAGTCTTCCTCCAGACTCTGGCACCTTGATTTCCGAATGACATGCAAAACTGAGCAACAGTCCAGTGCTGCTTCTCTGTAGCCCAGGTCAGGCGCTTCTGCCGCTGTTTCTGGTTCAAAAGTGGCTTGACCTGGGGAATGCGGCACCTGTAGCCCATTTCCTGCACACGCCTGTGCACGGTGGCTCTGGATGTTTCTACTCCAGACTCAGTCCACTGCTTCCGCAGGTCCCCCAAGGTCTGGAATCGGTCCTTCTCCACAATCTTCCTCAGGGTCCGGTCACCTCTTCTCGTTGTGCAGCGTTTTTTGCCACACTTTTTCCTTCCCACAGACTTCCCACTGAGGTGCCTTGATACAGCACTCTGGGACCAGCCTATTTGTTCAGAAATTTCTTTCTGTCTTACCCTCTTGCTTGAGGGTGTCAATGATGGCCTTCTGGACAGCAGTCAGGTCGGCAGTCTTACCCATGATTGCGGTTTTGAGTAATGAAACAGGCTGGGAGTTTTTAAAAGCCTCAGGAATCTTTTACAGGTGTTTAGAGTTAATTAGTTGATTCAGATGATTAGGTTAATAGCTTGTTTAGAGACCCTTTTCATGATATGCTAATTTTTTGAGATAGGAATTTTGGGTTTTCATGAGCTATATGCCAAAATCATCAGTATTAAAACAATAAAAGACCTGAAATATTTCAGTTGGTGTGCAATGAATCTAAAATATATGAAAGTTTAATTTTTATCATTACATTATGGAAAAGAATGAACTTTATCACAATATGCTAATTTTTTGAGAAGGACCTGTACAACCTTTGATTTAAAAAAAAGTGTTAGTTTTTTTTTTATCTAAGTGACTCTGTGCATATATATATATATATATACACACACACTGGGTCTCATTCATGAAACACGAGCAGAACGAATTTTTGTGAAAATTTGTGTAAAGTGGTTCTGGCGTAAATTTTCGGATTCATTAAAATGTTCGTATTTTCCAAATGTTAGTTGGTACACAAGAAATCTACACCTGCTCCCAGCCACACGTAAATAGTGCGCTTAACACCCGAACGTTTTCCTCATTAATAAGGCTGCATTTTAATTCACCTTAATCGGGTACATATTTGCACAGCATTTTGAAAAAATATTATATATAGTAATTACATACGGTTTTTCTTATTATGAGAGCCAGTAATAGCATCTGCGATGTTGGTCCTTCTCCAGTTTGAATACTATTTTTCCGAAGTGAACTAATTCGTTTTTTGCTCTCAAGCTTAATGTCGAACCATTTTCTTCTCACTTCTGGGAATGTTCGATTAACAGATGAAACTCCATTAACTACATCTAATATGCTGCCAAGCTTCCTTTTTTTTTAGGACCCGATACGCCACTATGTACGCTTGAAAATAAAATGTGGCGTTTTGAATGAACTTCTGATAATAAAACTTCAATTTCTGCATCTGAGAATTTTTTTTTTTCATTCGCATTCATGTCATAATATGATGCCCATATATAGTTGTCAGTCGGATTTAATGGGCGGGATTTATGGTAATTGAGAATGAACGTGCACGCGCATCCCATTTACGACTGATTGGAATTCATTAACACACACACACATTTCACTATCACATCTGACGTTTACAAAGTATTTGTGAATCAGGAGAAGAGTTTTCGGGAAGGTCTCTTTACGCGCAAATCACTCGCATATTTACTCGTATATTTACGAATGTTTCATGAATGAGACCCATTGTGTATATGTATGTACATATGTGTATACTGTGTGTGTGTGTATATATGTATATGCATATAAATAAAGTAATATAAAAATACATTACATAAACACTCTTGGATTTCTAGGGTGGCACCTTCACTATTTCGAATCTGGGCATGTATGGCATCAAGAATTTTTCAGCAATCATTAACCCTCCTCAAGCCTGCATTCTGGCTGTGGGTGGCTCAGAAAAGAGACTGTTGCCTGCAGACAACGAAAAAGGGTGAGCAAGGACATCAATTTGCCATCACTCCACATTAGGGGTTGAACGACTTTAGATTTTTTGAAGTCGACTGTTATGACATCAAAGTCGAGTCGACGTCGACTAGTCGCTGACGTCATTCATAAAAATACAAGAGATGAGACTGCTTTGCAACATGCCACAATTTGCAATTTATTAGCAGAAAATTATACAGATGCTGACAGACAGCTCATAATGGGGCTGTTTACACCTGGCCACTTCATGCGTTTTCTCAGATCGGATAGCTATCTGATTTATCAAAACGATTCCATTTACACCTGGTCACATAAATGTGTTTTCGCAAAACGGATATAAATTCGATCTTCAAACCCCGCGCTATATGCAGATTTAACGGGTTCACGTCACCGAAAGCAACAGTTCGAGCTGCATTTTATTGATCATCAGCTAACTTAATTTCAAAATCAAAGACAGCAATAAGAGAGAGTGGCAACAGCCCAAGATCATTTTGTTGCTTTACTTTTAACGAAGATGATTATGTGTTAAGCATCTGCGACTTACTTTCACTTTGATTTGCGATAGTTTGCACGTTGGCTTGATGAATAGATGCTCAGCTGCTCATTTGCAGTGATGCGTGTTGCAGAAGCGTCGTCATATCTGACTATAACATGACATATAGCCTATAACACGTTTTCACACTTTTGTTTTTAGCATTGTTGGGAGGAGTCCAATTTACATATGTGGTTTCAACAACCAGATGCATTTACACTTGTCCAGTTTCGTCTGGAATGCGGCCCAGACCACCTCCTGAAGCGGTTTGAGCGACTGGATTTAAATCGGTCTCGAATGCGTTTCGGAGGGCATTTACACCTGGTCTTTTCACGATCGGATGGCTATCAGTTCACAGAAACGCATGAAGTGGCCAGGTTCATCATTTAGGATGAAAAAAGAAAAGAAAAAAAAGCTATAAATTCACATCTGCGCGTTAGTGATGCGCTGATCCAAGTTATACAAAATAATATTCCAATTAATTGCGGGTGAATTAGAGATAAATCATTAATTTGTTTAAATAAATATATGAAAAAAAAATGTTTTAATGATTTTAATAAAGAGACTGAACTCTCATTTCCCGGTAAAACACAATGAGCGTGCGTCATGCTTTTACTTTCGTTTTCAACAATATCTAGTGTTAAGTTTGTGACGTATTTCCACACACTTGATGTACCACTGCTGCTTTCTTGCTGCAGTGACCCTCTGGGCTCTTCATCTGTTGTCGTCTGCAACGTGGCCACGTTGGTGGTATCAAAATTAGCGCAATAATAGTGTCACATGATCAACGCGACTAGTCGACGTCAAGCTTAAAGCGTCACGGCATTGCATCAAGGTCGACTAGTCAGTTCAACCCCTAATCTACCCAATATAGATGAAGCTCTTAAAATAGTTCCTGCATTTTCTGTGTCTCTCGCAGGTTTGACGTGGCTAGCATGATGTCGGTGACTCTGAGCTGTGATCACCGGGTGGTAGATGGTGCTGTCGGTGCCCAGTGGCTGGCTGAGTTCCGCAAGTTCCTGGAGAAACCGTTCACCATGCTCCTGTGAGCAAGCAGTTTAAAACAGTGGACTTTAAGATTTGGAGAGGTCTCTTTCATTGGTTATAGGCTCTCCCTGGGAAATACAACAGGTTGTTCTCTCTCTTTTTTATTTTCTTTCTCACTCACATACTCTCTTTCATATACTGTACATCACACATTGCTTCCTAAAGCCTGAAGTAACCTCTCAACCCAAGTCATTGTTAAGGTCATTTTCTGGAGTTTCAGAAGATATTGCTGGACAAGGGTTTCCATTTTCCTTCAGGATGTTGTTACAAACACCGTAAGTCTGTTTGCCACTAGATCAAAGATTAATGTCTGTGTCCATGGCTAAGTCTTATGGTCTGTACCTGACACATTCATTGGCACAATATGAGTTTTCTTTCTACACGAGAAAGAATGGGATGAAATCTGGAGATGTGTGTGCCAAATATTATCTGGCTACATTTGAAATTTATGACAAATTATTCTGTGCAAATTTTTATTTTCTGTATTATTGCATAGTAGAAATACATTTGTTCTGTCACTCCCTGAGCTAAATGTCTAATGTATACATAATGGGTTCTTTGCTGAGACTGTGATGTTCTTAGTATGGGGGCACGGTTTTGATATAGGAAATTTTATTTATTACATCTCTCACTCCAGACAATGCACGTTAGTGCCTTTGCTCCTGTTTATAGCGCCTGGGTTTTTCTTTTCTTCAAGTCATTCTTTAATGAATAACGCACAATTCATGGGGTGAACGGCTGTTATAAATAAACCCATGGAGAAACAGAAGAAAGGTTCCTAAATGGAATAAAACACTAGACTGGATATACATAGAATGGTTCATTCAACCTGTTTTTGGGATTCATTCGGTGCCATTTGGTCAACAGTGAGTCAAACGTGTTTTTTTTCACAAGGGACAAAAAATATGACCAATATTATATCAATATTTAATTTGACAAAAAAAATGAGAGAGAATAAACAAAATAGAAACTCAAATATGATATACTGTCCATTTTTCTTTACATTTCAATACATTTCTACAAGGAATAATCACTTGATTTAAAAAGAATACAAGATTCCATAAAGTCTCACGGACTTGTCTTATGTTCTGATGGTGACCACTATTGTTTTCTTAACTGAAAAAAAATTATATTTAATGATGGATAAATGGATAATATTAGATGTAATATTAATGTTAAACAAAAAGGTGTTTCGTGGTCTCATGACATGTTTGTGTAAAAACTAATTGGAAAATTAGCCAATGACGCTTCAGTCAAATTTAACTTGCTGTTAATCTATTTTAATTTTTTATTGTGACTGAACGAAACACCATTAATTGTAGGCATGTAATTCAAAGCAAGTACAATCAGTACAAAAAACATTTGAAAGTGTTTCAGATGCATTTTAGAATTTTTATATCTTAATACAAGCATCTGATACGTTGTTCATGCTGAAATATAATGGTTTAAACATAATGACCAGGTTTCACAGGCAGGGCTTAGATTAAGCCAGGAGTATGGCTTAGTTAAATTAGGACATTTAAGTAGATTTTATTAACGTGCCTTAAAATATTATTTATTAACATTGATGGCAGTGACATATTTTAAGATAAGTCAGTCCATGTCGATTTGAGCTAAAACAGCTCAAACATGCATTTTAGTCTGAGACTAGGCTTAATCCTTGTCTGTAAAACTGGATAAATGTATCTTTAAAAAAGAAAGAAAGATATGTTCATGTCATTACCTTCTTTTACTGTCCATGGTCATTACAGGTCATTACTGTTTACTATGCGCAAGAACCGGACGTGACGCACCAGTGGCGGACGTTGCGTCGATCAATTTTCCCGCGTTTTGGGTAGTTGAGGAAATAGTGGAGAGTTGCGGACACAAACAAGTATTCTCAGGCTCCGACATCCAACCACTAACCACAACAACATCAATACAAACACAACCCCAAACCCGCTGCTCGTGTTCGCTCGCCGTGCTGTGAGTGAACGCGCTCTCCATCACGAAACTATCGACATGCCGCCGAAGAAGCGCAGCAGCGGGACCCCGCAGAAGAAAGACTTCAAAGGGAACACGAAGAGCGAATCTCCGGACAGTAGCGAGAACGCAGTGCTGAGCCCTGAACGGTGAGGACACACCGCGCGACTGTCTCTAAAATAAACACAACGAATTATTAGTACAGACCGTCTTTAGCTGTAGATTTATGGTGACAGAGGAAGCCAGCAACCAACAGTATTTGAAAAAGATGCCTGAATGAATAAAAGTAACTTAGTTAACCATCTTCAGTAACGTAAACTAGACATACTCGTATGAGAACGTAACCTCTTTGTACTATAGTAACTGTAAGTTACATTGTTATAAATTACAGGGTTTTTTGGTTAACATTTTTTAATAGTTTAGTTACTTTGTTATACCATGGTAATTACGACGTAAACAATATTTTACTGCGACCAATATTATTACAAATGCCGCAGTTAAGCCTATAAAAAAACTATGGTGATTTTTAATCATATATTACAAATGCCACAGTTTAGCCTATAAAAGAATTATGGTGATTTGTAAGTTAATCATTATTTATTTGTAATAAATAAATCTGCCTTTATTTGGCCATTTGGGATACACAATATCTGATTTAATTTTCTTTTTTAAATTAAAGTAATTATTGTGTAAATGAAATGTTCCATTCATTCAAGCAGTTGTGTACATGTCATATATACACACATACTATTGTCTATTATATTATAGTATAATATATAATAGACTATTATCACTATATCTGGTGAACATCACTGGCTAGTAATGCTTTTTTGCTGAATACTAGGACTCATGTGGTGGCTAAACAGCTGACAACTTGGTGTTAGTTATGTCTTTATGCAATGTTTTTTGACCAGCAGCGCCAATATAGCGACCACCCCACAATAGTGTCAAAATCTCCTTGCAATGTGTTTACTCATGTCTGTCAACTGTGTTGTTTTATCAGACACAAGGACAAGGACTCTGAATTCGTGTCTCTCAGTGAGGAGCTCCATGCCACAAATCTCGTCTGTGATCATGCATGGAGAATTTGGGAGAGGGAGATCAGGCCGATGGAAAAGGCAAATGTACATTTTCCTCTGATATCTGCACTACCACTCTAGTGTATTGGTTTTTAAATGTACAATACGCAAACATGTCTGTGTCTTCCATGCTAGATGGCGTATTCGAACAGACAGCAGTGGGGAGCTTGTCTGTTCATTGCTGGCATGGAGCTTGAAGGCATCAGCCTCACCTTCACACAATTCCTAAAAGTGGTTGGACTGAGGTATGTATGGCAAATGAACATGTCATGGGGAAGTCCTGATTCTTCCCCTATAGGATCAGGAAGTTGGTCTGTCGAAGTGTGGTTTTGCCTTTAAAGTGTTAATAATGTAGGTTCTACACTTTAATATGAAGGGGTGGAATTTTTTCATATTTATACAGATTTCTGTTTTCTGATTTTCTGTTTTAAAAGTATGATCCACATGAATTGCGTAAATCTGAGGACTTTTTTTTTGGTTGTATAATAATTGAAATCACCAAATGGCCATAAACAATTACTAATAAATAAACTGCAAACTCTTCCGTTTTCTAATACATTTATTTAATGCACGGGTTGCTTCTAACAACACTGTGCCATTTGCGGGACACCCTTAGCATGTTAGCCAGGGTGCAGAGTGTCAAAGGCAATGAATCGAATCGATGTTTCTCGCCTGTTGCCCGGTAACTCTTCTTTTATGTATTTTGACAATGCATGGTTGTGAGAATGTGATATCTATGGCTTAGTGGTATCATCAAATCGCAACAGTTATGATGTAATTTTAAAAATACATAGTCTGACACGCTGCATGTTTCAGAGTAAAGCCTGTGTTTTTTTTTACCAAAAACTTAGCTCAATGTTTAACATTTGAAAGCAAAAAAATTAGTGCAAGTAGGCAACCATAAATGTTAGTATTGTAATAGTACTGTTGTTCTGTAAAATGAAATTAAAATAAAATAATAATGGTAATAATAACATGATAATATAGCAATTGTTAATTATGATTTTTTATCATAACATATTGAATTATAATGTATTATATTCTTCTAATTATTATTTTTCATTTTACAGTACAATATTATTATTTTTTATAATAAGCGCTTTATGGTTGATAGGTGGACGGGGTGGCTGTTGTAGTCAGGTATTCCTTCTTTATTGTCTTTAGCTGATCACATGGATATGCCGTTCCTTTGCAGTGTGAAGCAGTTCATCAGCCTTGTGAGGAAGATGGATGTAAATGTGGACACAATAAGCCCTAAAGTGAACACTGCTGTGACACGACTGGAGAAGAAATATGATGTGACCTTTGCCCTCTACCAAAGATTTGTGAAGTAAGTGTTGTACAGTTTTGTTTTGAATTTGCAGTAGTGATGTATAATGAACATATGATTAATTTCACAATGTGTTGACATTTTGTTGATTAATAATCAGCATGATCAAACTGATCACAATTCCTCAGTTCAGTTCCAATATCTACTGAGGTTAACTTGGGGTAAAAGGTATTTAATACTCACCAAGGCTGTAAAATACAGTAAAATATCACATTATGAAAGATTAGTACAATTTATAGTAGCTGTTTTAAATTTTAATAAATCTTAAAATGTTTTTCTGTGATGGCAAAGCTGAATTTTCAGCATCGTTATAATTTCTTATTAGTTTAGCAATGTTGAAAACCATTGTGCTGCTTAATATAAAACCATTATACATTTTTCAGGGTTCTCTGATGCATAGAAAGTTTAAAAGAACAAGTGAAATAGAATTTTTTTTGTAACAAAGTAAATGTCTTTACTGTTACTTTTGGTCAGTTTAATGTGTCCTTGCTGAAGAAAAGTATTCATTTTCATTACACTTTATTTTGATGGTCAACTTTAGACACCCTTCTAACTACAAATAACTTTGCAACTAAATGTGAACTAACTCTCATTAGAGTATTAGTAGACTGTTAGTAGACTGTTTTGTTAGGTTTAAGGGTTTTGGGTTAGTAGAATAAGTTGTTGTAGTTGCAAAATTACTTGTAGTTAGTAGAATGTGGACCATCGAAATAAAGTCTTACCTGATTTTTTTTTTTTTTTTAACTATGTAAGTGTTCAAACATTTCAATATAGTGGCTTAGTGTCTGAGATCCAGATCTTGGAGGCAAACAAGAACTATCCTTGAATGTATAGCTACAGAATGAAAGAAGATATACGTTTTACACTGAACAGCTACTAACGGGTGAGGTTTGGGCATGCCTCAGGGTGTGCTCGCCCTTCCCTCAGCATGTCACTTTATTTAGATAGTGCTTGCATTGTATCTCATTTAAAGAATGTGTGACTCATCTCACGTCACTCCTGAGATGAAACCTGTTGTGCATTACTCCGTTAAAACGTTTTTCTGTTTTGTCTTCAGTAATTGCTCAAGCTTTTATGTTGCATGATCTGCATTAAGACTTGATTCATTATTTTGTCTGTTTGAATGGCAAAAACCTTTGAACCATTCGTACATGTCGTTTCTAAACCTGAAGGTGGCAGCAGCCGTCTGTGTGTGGGAAAGATCTGTTCTCTGAATTATCTGCCTTTCTTGCCGGGCCAGCTGGCCTCAGTTCAGTCTGTTTTTTTGCAGTTACTGAAAAACTCACAGGTGGTGAACAGAAAGTCTAGATATATTGTCTTCTATAAGTCCGTGGTTAAGCTGCAGGGGTAGTGCTTTGTTTTTGTGTTTCGCGTCCCAACAAACACCGTGGTTATTTGTGCAGCCTCCTCACTGCATCATAAAGTCTTCACATTTGTGTCTATAACAGTCGATAAACTGGTTGACGTTATATTTGGATTTGGTTTTTGGTTGTGTATATATTTAATGTACAGTTAGTGCTAATGATGCACCAAAATGAAAGTTCATGGTCAAAACCAGGAAAATCTAGGTACACAGAGCTGAAATAATATTATTTTTCTGAATTAGCAATAGCATTTGTTTAAACGCATTTTAAAATTAGTATTATTAATGTTGTTATTTTTAAGTACTTTCATTTGTTCTGCCTTCAGTTCACTTTATTGGATGTTAAAAATTAAACATGTTTGGTCTTTTTTTTTTTCTTCTCTCTTTGTTTAAAACGGATTTTAAAATAATTAATAATGTTTGATATTATTATTTTTGGTAAGAATTTTTCGCCATTTTGGTGCACCTTTAGTGCATTAAGTCTAATTCCCTTTTGAGATGTTTTTCGTCTGAAAAGGTATAAGTATGCTGAGACTAACAAAGTACATCTTAAATTTTCTTCCAGGACTTTTGAAAAAATCTTCGCAGAGCCTGACAAAGAAAAGTGAGTAGAAATCCTGTTTCAGTCTGAGCTGTTTGCCCTGCTGTAGTTCCATGTAGTAATATTTATCGTTGTTTCATTAAACATCAGTGATCTTACTGTCCCATGCCTGTTTCCTTCAAGGAGAAAAGAGCTTTGGGAAAGCAGTTGGACCTTGTTCCTCTTGGCCAAGGGTGAGTCATAAAGGAAAAATTGCACAGAAAAATGTTTGTCACATCTGGTGTTTTCGTCCATGTAAATGAGCCTTGTTTATAGTGAGTGAAGTTTTCCCCTATCTTCTCTGTGGATTATATGCGCCATGACTCATGGACAGCGTATCCACATGCCCACATTTTCACGTGTTTTTGTGTCATGTTCCCTGTAAAGGAACATTTCTGCAGATGGAGGATGACCTTGTGATAGCCTTCCAGTTGCTGCTGTGTGTTCTGGAGTTCTTCACCAAGCGTTTCACTCCTTCTCTCCTTCAATCACCCTACAGTGAGTTTTCCTCGCATTCCGCTGCTCAGAGGCAGCAGGGACAAATGCTTTAAATGCCATTTTAGGTTAATAAGAGAAAATATAATGAATGACTACCCCCGTTTTTGGCAAAATTATCTTATTCTCATATTTTAATTCCAGAGTCAGTGGTTAGTTCATCCACCTTGAGTCCTCTGACCAGGGCATCCCGACGTAATCAGGGCAAAACCAAACCCCGTCCACTAGAGATGGACATGCAGTTGCTGGAGACACTGTGCAAGGAGGGCAATTGCAGTGTGGATGAGGTTGGCTCTCATTTAGACACAGTCCCATCAGCTATTGCAAGCTTTCAAATACAGCTTGTTGGGGAAAGTTAGTTTTAAATGTAATGCGTTACTCCCTAAAAAGTAACTAATTGTGTTACTTTTTACTTTTTTGGGGGGAAAATAATGCATTAGATAACTTTTGCATTACTTTTCTGGGCTGGGTTGGGCTTATTTATTTGAAAAAGCAACTCAGATATTTTGTCATAAATGTAAAAGAAATGCATTACTTAAAAATAAAAGTAATCTGATTATTAATGTGTTACCCCAACACTGCAACTAAGTTTATATTCAGTTTATATACAGTTCAAAAACACAACATGAGTCTGTATTTTTTTTTTTTAATGTCATTGCAAACTTGACCATGTGTGAAAAGTAGCTCATCATATGCATGGTGAAGCTTTTTCTTTCTTCTAACCAGAGGTCACATTATTGTCTGCAGGTGAAAAACGTGTACCAGACCACTTTCTGTGCGTTCCTGGACTCTGTGGGTCTGTCAGGACTCCAAGGGCTTCCTCCTGTGAGTAATATCCCATGGAAAATGGTTAAAAAAGGCTGCTACTGCTTTTGAGAGCTATACAGCGTGTGTTTAAATAACTAATCAATCCCCATCAGGTGCTTCCCACCTTGGACTATGAATTTGAACTTGTATTGTATTTCATAGCTTGTTATATGTTGGACTGTGTACACGGTTTTATGGACTCTTTGTTTGCATAGTGATAATTAGGAATGTTATTGCAGGTTCAGCTCTGATTATTAGCAATAAAGTAACCGCTATAAGAAGGACATACAATACAATTTTGAATTAAAGTAATCCTTGTGGCCATCTGTTCTTTTTATTATAGATGGAAACACTTTCCAAGCAGTATGAAGAGCTGTACCACAAAAACAAGGACTTTGATGCCAGGTTGTTCTTGGTTGATGATGAAACTCTTTCCCCCAACAAAATAGAAGTGTGAGTTTCATGAAATGAAAATCATGTTGTTAGACATTTTTGCAGACAGCTACATATGTTTTTTTTTTTTATGTCAATATTCCTCGTAGGTCAAAGGTGGAAGTGACTCCAAGAAAGAATTTTCCAGGCGAGGATGTTGTAATTCCAGTTCCACAGACCCCAATCAGGTGCGACTGTGCTCCTTCATTACCCAAAACATGAAAGAGCTGATTTTAAGAAATTGTTACTAAAGATTTATGTTTCAAATAAATGCTGTTCTTCAGAACTTTCTATTTAGCAAAAAATCAAGAGCACCAAATCAGCATATTAGAACGATTTCTGAAAAATCCCAAACCTTTCTTGAAGAAAAGCAGCTTGGGAATTTTCTCACTAGAAATTAGGGTCACAGTCATTTGTATGGTATTATGTGCACCCAGCAGTTTTATAATACTCTAAGCTTATGCCTAACATCACATGATGGGATTCCCTCAGAGATCTGGTTTTGGTGTTTTCACGTGGCCCCTAAAGCTCTGTGCCCGGTTGCATAAAGCACCTTAAGTTTTTTTTCCCTTAAGTATGAGACTTAAGGCGTGATTTTCCCCTCAGCTAAGGGGATAACTTAAGGGTGTTGCATAAAATCCCTTAAACGGTTCTCTTAGGTAAGGGAAACCATTAAGTGTTTCACGACAGCGACCCAGGCTTTTCCGATATAAAATTAAATTGCTGCCATGGACACGTTATTTGTTAATACAGATAGCGGTAAGTTTCACAGAAAAGAGCATAACATGGATAAGGAAAACAAAACAAAAAAAGTTCATATGAAAGAGAAGGACCAGATGAGACAGAAACTCAAATTGATAGTTTACTCAAAATTGAACATTCTGTCATCAGACTCACCCTCATGTCGGTCAAAACCCATAAGACTTTCATTCATCTTTAGCAACAAATAAAGATATTTTTAATATTCGCTCATCATTTCTGTCCATTTATTGAAAGGCATATAAGTAATCCATATGATTCAGGCTGTTTCTGAAGCTCAAACGTGCGTGCAGACGCAAGAACCAATGAGGTTTGTTCTTGCGCGTGACACACGTTTGAGCTTCCGTTAAGCTTATAAGATGTGCTTTGTGTTTATATGTGAAAAAACAGCTAAATTTAAATTAGTTAGCCGATCGTCTCATTAGAAGACTTGGATTGAACCTGCTCGCTCCGTGTAACAAACACTAGGTGAAGTTTTCCAAACCTTATGTTTTACTTAGGAAAGTGACATTTAAGGGGCTTTATGCGGCATTTATCGTTTTTTAAGAGATTACTTGAGATACTAAAAATAGATACTTAAGGGTTTCTTCAGGTGAAACGTCATACAACCAAAGAATTTCCCTTAAGTAACGGAAGCTTGTCCCATTTTGCCAACACTTTTCACTCATGTTCCCCGGTTTTGTTTCTCCAGAGCTGCAATGAACTCCATACAGCAGCTCAGAGTTGATCTCACCTCAGCTAGTGACCAGCCCTCAAGCAATCTCCTAGTCTATTACAAGGTATTTCCTTAAAAAAAAAAAAAAATCTTAGACAGGATGGCTGGACTTACATTACACAGAAACAAAGTAATATGTCATATGGTTTATTTGGAATGTGTTCATCAGAACTGCACTGTTGACCCATCAGAAGAGATCAGAAAGAGGGTTGAGGAGCTGGGCCAGGTCTTCATCCAGAGGTTTGCACAGGCTGTGGGCCAGCACTGTGAGGGACTGGGGAGAAAGGTACTGCCAGCTATTTATTTATTTTTTACATTTATTGTAGGGCTGTCAAAATAACGCGTTAATTTCGATTAATTAATCTGAGAAGAAATAACGCGTTAAAAAAAATAACGCAGATTAATCCATTCCGTTTTGACCTTTGCGGAGCCGTTCTAGCCGTAGCCACCATTCGTGTAAAAAGGAGGGAGACAAGAACGCGCTGCTTGGATCATTGTTTGACGGAGTTCGTCAACTCTAAAGTACCACATCAATGCAAAGCATCCAGGAGTGTGTGCGTGAGTCGGTGAGTGTGTCTGAGAGAAAGCACGCTTGTGCGTGTGTGTGTGTGTTGTAACTTTTCACGCGCTCTCACGTCACACAACCATTTTCTCACGCACAGAAAAATCGCGCACCAAAGAGAGGACACGGAAACAGACAAGACAGACGTTATTATGATATTTAAAAAATCTCAGCTCTAAGATTCTGTCAATTTTATTACGAAAATCAAACAATAAATACCGTTGGCGCTTGTAAATGTGACATGACAGATCCCTATAGCGGCACGTGAACCGATCATCTCTAGCTAATAGTAAATAAACACGAATAAACAATGTTGAAAGATAAAGTAGGGCAGCCTAAAACTTACCGAAATATATTCCTCGATCAATCAGTGTTTTTCAACCGCGAAAAGAGGTCAATAAAACAGCTGGAGAACAATTATGTCACATAACATTTAGCCTAAGTTACATCAGGAAAGCCATTTCATGACCATATGATAGCACGTTATAGTTGGCTATAAAAAAAGAGCTATAGAGAGTGTCTTTCTAAATTTATGTAGCCTACTACTATATTACATATGTATATTTTTTACTTATATCAAAGTTGTTATTTGTAATAAACACGCATTATATTTAATTTGAGCTATTTTTAACCTTAAATATTACCAGCTGATATGGCTCTCTGTATTTTTACAGCATTGGGTGAGATTTTTTGTTTCTTGAGAAAAATGAATGCCTATCTTGTATATTTATCCAAATGAGTCAATATTGCATCAAATCACAAGAATTAAATTAAATTGAAGTCGTGAAATTTGTGTCAAGCAATAATAATAAAAACGTAGCTTACCAGAAATTGTACCATGTAAACATTGTAAGATTGTGTATGGGATTAATTTAGATTAATTAATTACAGAGTATGTAATTAATTAGATTAAAATTTTTAATCGATTGACAGCCCTAATTTATTGCCATCATTCTGTTTGAATCAGATAATATCATGCCTTTTTTAATTTCCAATTCATCGTATACCTGATTCATTTGAAGCATGTACAATTCCAGATTGCAGCTTTAGAGCGAATGCTGCCGATATTGGTTAGCGGTAAAAGAGCCAATGTTTGTGAATCTATAAATGACTCCCTAATAACAGTAATTGATTAGACAAGTGCTATATTTATTGCAACTCTCAGAAATTCATTACTGTTTGGGGTCAGTAAGATTACTTCTGTTCAGCAATCATGGTTTCCACAAATATAATTAAGCAGCACAACATAAAAAAAATGTTTCTTGAGCAGCAAATCAACATATTAGAATTATTTCTGAAGGATCATGTGACACTGAAGACTGGAGTAATGATGCTGAAAATTCAGCTTTGCCATCACAGGAATAAATTACTTTTTAATATATATTTAAATTGAAAACCATTATTTTAAATTGTAATAATATTACAGTTTGTCCTCTATTTTTGATCATATAAAGGCAGCCTTAGTGAGCATACAAGATTTTTCAAAAACAAAAAAATCGTACAGACTCCAAACTTGCTCAGTAGTGTAGGTGATGTACAACAAAGGGGCAAAGTTTTTGTGTGTGTGTTTTCAGCGGTTTAATCTTGGTGCCCAACTCTACTACAAAGTCATGGAGTCAATGCTTAAATCGGTAAGCCTTATAAAAACCTGATATACATTTTACATGCTTTCATTTACATGCTTTTCATATTTATTTTTTATGGCCACATGTTTTATTTTTAGGAGGAGAAGAGATTATCAGTGCAGAATTTCAGGTAAAAACAATGAGCATCTTCTCAGATCATTAACTGTCATTTATCAGATCATTATGGTCATAAATCTATGAAACGTACACTGACAATTAATCATGTTACTTCCTTTTTTAGTAAACTTCTCAACAATGCAGCATTTCATACCTCATTGCTTGCATGCGCCCTGGAAGTTGTAATGGCAACTTATGTTGGTTAGTATTTTTTGGCATACTTGGCAGTTACACCATTTTTTCTTAAACTCCTAGTGTTACCCATAGTCACCCTTTTAGTTTCAGTTTGTAGATTGCATTTAAGACAGAATTAGATTGTATGCGTTAACCACACATTGTTTCCTTTTCCAGGGAACTCCTTAAAAAATGGAGGTTTTGGCAGCTCAGGGGCCAGCGATTCCATTGAAACTGATCTGTGCTTCCCCTGGATCTTGGACGTCTTCCAGCTGCCTGCTTTCAACTTCTACAAGGTGATAGAGAGCTTCATCAAAGCCGAGCCCACCCTGAAGCATGACATGATGAAGCACCTGGAGCAGTGCGAACATGTTATCATGGAGAGCCTTGCGTGGAGAGCGGTGAGTAACTGTCTGCTGCCATTCATGTTGATTGTTTCATCCATTCAGTCACTGAATTATCTGTTTAGCAAGCATTCAGCTTATTTTAGCTCATTGACTAGCACTTCCTCTACTGCCGGTTGGCTCTTTGTGCACCAGGCTGCTGGAAAAGTAGTAAATGAGGGGGTTTAAGCAGCAATTGGTGCTGGCCAGCGAGAGCACTATGGGATGGAGAGCTTTAGTGACTTGAGCAAGTCCACAGCTGTGCACAATGCCCACCTGTGTGAGAGTGTAACCCAGTAGATTGAGGTGGTAAGGGGTGAAGCAAAGGAAAAAGACCACCAGGACCCAGTAGATGACGGTGAGTGTGCGTCGGTGCCGGATCTTCCTGCGGTGAGGCAGCCTGCGGAGTACACGGAGTATGCTGCAGTAGCTGAACAGCAGGAGCAGTGCGGGCAGCAAGTAGGCCATTTGCACCAGGCTGAGAGCAGCTAAAATAATAGTACTGTGGCGTTTGGAAGAAGGATCCATAAGGCACGACTTGTGCCGTCGGGATGCCGCCGAATGCAGGAATGGTAGAGCGAGGCTGAGGGCTAGGACCAGGCACCAGATCCCGGCGCTGAGCATGCGGGCAGTACGGACCTTCCTCAGGTGCTGAAGTAGAGGGTTAACCACAGCAAAGTAGCGGTCTACTCCAATACAAACCAGGAAGAAGATTCCTCCATATAGACTGATGTACTTCAACGTGAAGGTCATCTGACAGAAAGTAACCCCTGGAGACCAGTCGCTGGTGCGGTTGGAGGTGCCGGCTTTGTTGTGGTAATAATAGATGCGCAGGGGGAGGGAGATCACAAAGAAGATGTCCGCAGCAGCCAGGTTGGCCATGTAGACGGCGGTGCTGGTGAACGTTCGAGGCATGCGGCAGAAATGCCGTAGCGCTGTGGCATTGCTGACTACACCGAATATGAAGATTACGCTGTAGGAGATCTTGTAGTAGGTGAAACGGTAGCTGGTGTCCACAGTGCAGTTGGCTTGGATAGATGTGTATGTTGTGTTATGGAGATCCATGATCACTTTCGGCTTGGGTGGCCCTCGTTTGTATCAATCAAAACCTGCCTCTTGTGGTCCAGAACCAAATGTGGAATCTTCTTTTGGCGAGAGGGACAATAGCTTTACCGTTATAACACTACTTGTTTTAAAAAAAAAGAGGTTTAAAGCATCATGGCTTGGTAATCTCACATCTTAGGCTTTTTTTTTTGGTTACATCATTTGAAGTCCAAATGACTCCTCTTCATACAGTCACCTGAAAATGTATAAGGAAATTTGAAAAGTTACAACTTCCTCTTCATATAAAGTGAACCACCTGCTCTCACCTGGACATAATCAGCTAGGACAGCTATGTCTATATGACCTGGGTTTATGGATTGGAAATGTAAAGTGATTGAATTATGACAGAGGATGGGTTTATTTAAAAAGCAGCCAATGCTACTAGTAAAGGACTGTAGAAGTTTCATTAATGGTAAACTGCCTGTGATTTATACACACTGTAAATGTGCACATTTAAACTTGTCTTATCCATGTTAAATTAATTGAAAACTCAATTTTGTCTGCTATACTTGAGAATATTTTCAGAAATGTTTAGGTATAGATATAAAGGCAGCATAAAATAATCCATATTACTAATTTAATTTCTCAACGAATTTGTAATGTTTAAAACATGAGTTAATTATATCATTCGATCCTCTTTTTAAAATGTGGTTATGTGGCTCAATACAGCTTGTTAAATGCTATCCCTAGTAAAAAAAAGTATACTTTATTGTATTTGAAATATATTCCCTTTTTCAATAGTAAAATAGTATTGCAAATATACTAACATCTTTAAATATATTAAAAGTATATTAGCATTATGCTTTTACCTATTTTCACAATACAACTTTTAACACACTTAATAATTGTACTTTAGTATATTTTCTTAATTTATTTTGGAAAACAATATTATTTTGTACAAAGTATAGCCAAGTTTTATTTGTCTTCAATAACAAATGTACATTATTAGACAAAGTATGCAATTTGTAGTATTTGGAATAAGCAAAGGTATTAATGAGCCTATACTTTTTACTGAAATATATCATACCACGGGCAAGTGCGTTGACGTGCTTCGGGAGACCCGAGTCGTGGACCTTTCCCGATCAAGTCTCTCTCTCTCTCTCTCTCTCTCTCTCTCTCTCTCTCTCTCTCTCTCTCTCTCTCTCTCTCTCTCTCTCTCTCTCTCTCTCTCTCTCTCTCTCTCTCTCTCTAATATCCTAATAAAAGGCGAAAACGTCAAAAATAAAAAAATTTTACAAATAAAAAATAAAGAAATACACTTATGGTATATTGCTTGTATGTTTCGAAGACACTTGTAATGAATTTGCAATGTACTTGTTACAGAAAAAAAGTACACTTTAATATCACTAATCAAGCATGCAATTAGTCCCTCCCTACACATATACTTGAAGTATACTAACTAGTATACTTGAAGTTGGTCCAAGTTTAGTACACTAAATACACTTACAGTTATGCTTTACTACAATTTAATTACAACTAAAATATACTTAGTACAAAATTAGTTGTTTCAAAATAGCACACTGCAAGTTTAACTAATCATTAACACACTTGAAGTATACTGTTAATTAATCTGGCTGCAAGTATACTTAACTTTTTTTTTTCACCGGGGATTTATTAACAGAAATGCACATATAGTGGTAGTTTTAGGTAGAACAAGTTTTTTTATTAAATTGAGAGCGTAAAGGAGAGACTAACAGAAACTGATAACAATCCATTCTTCATGGAATAATTGTTGATGGCATGATCTAAATTTTAGATAGCACAGATAAAATACATGGAATAGACTTACCATTTTGCTTTATCATCCATTTTTATCTGAATCTTCTCTGTGATCTCTCTTGGCTAGTTGAACATGCTCTGTTCGCTTTCAGGCTTGAGTGAAGGTGTCTTTAACAGCTATTAAGACAATATATTGTCACACTAAATCAATAAACGTGTGTGTGTGCGTGCATGTACCATATATCTGTTCAGATCTGGATGGGGGTGTGTGGATTTATTATTGATAAAGTAGTTCAGCTCTCTTTGAAATAGTGGGCAAAAACGCTTTTACAGTCTGAATCTTTTGTAAATCATACTGACAATTTTTTATGAAGTTATTTCTGTTTTTTCCCCCCACATTTAAAATTTCATACAGAAGATAAGTAGACTTTAGCGACTGCTAAAATTCATTCAGTAAGCACATTTCACTTCTGTTACCGGTACTTAATTTTTATTTTTGGAATGAACAATTCATATAGCTTCATTTTCCATTGATTTTTAGATTCAGTTTGTAAATGTTCAAATTTTACATTGCTCTTGTAAATCCATTTTTGGTTTTCTGTGACATTGTACATTGCTGTTGCAAATTCTGATAATTGTCAAAATGATGTTATCTAACTGGCTTACATAAATATGAGGTTTTGTTGAAATTACAAAAATGATTTGTGAGTGTAGCGGTGTGTTCTTTGCGTTGTCAACCAAGAATCACTCTTGAATGCTGAAATTCGTCCCTTCAATCCTTGTTTATTTCGTCTGGGGTAACAAACAGATAACGAGGACTCGTGTACGCTGATAAAGATAAAGGATAAAATCAACGTAAAGAAACCTACTTAAAGAAAGAAAATAATTCATAAAACATACATGTGTCCAACACAGAGGGACTTAAAGTCACAATTACACCAGTATAACGTATGAAACAATGAGTTACAAGAAATACGGCCTTATTAAATCAGCACGTAAACGTGTGTGACCTACCGCTGTGAATGCTCATGAGGAAAGAAGAAAGAAGCAAAGTTTATTTTGTAAAGAAAAAAGTAGTAAAAAATTATCTTTTTTAAAGGGGTCTTATGCCCTTTTGCAAAGTCTTGATTTTGTTATTGGGGTGTACTAGAATGTTTTCAAGCTTGATTTTTCTTTTTACATATTTTACATTATTACTGCTCCTCTCTCCCCAGTCTGGTTGAATGAAAAGGTTACGATGAAGCCCCTCCTTCCATGATACAAAATGTGCTGTGATTGGTTAGCTGACCCAGTGTGTTGTGATTGGCAACGTGCTGTACAAGTCACTTTCTTGCTGGACTTTCCTGAGACATTATGTTGTGGTCCATTTATATGTTTAGCACTACACAGGAAATATATAACAAACTTTTTACTAGTGCAAATTTAAAAATAATAATCTTTTCCTGAGCTCTGACATTTTGTGAGTCAGCTATTTTTGTTATTTCGTCCTGTATGTATATGCATATATGTAGTATGTATGCTTTCATGTATTTTTTTTATGTATGCATGACACCCCACGGAAGAGAGGGGTGGGATGAGCAGTTGCTCATCATTTAATGAGACATGCACCGAAACGGGTCACTGTGAACAGCTGTTTTTGAGGAGGTAAAAAAGGTGTTATACACAAGCATTGAGGGATTTTAACCAAAGTATGTTACAAACTGTACATGAAGACCCTAAGAATCATACCAAGTTGTGGAAAATGGGCATTTGATGACCCCTTTAAGTTTTAATGAATGAACAGCCCGTTTTAAAATCTTCCCGGTCTACTGACATATGTTAAGACATCTGCTTTAAACATTACATTTACTTAACATTACTTCAAGTTCACCAGCTAATTACTCTTCGACAGCAATGCCATATAAATATACAGAGCTACCGCTAAAACTGAAGTTCAATAATCTAAAGATGGCTGTGCACTTGTTTCTCTGGTGCATAAGGTCTATAGCATCTGATAAATATTTTATCTTGTAGATTGTGCGCTCATCACCGCCGCTTCCTATACACATAGTATGTGCGATCGCGAACCCGAAAGTGAAACGCGTGCTCCCTGATGCGCGCAAATTAGGCTACACACAATAGCCTGTCTCCCAATATCAAACCTATCTCTGGACTATGTAGTTGTGGCTCTGGTCTCTGTTTGCACTTTGAATATTGAGAGAATACCGTAACGTCTGAAGAACGACAGACAAGGGAGGCTCCGTTTCTGAACCTTTAATCGGAACGCAAGAACAACTCTACACAAACGCACCAGCCTAACTCACTCGCTCGTTTCTCTCTACCCGACCTTTTTCCTTACTAGCTTAACCCTATAACTGCCGGTTTAAAATAAAACTTCAATAAAATTTCACAACAATTATAAAGAGTCTGTGCGCTATAGTACTTTGATTATGCTTGCACTTGAATTTATTGTTTGCACTTAAGACTTAGAATTTTTTTATTTTTTTATTTATACTTTTAATTTGTTCAATTTGTGGAAAGCAGTTAAATTAGGAGGTCACACACAGCCTCAATCAGAAGATCTGAAAGCTCATAATTCATGTACAGTAAAGTCTGAAGAGACTCATGTGAAATCATACAGCAGAAAAGCCAGTCAGTGGAGTATGTGGCAAAACCTTTTACAGTGCTTGTATGTTGTTGTCTTTCAATGCATTTGATAATTCATATTCATAAAGTAGAACTGAAATTACATTCATTACAAGATTATTAGTTAAAACATTTCAAATTGCTCATTGTGCAAAAATCTTGTCTCGTGAGATAATGTGTCTCGTCACAGCCCTAATTTACAGTAATCGCTTTATTCAGAAATGCAGCTTGTTTTTCATTCACAAGCTTTGAGCTGGAACAGTCTTGGCCAGTGTTACACCCCTTAGGCTTCTCGGTGTGTGTGTGTGTTTGTTTATGTGTGTGTTTGTATCTGCCTGCCTATCACATACTGTTTAAAATGCCCTTAAGAGGTACAATTCGAGAATGTTTGAGAGCGTGACCCCTGGGCATGCGAGGAATGAGTGTAATTCAGCATGGCTCGTTCAGACCTGTTCAACGCTCCTGAAATGCAGTTTCAATTTTGATTTGAGTTATTCAATTCCTTCATGGTATATTTTAAAAACTGTATTTAAAAAAAGGTTATTTAAAAATTAAAATAAGAGATTAAAAAAATCAGAAATTGTCATATACAAAAAAGACTGAAAAAACAAAACACTGCTTGAGCTACTGTTGGGTAAATCTCTAACCGCATAAAAGAAGGCACACCCTGCAGACCTCTTCGTCATCAGCTTAATTTCTTACAATGACAAACCCTGATATAATCTGTTGACCAAAGCACAGTTAATGTAATCATTCTCTGTGGGTCGCTCCCTTTTCCTCTCACTGTTTGTCCTCAGCCTGAGCATGGATGTAATGGAATTATATAAGTGTGACTTGGCTCGGATAATTTTATGGGAACCTTTTTTTTTTTTACCCCAGTGTCATTTATGTTACAAGAGAGTTTTGATAAGCATAAACTAGAGGTTTAATGAATCATTTAATAGTCAATAATACATTTAAATCTAAAAACATAACGGACACTTTACAAGGTTCAATTAGTTAACATTAGTTAATGCAAGAGCTAACATGAAATAACAATGAACAATGCAGCAGCCACAAGTTTTACAGCATTTATTAATCTGGGTTAATGTTAATTTATGTATACATTTTGTATAAATTAACAATGTATTTTGAACAAACATGAATTAACAATGATAAAAAGTATTTATCTTTATAAACTAACATACCTGGAATATTGAATGTTGTAAAAAAAAAAAAACCTATCTATTATTAACTGATGATGCCTAATCCATTAACTAATGTTCAATTAATCTCATTGTAAAGTGATCCTGTTTAGACTCTTTTAATGTGAAGCAAGACAATTTGAGGCTTATTTCATCTATTGTCCGCCTTGAAATGTAGCATTTAGTCCAGAAATACTGTTTTTTTCTTGTTCAGGTCACAGTCATATACACTTATTTATTTTACAATTTAAAGATCACTAATCCATTAAGGCAAATGTTAGAGAGTTTGGGTTGTAAACACACATTCATTGTAGCACCAAAAACATACTTTATATTTTTGCAGTCAGCAGTCTTCAGTTAGTCATCAGTCAAATATATCCTGTGCCAAACAATTGCTAACATTGGCTGAATATGTCAGATGAGAATTTGGTATAAAATTGGTATAAAAAAATTGGCTGCCTGAACTTTGGTTAAATTGTAGACTCTTCAATTATGAATTTAGCTTTTAGAGAGATGATTTTATTCATCGAACTGCTTCTGTTATCACTGGTGTCAACTGTGTTGTTTAATGTGTTTTTGTGGACAGCATAAGACTTCCGTTTAATAGAGTTCTGAATCGTCTCTGAGGTGAAGTAATAGATCACTGGGTCAAAACAACAGTTGGTCACAGCAATGCAGAACGTGATTGGATAAATCGTCCGGACCACTGACTCCACAGTGCAGTTCGTAATAACCTGAGTTCTGACCAGGGTGTAGAAGACCAGATTGACATTGTACGGGATAAAGCAAAAACAGAAAATTAACAAGTGCACTGCAATCATACGCAAGATCTTGGCCTTGTTCAGCTGCCCTCCACGGTTAATGCACTCTGGGTGTCGTAAAGTCTGCAGGACCCTCATAGAGCAGGTAAAGTTGATCATTAACGGAATCAAGAAGCCCACTGTCTCCATACACACCACAACTTTTGAAACCATGGACTTCCACTGCGAATTTGAGAAATTCTCAAAACAGTAGGTTTTGTTGTTCATGTGTGATGTGGTGTCCATCACAAACCCTGCGGTTAGGCCTCCCGACAGGAGAAGCACCCATATCACACAGCAGGCTATTCTAGCATTGCGCTTTGTCCTCAATGTTTTAGATGCGAAGGGATGAACGATTGCCAGGAAGCGATCCACGCTGATGCACGTGAGGAAGAGGATGCTGCCATACATATTGGTGTAAAACAAGGCCACTGAGATTTGGCAGAGAGCTTTACCAAAAGGCCACGTACGATTGATGAAGTAGAACGTCCTGAAAGGCAAGCTGAAGACAAAGAGAGTATCCGAGGCCACAAGGTTCATCATGTACGTTGTGGTCTCGTTGCGCATTTTCAGTCTACATACAAAAATGTACATGGCCACCATATTGAAGAGAAGCCCGAGAATAAAGACGATACTGAAAACAGAGCTGTATAACACATATTTAAAAACATCACTGTTGATGGTGCAACTCTTGTTATCGGTCATCATTAATGTTGTTTGGCTTAAAAGGAGTCACTGTCCTGTGTTGCTTTCAAAGGTCAGAGAACCACAACATAAAATTCCATGGAGATCCATGTAAAAGTATACAAATCCAGTCTGTAAACATTTCACGGGGTTGCCTTAAGAAGCTTCTTACCGTTCAGATGTTGCGCTATCCTACTGTCAATGTGCAACGGAAGTTCACACGTAAACGTTTGCATTAACAAGCCGCATTAGATTGCCTTTTTTTTCTCTTCTCAAGGTGTGGTGGAAGATGTGTGTGCTTCAATGAATAGCTGCCTTGTTATCTTCACTGGAAGTTGGTTTGTAGTTGTTTGCTCTTTATATCTGAAGTTACAAGGTGCTCGCAAGATTTGTGATGCTAATAAGACTTCTTCAATCTTTACGCTTTGATGAATAGTTAATCCGTAGCCGGTTGATTTTCTTCACAAAAAAAGTGACAAGATATTTCCATAAATCAGCCCAGTTTTGATTTCAGTGTCTTGTTCCTCCTCTTGGCTTCCCTTTACTGAGACTTGATGATCTTCTGTGTCTCTTCAAGATCTTCATAGTTTGTCACTTTGTTGTAGCAATGTGAGGTATTTAGTACCCAACCTGCTGTTCAGTCTCTAGTTTACACAATGAGATGTGCATCAATGTGGAGGACTGGAAAGCAGGCGAGAAGGCGGGGCTGAGGTTAAACCACCTCCTCTGTAAATATCATCTATAGCTCCCTCGTTCTTCCCTTTTGCACGTAGTACACTTTCAGAATGAGTTTCTATACACTGTTCACATGTTATTGGTTTGCATACCTAGTGAATGATGTTTTAGCGTATTACAGTCTAGCAACATTTCTTTAATATTAAGGATAAGATCTCTATTTCCTGTTAAATCACATTTGTTAACTATTAAATGCTTTAATTTTTTAATGATCTCTTAATTATTTGTTATTCTATACTGGATGAATAAAAAAAAGTCTCTCAAAGACTGATTCTTTCTTTCATTAAGAAAAATTGATGTTGTAAGGGTGAAGATCAACAAAGACTTTTGCTTCCCTTCTTCCAACCCACTACAAGGGAGATGTGAAGCAGAGAGGTGCTGATAGTGATTAAAGCCCGTAGGTCTTGTATTTGTATGTATATCAGGAGTCTGCTAATTTTCACACCTTTAGTACAGTGGGGGAAGTTGTCATCTTCTGATTGGTCAGTTTAAATGTCTCACGTTTGGGTCAAGGAAGGGAACAAAGAAGATTGTAACTGTTGTTCTGGGCTGTTCTTTTCTCTGGCCTTGATTGATGTGTGTGTGTGTGTGTGTGTGTGTGTGTGTGTGTGTGTGTGTGTGTGTGTGTGTGTGTGTGTGTGTGTGTGTGTGTGTGTGTGTGTGTGTGTGTGTGTGTGTGTGTGTGTGTGTGTGTGTGTGTGTGTGTGTGTGTGTGTGTGTGTGTGTGTGTGTGTGTTATGTAATAGCACATTGCCCATTGATTCCTAGGTACATACGAAGAGGGATTGTCAGTCCAAAGTTTACATGTTTAACTCTGTGACATCACGCATACAACACAATATGCAAACTCTGAGCTTGTAAATCAAGTGTTGAGAGTTAATTTACTGTTTGTCGAACCTGGAGGTTATTTAAATAAAATTAATAGAAAGCTTGCAAATATATCAATTTGCAGTTATTTTTTATTTTAAGTTAAGACTTTTTTATGCAATATTAAATCACCAAGAAAAAAATATTTTATATATTTTATATAAGAAAAGTATTTTTTAGCTTAGTAAGTATTATTTTAAAGCCCATCTTTCAAGTTGAAGATCCCTGTGAATAGACGTGTAGATAAATAGTGTAGGAACTCGATTTGCGTGAAGAAATTAATCATAAATGTGCATTAAAGTTTTTTTTAAAGAAATTGTGAGTAAAATTACTTCCGCTGTCAAAAACGCTCTGATCGGACGTGACGTAACGGCGGTAAATCTCATCTCTTCGTAATGGAGTCAGACATTGAAGAGGTTGCAGTAGGGGTTCATGTCAACTCTTCCGATGGGGCATTGCCGTATAATTATGAGCCACCTAGGCGAGAGAGGGGTCAGGCAGAGTTAAGGGGAAGGGTAAATGGACAGAGGAGAGAGATCGAGTTGTGGTGTGAGGAGAATCGGTGGAGAATTGGGCAGGTGTCTTGGTGAGTGACCACAGGCTATAGCTAATTGTGGCTAACGTTGTCTCCATGTTTATCACATTGCAGTATCTTTAATAAATCATACTTAGCAATAATGCTGTCGACTTTGTTGTTTTTCAAGCATCCATGTATATTGTCACCATCTATGCTAGCAACATGCGTCTTAAAATGTTTAATTTAGATCCCAGATTTTCCGAACATAGCCGGCTGTTATACTACTCCCCTAGTATTTCTGACCATTACCACCCGTTCCCTGCCGAATTTCTGACCATTACCGCCCGCCGAATTTCTGACCATTAACGTTCCCGCCCGTTTCCGCCGAATTTCTGAACTTACCACCCGTTTCCGCCGAATTTCTGACCATTACCACTGTTCCCGCCGAATTTCTGACCATTACCACCCGTTCCCGCCCGCGCCCACCAAACTTCTGACCATTACCACCCGTTCCCGCCGAATTTCTGACCATTACCACCCGTTCCCGCCCGCCGAATTTCTGACCATTACCACCCGTTCCCGCCGAATTTCTGACCATTACCACCCGTTCCCGCCCGCCGAATTTCTGAACTTACCACCCGTTTCCGCCGAATTTCTGACCATTACCACTGTTCCCGCCGAATTTCTGACCATTACCACCCGTTCCCGCCCGCGCCCACCAAACTTCTGACCATTACCACCCGTTCCCGCCGAATTTCTGACCATTACCACCCGTTCCCGCCCGCCGAATTTCTGACCATTACCACCCGTTCCCGCCCGCCGAATTTCTGACCATCACCGCCCGCGCCCGCCGAATTTCTGCATGCACCGATGGCACAGCTCCATTTGCCAGCACTCTCTTCGTCGAAATCCCATGCGAAATTCCATAAGATCTCCTTGGTTGTAGCTGTCCGGTGTGAAGTGTTTTTCACATACCACCGTGTGTCTTGTCACCGAGGAGGCAGAGAAATTGCTTCTCTTTGCCTGGACGAAACGTATCCAAGCACGGAAATCTTTGTGTTTCTTGTTTGGAAATCGGTGGACCCGATGACCAGACAAGTTGGAGTGGTTGCATCCAAAACAAACACAAGAATTCACCATTGTGACAACTCAACTATAACGATACAAGCTCTATTTTCTGTACCACCTCTCAGACTACGTAAACCCACACTGAGAACCAGGGCAGCAACGCCTATTTGTTTGCCTGTCGTTGCGTCATATGACGCGTTCTCTGGAAAAGGGCGTTTTTTTTTTAGCCTAGCTTAAATAGGTACACTTTTTTTCTTAATTTCTGCCTGTGGGTGTTGTAAAACATATGTATTCTTATGTATGTCTTTTTAAATTGACATTTTCATACAAGATTCTGTATAAATTAAGTTATACAATTAAATTGAAAGATGGCCTTTAAATGATCTCCATTATTTCCTTTATTTAAAGGTTCTCTAAGCGATCCTGGGTGACGTCACTTCTTGTTGACGTTCAAACTATTGTCAAACAAAACGGAGGCTATCTAGACCCTCCCTCCTCCTTCTGCACACTAACCCCCCAAACCCTTCTTGTCGGTCATTGGCTGGAACAGTTTGTTATGTTTCGTGGAGCGGCAGTTTGTTTTTGTTGCTGTTTGTGGAGCCTGGGCTGTCTACAGAGATCGCGTTTCTTTACACACTGTTATCCCTTGTGTTATGTTGCGGGTCAATTTGACCCGTTTCGATTTTCAAGTTGTTGGAAATACTGGTTAACCTTTGTTTTTTTTCTTGATATTTTGTGACTTTTTCTCATTTATCATGATGAACATGCATGCAAAGTTTCAACATGCTGATGTGTTTTGACATATACAAACAAAATTACTGTTACGTTCGTGATGTTCGCGGGTCAATTTGACCCTCATAGGCAGCCATTCAAAAGCAACTGTACAGACACAAAATAAAAACATTTATTTTCTGTATGTCAGGGCACTTCAACTCCAGTTCTAACGTGCAAGTGCATCTAAAAGTGCTCTAACCCTAACCAAACACACTTGAAAAAGATAAAATTGCAGTGTTCAGAATTATTTGCAAATTACAGATGAAAATCTTTGTCAGACACAGATAGTAAAATAAGCTCTCATTTCAATATTCAAAATATCTAAAATACCTAGCTTTTAACCAAAACTTTTATGTAGGATTTTCAAAGGCAGATTCACAGAGCCAAAAAATAAATAAAAAACATTTATTTGATGTATGTTTTTGTTATGTTTGGTTTCTCACTTCCCAGTGAGTGAATAATGAAACTAGGAAAATAGGTCTTAGGAAACTAGGGAAAGTTAACTTAGGAAAAGGAAAAATTTTCATTATACAGCAATTTTTTTTGTTCAGTTACGATGTTCAAAGCATAAAATGTAAAAAAAAAAAAAAAAAAAAAAAATATATATATATATGCAAAAAAATCAGTATACTGTTTATTTTCCAATTTTGTCAAAACAAAACTGTTTTAAAAAATGTTTTAAAAACATTTTCATAAATCATATTTTCAGATATAATGTTTTTGTAATGTTTGACAAATGCTGATATTAAAAGTTTACAGTTTGTATCTAAATCTTTGTTGTTTTTCATAGTGTGATTTTTTAGGAATTGTATTGAATCCAATTAGGGTCAATTTGACCCGGTCCATAAGGGGAGTACACAGAATTCGAACAGAACACAAGGGTTAAGGGGACAGGCAGCCAGCGGTTAGTGAGGAGATGTTTGCTGTATGTGACAAAAAATGTTTTGGCCTAAAAAACGCGTGACATCGCTTAGAGCACCTTTAATAAGCAGTGTTGCTTATTATTACATGCTTATAACATGAACTAGTTCAAAGTTCAGTTCACAAATTTTAAAATGAACTAGTTTAGTTTATAGTTCATACTTAACAATTTTGAACTAAGTTCACAGTTCCAAAAAATTAACTAGTTCATAGTTCTTTTTTTCCTTATGTTGCTGCGAGCTATTTTTTATTATTGCCACAGCCCATATACAACCACAGACAGCAATTATTTTATCGGCGGGCAAAGTTTGCACAGAAATGTCAGATTTTTCCCATCCTCACCAACCTTGTCTTAAAACTGATCATACGATACGACGCCTACTCAGGGCCGGATTAACCATTAGGGCAACTGGGCACTTGCCCAGGGGCCCACGACATCTAAGGGGCCCTGGGCACCAGGGGCGGAGTGGCAATCGGGAGAGTCGGGAGTTTCCCCGGTGGGCTGGTAGTGTTTCGAGGCCGCGAGGGCCGGTCTGATAAAATGTATTCATTGCAAGTTCGCCATGCGCACTAGTTGTGGCCCAAGCGAGGGAAAGCAAAAAAAAAATTTTAGATAATGGAGCGTATATTTGCACTAAGTGCCTGTGTTTTTAGCAAAAAGACGCCCGTCACGGAATAGCTACAGTGGCGTAGGTCGTAGCGCGTGAAGTGCTTGATAGCAGCTTTTGACGCGCTCGACCCGAGTTCGAATCCGCCTTTTACCGAACTCTCTCTAACTCCCTTTTCCCAACACATATGAGATGTAAAATGCATAACCTAACATAAAGGTCTCTAGCGTTATATTTTGCCAACGAACTAAAATCAAAACCATGGCTTTGTGCCTTTATAAAACAGCACAAGACTTTAAGAATAGGCATCCTGTTTGTGCTGGGTGATTTAAAGAAAAGTGTGCACTTTGCTCACGCGATCAGCATGGTGATCTGGTGTTTTCTCCTAAATAAAAGCTCAAGGGTTTATTTCTTGCAAGTGAAGAAATTAGGACAAAAGTATTTTAATTTTCCTGTATTATAGTGTAATGTAGATTTAGTGTAAAATATACTTTTGAAATATTCATTTTCATTTATAGTATATTTATAGGCTATATGGATTTTACGTCATAGGAATAATTATATAAATCATTATTATAATAATTGTTTGGCATTCTAAAACACCATTGATAATGTAATGTAGACTGAGACTCTCATAACTAAAAAGATGTTTGAGCCCTCTTTATTGTCCTGGTACAAATCAATGCTTTTTCTTTGTTCAACGAGCAGTTCATGGGTTGAAGCTCTTTATTTTGAGCTCTCAAAGAGCAGGAGATTGATGCATTTTACCTTAAAATGTACAACATTTTCTTGCGGGGGAGCATGCCCCCGAACCCCCCTAGAGGCACAGAGGTCCACCCAACATAGTTTTACAAATTCCTATGGGAAAGAACGACCATTTATGAACTTTACTCCAGCATAGTACAACAAAGTTCCTTTTAAGTCAGTAAAACTGTAAATGCCATATTAAAATGTCCTTGGACAAAATATACATTTGGCCTGCCTAAGGGGGGGGCCTACAAGACATTGTGCCCAGGGGCCTCTGAACTCTTAATCCGGCCCTGCGGCTACTTGATGCTCTGTCAACTACATGCTGCTTTTTATTTTAATGACGCATGCGGCGGTGCGACACTGGTGGCTGGTGTTGCCAGATTGGCTGTTTTTTTCGCTACGTATTAAGACCTGTTTACATGTGTTTTAGCCGGGTTTTCGCCTGGAAGGCTCTATAGAAATCTGGCACCCTATTGAACTAAGTTAAACTGAGAGAGCGTGCGTTCACAGACACCAGAATGAACGCGTTCACAGTAACGTTCATCAGGCAGTAATACAGTATGTTCAGTTCACGTTTGTTCAAAATATGAACGAGTTCAGGCACAACAGTAGCTGCGTTTACATGGTTCAATCGGAATGAAATCAATCCGATTAATGAATCCGAACACGTTGTTTACATGAACGATAAATAAAGTAATCGGGTTGATGTCATAGACTGTAAAAAAGGTTGATTTGCGCGTTTATATGTCACAAGATTCAAATCGGAATTGATTTTTTGACATGCGCACACTGCACTAATATGCCGCTGTTTGCGCATAACTATTCTCTATTGGTTCTTTATTTTTTTTAAACGGCAGACTTTATCTGTCTCTGGTCATGATTTGGAGACGATGAGCATGAACCGTTTTGCCGTGCTGCTTATATTGATCACGCTGTAAAACCCCGCACCCAAAAACAGTCGTCCATGGGTGATAATCTGAAACAAGCACTGGTGGGGCGTTGTCCTGCTTCACTTCACAGTCGCTGAGTGAAATGAGAATTTTTTAATAACGGAACACTCATTTATATTCACTTTATTCAACAGGAAGAACAGCTCATTCCGTGCGTCATACGTCATCACGCTATTTCAACGTTATTGCACATGCGCAGTCCTTTAAGTTTCGGTTTTCAATCCGATCAAGTGTTTACATGTTCTCTCGATCGGATTACAAAAAGAGTAAACCACCCCTTTCAATCCGATCGAAATTTCAATCGGATCGAGCTCAATCGGATCGATTAAGGTGTTTACATGAAGGTTTTTTAGTCTGATTGAGCCGTCAATCCGATTATAAGTGTCCATGTAAACGCAGCTACTGTTAATAAGTTATTTATTGCAGAAAATGTCTTGATTTGCATGCAGACATAATCATGAGGTTTTGGGTGTAAATAAAGTTCTTCAGATGAATTGAATGGATTTATTGATCAAATAGTGTTCAAATATAATGTCAAATGGTATAAGTATACCCATTCAGTAAAAGACTCATTGTATCCTGATTATCCTCTAATCAGTTCCCTATTCACTGAGCCGGCAATAGTCTCGGTTTCAGAGCCGTGATGTAACTCTGTCTTGTTCTTCTCTGTAGGACTCTCCTCTCTTTGACCTCCTCAAACAGTCTCGTGAGGAAGGATCTGGTGAACAAGCAGAGCCCCCCGCAACATTGAACCAACCCCTGCATCACAACCACACCGCTGCTGACCTGTGAGTCATCTCTCGAAACTAGGGCTATATAATTCTGAGCCAGTCACAACGTCCTGTTCAAAAGGATACAGTCGCATAAGTATAAAAGAAAGGGCTAGTTACTTGGTCTAGTTTTAATGGAAGAAGCAACTCTTTTGAAGTCGTTCTCTACCACTACTCAATGAATGTTGCACATGCAGCTGCAATTCCTGTAAATAATTTGCCTTAAACAGGAAATATGACACATTCTAACATAGGAAGTTATTGCATAACCAATGATGGGAAAAAACAGACAAAATCAGATTTTTCTGCCCCTCTAGCAGGCAGATTACTGTATATGAGTGGAGTGGATTTCAAATTATTCTCTAGTGAATCTACTGCTCCAGACCCAAGCAGGAGACCTCTCTCATTTCTCGCTCGTACCGCAGCCGCATTCCGAGTTCCTTTCGCTCCTCCATACTGTCATATTCATTTTTCACACCAGTCTTCTGCCTTTCAAGTTTCACGGTTAAATAAATGTCTGCGGTATTGGTGACTTTTTAAATCTCGTTAACTTGACTTTTTTTCACGTGGCTCACACAGAACTCAACACATTGTGAGACAAAAATTAATTATAAACCTGTTTATCAACATGATCTGACTTTTGCAATACATACATTTATGAAGCAGCACAGAATACTGAAGTGAACTTATCACACAGTGCTTGGAAATGTCTATTGGGATTGATGTAGAATGAACGGGGCTTAAACACGCCGTATAAACAGGAAAGCTGATTCAGTCTGGAAATTTAAGCAGTTTATTCAGCAATTTAAGATTTACACCCCCAAAAATATTTCTGTCTGTTTTTAAGATTTACAAGTTTCAATTGTGACAAATTTTCATCAAATTGAATAGAGAAATCTTTAAATGGTAGACTCACATTTCAGTAGTCTAGTCTATTAGTCTAATAAGCTAAAAGATAGAATTACCAGGTTCAGAATTTAATAGGAGCGCGGGTCAAAAATACCACGGAAATTTAAAAAAGTGCCTCAATTTAAGAGTCCCCTCTGAGTTTTTTTTTTAATAAGATATCACACAAGCAACAGCTGTCTTTTCTCAAATACCTATCAGCACAATTGCAAATGTGATATTGATTTTATACAAAATCAGTACACAATGTTTTTGCTCTATTTTGCCAATGAAAATAGTTCCAAACAAACAGCGAACAGATGTGTGTCTCTGAGCAACACACAATAGTGTTTCGTTTCCTAAATGAATCTGTGTTTTGAACGAATCAGTTGAATTAAATGATTCAATGACTCACTCATGAAGACAGTGACTTGCTGCTATCTACTGGCAAATATTGCCACTTAGTGAAAAAGGAGATTTCTGACACTTGTTTAGGACTTAAAATAAAATGGATGTCAATACATACCATAGCCTATGTAATCATGATTAATCTCATGCTTTTGCAATATGTAATGTTTTTTATTTTTGTTTTGAGGGTATTATTGTAATAATGATTATTTTGCTTGCCCTTTTTCTTGGTTTTGGCCGCTGCCCCCCAAAATGTCTGTGCATGTTAGTAGGTTTAGTCCGGCCTCAAGCATTAGGGCCTTACCATCAACCTTTGACACACAAAATACCTCTACACGGACTCTTCATTTCCAAAGGGGTTTGAAATTTCCTGGAATTGCTAAATCATTTCTGAATGTGATTTGACTTTTATTGGGGCATTTTGAAAGGATTATTTATACTTGGTCTACTTGTAGCTAAAATATGCACACGCAACACCAAGATCATGGTCTGATTCACGGGAAGTGCATGAACTACTAAATACATGTTTATTTAAGAGTTTATTCTGATAAAAAAATAAATATATATTTTGATTCTTGGCCCTATAATTTAGTTCAGTGGTTCTCCATGGCACATGGGACCCACATTTTCCCAAAGTCATGAAGCGACCCAAATTTCAACACTGATGAATAACAGTATAAGGTAAAGCTACTAAATAGCAGCCCCAAGCTAGTATTTGTTAATTCAATAAAGTTAGTAAGTTAGTAAAAGCCACCACAGTCATCAAAAATATGAAAAATTACAAAATAAGTGAAAATAAAGTGGTAGATTAGAAACTACAGAAGCAGTCACCATTGTAAATACACAATACTAGCATGAACTGTTAATAAAAGATATGGACATTGATCCTGATGAATAGAATTAACAATATGTTTGCCTGCAAATCCTTCTCAGCTAACACACGATGTACCAGTTACGTAATTTATTGGTACTTTTTGGTAATTTTATGACTTACTAAACGTACCTACGATGTTGCATGCTCGTGATTTTCATTTGCTCTTTGTATATAGTGAGGTACAGTGCCTGCCTCCACATTTGCATGCTCAATTGAAGAGTGAAGACAAACATATAGCCTGACATCTGACAGCAGATACTGCATCATGACGAGTTTTTCTCGGGCACTCTTTATTAAAACTGTATCCACTGTACGTCCGACTGATTGCACTGTATTCCTCCTTTTGATTCTAAACTGAACTCAAATGGCACTGAGAATTGGGTAAGAGACAAACATAAATTATGAGAGATGAAACATGCTGATTAGGGAGTTTGACGTGTAATTAAACTCGAGGTTCTGTGGAGTGCGGACTGGATCGATTCTATTCCTAGAGCTTCCGAACAAATCTTTGGGGTGCGGACTGGTGAGGAATTGAACCCGAGGTTACTCCGTGAGTCTGTCCTAGAGCTCCTCCTGTCCGATTTTAGGGTAAAATCTGGTCCATTCGGAGACGTCCAATAGATATCTTGTGTAATCACTATAGGAAAATCTCAGGAGTTGTGAAAAATGATACACCGGTGTTTTGCCAGATGAGAAGTTTATCTCTGTATCATCTTTTTACTCATTTAAATAATTTTATAACTGTATCATATATCTCTTTAATTCCTTTTATAACCGGTTTAATTTTCCTTGATTTTATTTAGTGATTATTTAAATTCCTTTCTGTTAAAGCACTTTAAATTGCCATAGTGTATGAAATGTGCTATATAAATAAACTTGCCTTGCCTAGTGTATAATGTCAGATTAGGCATAGATTCATCAATGCTAGTTTCAAGGAACCTTTTCGTGAGAATGAAGTCGCGTGCTTCCTTTTTGATTGAACAGGGAACCAAAAACATTTCTGGGTAATTTTGAGGTCGCTAACACAAGCTCGTAGGTTATTAGGCCCATGGGCTGTGTGCTGTTGTTAGTCTTGTCTGTAAAACAAGGTCACATTGCACGTGTTGCCTCATGCGCTAGTTTTGCACGTGATGGTGGGAAACAGTCGCATTTCAGATCTTGCAAATTAATGTTGCATTTATTTTAAAAAATACATATACAGTACTGTGCAAATGTCTAAGGCACGTTAATATATTCGCCCCAAAAATAGTTTTAAGCCAGTTATTTATATATTTTGCTGTAATGTGTCAGTAGGAAATATAGGAACATTCCTTTTGACATTATTTGTAATAATCCATTGAGATTTTCTATGCACAAGGAGTCTGACAACAGGTGGTGCTCCACACAGAGATCTGATCTCACCCTCATCGAGTCTGTCTGTGATTACATGAAGAAACAGAAAAAACAGAGACAGACTAAATCCAGCTACCTGCATAGCTACAGTACTGTGAGAATTTTTAGGCACTAGTGTAAAAATGCTGTACAGTCAGGATCCTTAGAAAAAAAATAGAGAAATTAATAAATGTTATTTATCAATTAGCTAAATCAAATCAATATTTGGTGTGACCATCCTTTGCGTTTAAAATGGCTTTCGTCCAGGAACACTTGTACACTTGGTATTCAAGCGTCTTGGAAACGTTGCCACAGTTCTTCTGGATTTAGTCTGTTTTTTTCTGTTTCTTCATGTAATCCCAGATGGACTCGATGATGGTGATATCAGATCTCTGTGTGAATCATACTGGCTGCTGTCTGACTCATTGTGCAAAGAAAATCTTACAATTAATGGCAAAAGGAATGTTTGGAAATATTAACTGATATTTCCTACTAACACAATACAGCAAAATATATAAATAACTGGCCTGCCTTAACCTTTTTTTGTTGGTGAAAATATTAACATGCCTAATGCTGCGTTCACACCGAACGCAAATTGAGCGTCTGGAGCGGGTGATTTCCATGTTAAGTCAATGTAAAGACGCATTGAGGCGAAATCGCGTCCAACGCGCCGTGCCGCGATTTCGTCCAGTTGCCGTCCTGTTCGCGAATTCATCCAGTTGACGTCCGTTAACCTATCAGGACCCTGCTTGCTGCTGTCACGTGGTGAAGTGATGTGATAAACGGGGGCAGGCCCGCCCAGAGTCACTCATTCAACATGGGTGATCCTTGCTCTGATGCGGGACAACAGGTCATCAAACTGGGCGGGGGGAACGGCGGAAGTACCGCTGAAAGCGGCCGTCATCCAGGCGCAGCTCCTCGAGCAAGTGGGGAAACTCTCCAAACTGGAAACGCCTCCAGAGGGACTGGTGGACCCAAGTACGTCGACGATGACCCCTACGCGGCTGTTCTGCTCTCCAGAGCAAATACAGAGTGGTGACTCGAGTCCAGATGAATTCTCGATCAACATCAGCCATCTTGCAAACAGACATCCGGCTAGCACTTACCCCTCCCACGGCGGATTGAAAGCGAATTTCGCCTCAAACGCTCGTCTATTTCGCTTCAAACACTCGCTTTATACGCGCATCCAATTCACTTTGGACACGCGAGTGGATTCAAAATGTTCAAGCGTCCAACTAGACGTGATAGAAGCGAATTTGACGCTCAATTCGTGTTCGGTGTGAACACGGCATAAGACTATTGCATAGTACTGTACATAAACATGTAGTACTAATACAAAGACTGTTGTTTTCTTAAAAGCAATCATCCCCTTTGAAATTAGTACCGGTAGTTAAAAACTAATTATACATATGCAGACCAATATTTAAAATAATCACTGATAGATTTTCCCCTACGTACCTGACTTAAAGGGGTTGTTCACCCAAAAATGAAAATTAACCCATGATTTACTAACCCTGAAGCCATTCTAGGTGTATATGACATTCTTCTTTCAGACGAAAACAATCGGAATTATATTTATAAAAAAACTGACCTGGCTCTTCCCAGCTTTCAAATGGGAGTAAATGGTACCATTTTTTTTTTTCCCAAAAAAGCGCATCCATCATAATAAAAGTAATCCATACGGCTCCAGGGGGTTTATAAAGGCCTTCTAAAGCGAAGCATTGCATTTTTGTGAGAAAAAATTCAGATTTATAACTTTTATAAACCGTAATCACTGGCCTCCGGTAACGACCGTCCACGAGTCTAGTTCCGGCTGAAGAGTATCCTCTGACCCAACGTAGGACTTAGGCGTAGCGTAAGCTTAGGTGAAAGTAGACGCCTCTCATGATTTAAAAAAAAATAGGGCTGAGCTACAAACTCAAGCTCCTCTGAAGGATCATGTGACACTTGTATATTCCAACATTTCTCTTTAAAAATTCTCGTTTTAGACTCCTAATTCGTGTTTTTGTTTTGTTCTATCCTCTGCGCTTCCGTGTTCATCAATACGTCATACGTTGGGTCAGAGCTCACAATTTGCAAAAATACATTGCTTCTTTGCTTTAGAAGGACTTTATTAACCCCCTGGAGCCATATGGATTACTTTTATGATGTACTAACCCATTCACTCCCATTAAGCTTGGAACAGTGTTTGTTCTCTGATTGTGTTTGGCTGAAAGAAGAAAGTCATATACACCTAGGATGGCTTGAGGGTGAGTACATTATGGGATAATTTTAATTTTTTTTTTTGTGAACTAACCCTTTAAGCAGCACAACTGTTTTCAAAATTGATGATAATTGAAAATAAATGTTTCTTAAAGCAAGAAAATCAGATTATTAGAATGATTTCAGAAGGATCAAATTCAGCGTTCAGAGCTTTCCCACCACAGGAATAAATTACATTTTTAAAATATATTCAAATAGAAAATCATTATTAGTTGTAATAATTTTTCACCATATTTTTTACTATATTGTTGATCAAATAAATGCAGCCTTGGTGAGCATAAGAGACTTCTTTTAAAAATATTTTTTAAAAATCATACCGACCCCAAACCTTTTAGCCACTGACATCTATTAGCTCTCTCATTTTTATCTTCTTTTCATTGGCAAAATGAGTATGTAACTCGTTTAACCTTCTCACCTTCCCCAGGTATCTCTCTCCTGTGCGGCCGAGCCGTCGACCCCCGTCAGCAGAGGCTGAGCCCCCAACACCAGGCACCAAAGCACCCCGTTCAAACTCTCTGAGCCTTTTCTACAAAAAGTGTACGTTAAAGCATAAAGCATTCTTTGAGAGAGTCATTAATACATAACATACTACTTTTCTAACTTGTTGAGATAAAACAGTTTTTTGTTGTTGTTTTGTTTTTTGCAGTGTACAGGATGGCCTACCTGCGACTGAAAACGCTGTTCTCGCACCTGCTGACCTCACACCCAGAACTGGAACCTATAATATGGACCCTGCTTCAGCACACCCTCCAGAACGAGTACGAATTAATGCAAGAGAGACACTTAGACCAGGTACTACCATTTTTTTCATAAACATTATAATATGCTGAATTAGATTTTTTTTTAGCTTTGCAGTATGTTCAATAAAATGGTACTTGACCTGCTCCTCTGTTCATTGCAGTTGATCATGTCGGCTATGTATGCCATATGCAAGGTGAAGAACGTTGACTTGCGCTTCAAAACTATTGTGACCGCTTATAAAGAGCTGCCCAATACTAATCAGGAGGTGAGAGTCAAATGTCTTGTTCCCTTTCAAATGACTTGTTTCAGATGATCATTCAAGTATATTAAGAATGAATTTAAAGTGATATTAACAAACACAAAACAACCCAACTCTTTGATTTGTTCGGATGTGTCAGACATTTAAGCGTGTGCTGATCAGAGAGGGTCAGTACGACTCCATCATTGTCTTCTACAATCTGGTCTTCATGCAGAAGCTCAAGACTAACATTCTTCAATATTCCTCTCCTCGGGTGAGGCATGCTACCTTTTACACTTTTATTGAATACTTTCTTGTGTTATACTGCCCCCTAGCGGCCTGAAATCATGTTCAATTGAACGAAAGGGTTCCTACAACAACTTGTGGTTGACTTGAGGATGTTTCTTTTTGTCTCCCAGCCGCCGCCTCTGTCTCCCATTCCTCACATCCCCTGCAGCCCCTATAAAAACTCTCCTCTGCGCGTGCCCGGCAGCAATAACGTCTACGTCTCCCCATTGAAAAGCAGCCGCATGTCCCCTGTACCCATGACCCCACGGAGCAGGTCAGTGTTCACATCTGTCATTACATTTGGGAGATTGTCTACTAATTTTGGGCATATACAGAATTAAATCTTAATACCTGTACACACTTGAATTGTGTGTTGAATTGTGACTTGATAACTTTCTCTTTTACTGTGAGGCGAGATGATTAGTGAGGTTGACTAGTTTATCCTTTTTATATATATATATTTATTTGTCGAAAAGCGTAAACTTCAAAGTCTTTCAGATTATGTGGATTTATGTGTGTTGATTTGCACTAATTGAATCTTTTCTTTGTGGTGTCCTGGACAGAATTCTTATATCTATCGGCGAATCCTTTGGGGTTAGTGATGGAAAGCACTTATTAAACTTTCAAACTATTTAAAATGTGTTAAGACTTGATTTAAAAATCTCTCTCTTAATCTCAACAGTCTGCAGACAAATTTCAGAAGATCAATCAGATGGTCAGCAGCACTGATTGGTCCCTCAAGAGGAGTCTGGATGGAGGCGCCGCCCCCAAACCCCTTAAGAGATTGCGCTTTGACATGGATGGACAAGATGAAGCTGATGGAAGGTGGGATTTATGTTCTATTTTTCTTCATTTATTTCTCAAAGTTTGAATCCAGTGAATCATTGTGACTTTGTTCATTTTTAGCAAATCAAGTGGCGAGTCAACGCTGATCCAGAAGCTGGCTGAGATGAGTAAGTTTCCTTCAACCTTTGTACATGTCTGTTGTCTGAACTGTAAGCTGGATTTCGCAGAACCACAAAGATGTTCTGCCGTCACACTTCTTCCTGTCTAGACATGGCGGATTTTTTGTTTTGAGTCAAATGGTGGTGTTAACTATATAATTCAAAACAGTAAACATAAATCATTATGTATCACAATTGGAAATTCAATGAATCAATAGTTTATACACTACCATTCAAAAGTTTGGGGTCAGCAAGATATATTTTTTTAGGATTTAGGTTTTATTCGATTGGGTATATTTGATTGAAAATACAGTACAAACAGTAATATTGTGAAATAATATTATTATTACAATGCATAACTGTTTTCAATTTTATTTATTTTCAAATTTAAAGGTGCCCTAGAATGTTTTTTTTTATTATTTTATAATGTTTCCTGGGTTACCCTTATAATGTTAGTATGTTTTTTAGATAAAAAATAATCATAATTTAGAAATAAATGGCATTTTTCCTAGCCTGCTTTTAGCCTCTGATTTGAACACTCTGTTTGAAGGGGCGTGTCTGCTGTGGGATTCAGTGTAACCGCGGCCACTGCTGTGATTGGCTGACATGCTTGCATATGAAATAGCTACGCATTACATGTGAAACTCTCTCCCGAATACTTTTACTACTGCTATTATACGTTTTTACGATAACAGCTATCGAGATTAACGAATCGTGAGATGTTTTTAAAGTATTTAGATCTATTCCCATCACATAAAATGTTGCCGTGATGAGCATTGAGCAGATGACAGTGTGTTGATCGCGAGAATGAAGATCTTATCATTGCAAAGCAGTTTCTGCACTCTCTCTGCTTTCACCAATACAAACACGATTATGTAAATACAGGAAGAGCTTCGTTCTGCAGTAACGTGCGTCATTGATTTCATAACGAGTTTGGCAAGTGTCCAGATAAACTCGCGCTGTGTGGAAAGATTGTTCTTTGATCGCTTTCTGTATATAATTTGTTCACAAATTAAATACGATTATTTTCATCCTACTAAAAGAAACGATGTGAAGCTGATATTTTAGTCACTGGCTTGACTTACTGATGCATAAACAGTATTGAACGATTTTGAGAGAAAGATTACCTGTCTGAACTTGAACAATTACACATCAGAAAGTGTTGCTTGGTAGCTCGATCCGAGGCCAGCTCTGTATTGGCCCAAGTTGAGGAAACAGTCGGTGAAATGTTTGGAAATTTCCAGAGAAAATAAAATTAACCCATTGTTTCTTCAGAGGCTCAGATGAAGGAACTAAAAAATACTTTTGTGTTCATGTGTACATCCACACTGAGCAACTGCCATGCTTCGGCTGCGCAGTTCCGCCTGGCATTGAGGGCTGGCATTATGCAAATATTTGGAGGCGTACATATTAATGATCCCGACTATTGCGTCACAGTCGGTATTGTGTGGAGAACCGACCGTTTTTCAGGGGTGTTTTTCATAAACGTGAATTAAATGAGAACGCGAAAACAGTCCAGTTTGAGATTCACTCTATGTCATGTCCATGCACTGAACTCTTGTTATTTGACTATACCAAGGTAAATTCAATTTTGAATTATAGGTCACCTTTAATTTATTCTTGTGATGGCAAAGCTGAATTATTAGCAGCCATTACTCCAGTCCTCAGTGTCACATGATCCTTCAAGAAGCATTTCCTATTATTATAAGTTTTATAACATTGTGCAGCTTAATTTTTTTGGAGAAGCTGTAATAAAAAATAAAAAAATCAGGATTCTTTAATGAATAGAAAGCTGAAAAGAACAGCATTAAAAATCATTTGTTAAAGTCTTTGCTGTGCCTTTGGATCAATTTGATGCATTCTTGCTTTAAAAAATATGAACTGCTTTTAATCTGAAGACTTTTTTCTTCAGTCTTTAAAAGAAATCTTACTGACATCAAACTTTTGAATGGTAGTGTGCAATGTTCCCTCTAATTTTTTTTCTTGCTGAGCAAAACTTTTTTCTATTGGGCGGACATTTTTCGCCACCTGAGCAAAAATATTCTTTATACCTGACCTGTACAGCATACGTAGAAACACAATGGTTTCAACATTCAGTTGTAACTTTTAACTTGAATGTGCCATTTCTATTTTAGTTGACCCTTGATGTAACTTATTGGTATTACCGGTAAATCATATTTTCGAAAAACAAGCTTCTTAACAAATTAAGAAGTCACTAAATGAAGCACATTTTTGGTTACCTGATTTTTTTTTACAGTGCTGTTAACTGTACAGTCTTTACCAAGAAATCCTATGAAAAATAATTTACAAAATCTTCTGCAGGGCAGTTCAATTCTTTACAATAATAGATTATAGTATGAAAGAAAAGTAAGCTGTTGCACTGAGATGGTTTGGGAAAACCATAAAGTGTTTTTGTACAGTCAATTAATTGTGTACAGGAAGCATTAAACCATCAAAGTTAAATGACTGTTTATTGCTTATGAATTTCCAATATTTTCTTTAGCAGGGGGTTTCAAACTTTTTAATGGCAAGGGGCCCTAAACAATACCCTTGTGAGATTCTTTATTTAGGCTTATAATATAAAAAAATATATAGGCCTAATATAATATAAAAAAAAACGAATTGAAGTATTTGAAGTGATATAATATAATTTAAATGCTTCAATTTGTTTACATATTATATTATTATTATAATATGAAAACAAACTGAAGCATTTAAATAGATCTAATAGCTAAATATTTTCAAGAAAAGTGAATGTAAACTCTTTTATAATCTAACCATCCCTGAAACTCCCCCCCCACACAAAAACATCTATTTAAACTAATGATGTATTTTGAATTTGCACGCGGGTGTGTGTGTAATTGTTACCGTTCTGTGTCCATCAACCGTTATTTCCACCACTTTAATCAAACCACTCTTCGTTAAAACATGATGATTTGATTTTATTTCACATGTCAATGCGTTTCTCATTGCCTCTCGTATTGAAGTATTTGGTCCGCACACACGACTCTCTGCCAATCACACGCGCTCACATCATTCTCTTTCTATGAAACCTGTAAACTGCATTCACCAGTTTTCACTCTATAGCGGTTGACCAGAGCACTGAAATTATTTCTCACTTAAACTACAATCAAATGGATTTCCCCACACATTTCGCGTCAGTCCTCTGCGTGGTATTTTATTCTTTTCTGCGCGGCCGAGGCATCAGGAGCAGCTTAGAGGGAACATTGGTAGTGTGCATTAAATAACCACATTGTAATAAAATTAATGAAATACTTCAGAAATGAATAAAAGCTTATTTATTTTCTCTTTTTATTTGTAACTTGAAAGATGCAAACCAAAAGAAAAGTTTGTTCATAAGTGTAATAAAAGCTTTACAACATGTGAAGTGACAGTAAAGACATTTATAATGATATAAAAATCAAATGCTGTTCTTTGCTCTTATTTATCCTGGGAAAAAAATGAATCCCTGTTTCCAAAAAATATTAAGCAGCACAGCTGTTTTCAACATTGATAATAATAAGAAATGTTTAATGAGCAGCAAATCAGCATATTAGATTGATTTCTGAAGTATTGTTTCTGATTCTTCAGCTTTGCTTTAACAGGAACTACTTTTTAAAATAAATTTAAGTAGAAAACAGGTATTTTAAATTGTAATAATATTTCACATTATAACTGATTTTGCTGTGTTTTTGTTCAAATAAATTCAGTCTTGGTGAGAATGAGACATTAAAAAAAATCTTACCGACCCCAAGCCTTTTGAATGATAGTGTCTCTTAATAATAATTAAGAATTACGAGCATACTAGCTAAATATTCAATGAATAAAACTTATTTTCTCTTCAGCTTAAGTCATGCTACAGAATCATAGCAAAATGGCATAGTCATTGTTGCGTATAATTTAACATCACGTGATATGCTAGTGTTGCTTAAAAATTTGTTCTCGTCTCTTCAGGCTCGACACGTACTCGTATGCAGGAACAGAAACTGAAGGAGGAGTCTGTTAAAGAGCATCCAGAGCCCTAAATGAATCCACTCTGTACTGCCTGAGGAAAACCACTCCGCCATGAACGGGAAAGGCTGACACCCCTGGGTGTTTTACGTTACTACATTTTAGACTTCTTCACCTGTTTTAGTAATTAAGCGGTGCACTGCATTTCCTGAAATAGCACAGGTGCTTTTCCTGTGTTAGTTCATTTTAGATTTGTTTTAAGCATGCGAGCGTCCATGAAGGAGGTTTTATTCTTTGTTTTGTAGAGTTTTGTTTAGGTGACATTGTGGTAGAGGAAATAACATGAAGCATACCTCTTAAGTGATCTACAAACAAAAAACTGGCGGGTTTAGTGTGTCATGATGATAATTTATTGTTTTTTTTTTGTTTTTTTCCTTGGTGGTTTTTTCCACTAATTCTAGAGCTTCCTGCTTTTCCTCACATTGCTGTACAGGAAATTGTGAATGACATGGGGTTTAAGATCAAATTTGACACCAGTGTTTCCTTTAATCATGTTTTAGGTAAAGACATCACATCTTTTGCAGATGTGAACCCCGCTTGTGGCCTTTCTCAAAGCATATCTTTGAGGACTCCCTATTTTGCGTGATAAAAGTAAATGGATTTAATTTGGAGACTGTATTATAAATGTGTTGCTGTTTAGGCATTACTGGGGTTTTAGGATGTGATTGCTGTGTGAGTGGATGTGCATATATGTGCGGTCTGACCTTTTTATGTTCTGCCTTGGCCGCGTTGTTATTTTTGCTATTGAATTTTAAGACTGTTTTTGAGCTTTTGTTACTAATATTTGAAAAAATTATGTTATACCTCAAATGTTCTTTTTGAAAAATTATGTAATGCCTCAAAAGTTTAACAACTGACTTGTTTAAGAAAAATCAAGTGTCCTGTTGTTGATTCAAGGAGGACAGTGGCACCTTTGCCTGCTTCTTGCTGCCACAAACTGAGACTAGCCATAGCACATGGTGATAAAATGATTAATCACACTGTTTAGTTTTTTTATTTGCTCTGTTTGGGCAAGTGCCCGCAGATTTATTCCCTACCGAAATGCTGTTTGTCAGAAAATGGCAAGCTTGTAGATGTCTTGCTAGTGTTAGTTGTGTTTGAAGTTCAGAGAATCATCTCTTGGCAGAGGCTTCATTTTTACTATGAAATAAATTATTGGGAAGCAGGGATGCAAAAATTATTTCATACGTGCATCATTCGTTTTAATTCTTCAGTATGATCGTCACTCAAATACTGGAACTTAAAGGCAGAAGCTGAAGTTCAATGCTGTTTGTTCATTTTAATTTCCCCAGCACATAACTTATGGGTTTTAATGTACTGCTATCGTCATAGACGCTCACAAAGAGTCTGCTTTGTCAGCTGTGGCTTCTGTTAAAAGGTTATCAGCACTTCATCTTCAGAAGTGCTTGTGATCAAAGAGAAAATTTAGGGCAGCACAACTGGGTGGCTTAAATTACATATTACCAGAGGAACGGAATAAAGGTGAGGGAAAATGCACATCTGCATAAGTTGTTGTGGTTTAAAGCTGTGGTGCAAAAAACAGAATAACCTGTGTTTTAGTGTTTTGCATCTAAATGGCCTGAGTCACTTAAATAAAGATAAGCTTTGGACTTTGGACCTTTCATACATGACAGTATTCAAAATACTTTGAATCTAAAGCCATTAACAGAACTGCCATACTGAACAATGCATGTAACAAGTGCTGTTATAGGATGGCTGTTATTCTTAGAGAAGGAAATGAATCAGACCTTTTGAAGTGATGATGGGGAGGTCGTTCTTGGGACATCCTCCTCCTACTGTGTTTTGTACCTCACCTCCTCCAGTTGCTGACAATGCTGGGCTGGTTGGGCTAGTGACAAAACTGTGAGTGCTTTTGGAAGACCTGATTTCCCCTTTTCACACTGCAGAAAAGGTAAAGTCTTGCTTTTAATGTTTGCTGTTGAATGTGTCTCTCGTTAAATGTTTGAGAAGAAATTTGATATTAGGATTATTTTTTAAAAGACATGTTACTAACTGGGTATGTTACGGAGATTGTTCGTGCTTGACTAGAAAAGCCTGTTTTGTTGTACAGCTTTTGAAAATAGAAGACAATGAGAATGTGAATTGCAAATGCTACATACTGTAAAACTTCCAGTAAGAATACAAAGCACTTGCACTCTTTAAAAAAAAGGGGGTTTTCTTAGTGATGGAATAAAAGTACCATTTTGGACTCCTCAAATAACTGTTCATTGAACAGTTCTTGGAAGAACCACTGTTTTCTTAGTGTGATTAATATTTTATTCTGAAGAACTTTCTTCCACTATAAAGAATGGAATGCAATGGAAAGTTTCCATGGATGTCATGGAACCACAGATGCCAATAAATAACTTTTGAGTGTACAGTATTATAATAAAAGGTAATGCATAAATTCTCAAAGGGATAGTTCACTCAAAAATGGCTTACTTCAAGAAACAAAGATATTTTTTAAAATATGTCCCTTTTTTTCGTGCATAAAATGAAAGTCAATGAGGTCCAATGTTGTTTTTCACTTTCATTGTATGGACCAAAATATCTTCCTTTTGGAATGACATGAGTTTTTGTTTTGTTTTTTATTGGGGGGGTTGGGGGTGATCTATCCCTTTAAAAAATAAATTGTTGTTTGTTTTAAGTCACTAAATCTTCATCCAAATCTTGTCATCTTTCTACAGGGAAGGACATGAATCTGTCTGTTTCAGGGCTCAGGGAAAACATCTCCTGTTCAGGCCTCAATAACACCTATCACTTCAAGCGCCTAGTGTACCCTACGGCATACATTCTGATTTTTGTCCTCGGACTCGTCGGCCACTCTTTATCTATCTGCGTCTTCTTCAGCCAATGGAGGACCCAGAAGAGTTTCACTCCAGTCACCCTATTAATGCTGAACCTGTTGGCCTCAGACCTGATGCTGGTGTGCTCTTTGCCCCTGAGGATCACTTACTACATGCTGAACTCTCAATGGCTGTTTGGTCACGTCGCCTGTCGACTCATTTTATACGTGTTTTATCTCAATATGTACAGCTCAGTGTATTTCCTAGTTGCCCTGAACGTCTTGCGTTACCTGGCGCTGGCACGGCCGTACTTGTACATACGCATACAGACCCACTACGTCACGGGTATCGTGTGTTGCCTCATTTGGGTCTTGATGGGTTTAGCCTGCTGTCCGCTGTTGTTCACTAAGAAAAGACTTCAAGATGAGGGGAGTTCTCGATGCTTGGAGTTGGCGATGGACAACGTGGACCAATTGCTCCTCATCAACAACGTCACGTTTCCAGTGGGCTTTGTGGTGCCCTTGGTGGTCATCCTTTTCTGCTCTGTCTTTGTCGCAAAGAATCTTCTGAGGCCTAGTCCTGCACTAGGTAGGACCAGACCTTGCAGGAAGAAGGCGTCCGCTCTGGTCATCATCAGCCTTGGGATCTTTCTGGTGTGCTTTTTACCTTATCACGTAGTGCGGACGATCTTCTTATCAGCTGAGAAGCATGTCAAGATGAACGGATACGGAGACTCGTGTGACTTTATTTTGGTAGTCCGCAAGGCTGCTGTTGTAGCGCATTGTTTGTGTACAGCTAACAGTTGTCTGGACCCTATCCTTTTCTTCTTCGTTGGGGAAAATTCCCGATCTTTCTTCGCTAAATGGACAGGAGGAAGAAAAAGTAGCGCTTGTGCTCCAGGGAGAAACCCACAGCAGGAAGAGTTACAGGTTTTACAGAACTAAATGAAACAAGGCTTGACAGATAACAAAGAACAGACCAGAAGTACCTCATTCTTCTGGGTACTTCATAAATAGATGTACAACACAAAAAGGTCATATTTTGACTGACTGGCCTTTTAAGATTTAGGATTTTCAAGCATCAAGTATTTGATACTTACGACTGATCATGCCCAAACGTGACACGTCAGAGATAGTTGCGTTCAGTCGGTGTTCACAGTTGGTGTTTAAAATCTGCTGCACTCGTTGGAAACTCTGTAAAAGTCTTAGAATGTTTCAGCTTGTCGTTAAGTCTGTCCCTGGCATTAGGGACGTTTAAACTGACAGTGTTTTAAGGAATCTTCTGGGCTCATTACAAGTTAAGCAAAATCGACATAATTTTGATTACCACATGAATTAATTATGACTTTCCTTAATTTTTCTTAAAAAAAAAAAAAAGCTTAATTCTTGGTTATTACTTGGCAATGGAAGTGAATGAGGCTAATTTAACATTATTATTGTTAATAGGCTACTCGCTTTCAATAGCTACGAATGAAAGCGCTTTTCTGTGTAAAGATAATTTGGACAACTTTCATCACCTTGACACAGCAATGCCATAAACCCTAAAATGACCATAAAAATTACGAGAACAACTTTACAGCTCAAATAAGTTTTAACAAAAGAATAAACATGCTTTTATATAATTAAAAGCTTTAAATCCTTTTGGCCCTATGTACTTTTATTGTAATGGTACATTCAAGTCATGTAGTAAAAATCGTATTTACATGTTGAACGCACCTGATCGTCACCAGCTCACCACAAAGAGTAGGGAACTCTAGATGCAGCTAAGTTGCATGTACAAAATAGTATAGTATTGTACAATTACGGTTTACTGCACCTTCCTAAATTGAATTAAAGTATGAAAAAGCAAAACACACCTGATGCAGATTGATTATTCATCATTTTGTAGAAGTAGAGTAAAAAAATTGTGATTTGAACTCACCTAAAGCTGTAATTACAACTTTCCTACTCATAAATACGAATTTCCCAGAAGGACTTGAATCTACCCTAAATATAATTCTTTTTTATAAATATGTATAACTGACACTGAAGTCGTCGATTAAGCTTAACTTGTATTGAACCAGGTATTCATTTTATTTTAAAATGTATTTATTTAAAGTTGTTGTTTTGCCACTCAACTCCATATTTAATTAAATGAGGCAGCAGATCACTGTCTGGAAGCTTGTTTCCACCACAGAATAAAAAATAAATAAGCTAATTGTGACTTTTTATCTCTCAATTCTGACTTTTTTTTTTTCAAGCAATTGCGAGTTTACATCTTTCAGTTCGGACTTTTTTTCTCAGAATTGCGTGATTATAAACTCGCAATTGTATAAAGTTAGAATTGCATGATATAAAATTGCAAAAAGTTTATTGCTGCGTCCCAATTCAGAGGCTCTATCCTTCTAAGGCCAATTGCGTCACAGCGGCGTGATGAAGGCTGTCCCAATTCAAAGGCTCCTTTAAATGCGGCCTCCAAATGTGGCCTTCGTTTCCCGTGAAATGAAGGATGAAACAGATGGATTCTTTGCGCACCAATTAAGACAAGATTTTTTTGAGAGAAATTGAATTACACTTTTAAAGCGGTTCGAATGTTGACTTGCATATTCTTACCAGGATGCGATTATATGCAAGTACAAGCGTTACTGTCACTCATTAACAGCAGCTGTCACAGTTGCTAGCCGACAAGAACAGTTTATAACTCACAATTCTGAGAAAAAAGTCAGAGTTGTAGGATAAAAAGTGACAATTATCTTTTAAATTGTTTCCACGGTGGAAACAGACTTCCATCGTAATCCATACTGTCTTCCATTGTTAGTTGCTGCAATGCTTCACTGTTAGTTTACATAGTTGAACTTTTCTCAACTTTGTAGCTTTGCTAGCGATTGCTGTTGCTGAAAATTATCTGCTTTCTGAAAATGAATGACTTTTTAATGTAAATCACTGTAAGCATGAACACCGCCTCATTGTTATGGTGTTGAATTATCATGCTAATATTTAAGCATACTATAGCATAACGTTTTCAATGTTTATTTTCAATGTCTTAAATTATGTTGGACCTTTACTGAGGTTTCTCTCTCTGTGCATCTTTGGCACGTGCCTGCAGTGTCTCGTGTTGAAGTCTGTGTGATCAGGAAGCTCAAGTACTGCAAGCAAAGCATGTGGCTTTCTGCACACACCTGCTTCTCGCAGCTCTCCTTGTCGCCACGTTAAAACTGCGCACATTCCTCTTTTTAGGTTTACATACTGACACTTTTTTATAGTTTTGTGGTAGCTGTCTGTGCTGTTTATTTGTCATTGGATTTAAATGAGGAAGCTCAGTTTTGTGTGGTGGATATCAGTTGATCTTTTTCACATCTTCTGCACATGTTATCATGTTCGAAATATCATGGTCAAAGAAAGTGAGTTCATTAGAAGTGCGTTTTATGTAGATTGCATAAAAAAAATCGAGATGCAATCCTTGGAGAGTCAATATATAAAAAATGGCATGGAAACCGTTTCCACAGTGATTGTTTTGTTTATACATCGGATTAGTCTTAGGTCGGTAAAAAAAAAAAAAACCTCTTCCTCTTTCATTTCATCCATAAATGGAAGTATGTCACTAAACCGATGTTCTCTTACAGAAGCCCCATTATGTTACATGCTGACCAACCTGATTGAAGTAGATAAGAACGTCCTCAGCATCAACACAGTTGTGCCTCAAAGACTTGTGAGCTACAGACCTAGACAGTTTTTTGGGGTACTGCATGTACATCATTTTTTGCCATTATACATGCAAGCTGTCTAGAGGCAGCTCTATTTTTTTTAGTCCGAGTTTTAAAATCACGTTATATGTTGGTCACCAAACTATAAAGGGTCTTCTGAGATTTTAAAAGCTCAAAGGCCTCATATTTGTATCTTGTGAAAAATGTGTTGTTCTATGAAACATTGAAATAAGAAACTCTTAATATTCATATATTGAGAATGTTAACTAACGGACCAATTTTAAACTGCAACTGAAACTACAGGTATCTTCAGGCATTCAAACGCATTCGATTGTGATATGGCTCGTCATGTGATGTAAACATGGCTGCGCCCATGAGGGGGCGACCTGCTCAATGTAGAATACATGTTTTTTTATAGAAGACTGATGTCTGGAGTCTTCAATACATAAACATCATTTTAATCATATTTATCAAGTGCTGTTCTTTGTGTGAAACGTTTTTTTGCAAAACATTAACCAGTGAACATTGGTATTTGTCTTACTTGGTAATAACGGTATTTGAAGCAATTACAGCAGCACAGATATTTCATGAGTAGTTTCTGTAATCTATCTGGGAATATGTGTAAGAAACTTCAGGTCAGTTCTCTGCAATAGCTCTTCTTGCTGTGCATGGCTCAATCTTTTGACCGTGGAAATGTTGTAAGAGTCAGACCTAAATATAACTAAAGACCACCCTCTTGACTTCTGAGAGAGAGAGAGAGAGAGAGAGAGAGAGAGAGAGAGAGAGAGAGAGCGCGCGTGCACACTTTGCGCTCATGTGAGGAGAGAGAGCGTGGGTTACTTCAGCAAGTGTCACACCAAAACAGCGACAATAAGTTGAGAACTCGCCAACAGCGCTGGAAGATGGAGGTATGAAATCATTTACTATGCTTTCCCTTCACATTGTTTGTTGTTGCGATTTTTTTTTTTCAAACTTTGAAAGTTTATTTCCTTTGCTGCTCATCACTGTCTAGTAGGCTACTACAGAGTAAACAACAACTTGTTCTGTTGCATTTCAGTCCATGAGATGCCACGAGATGATATAAGACGTCAAAGCATCAACTTTTATAGATGCCATCTAGATATAACTGCATTATGCGGTATTCCGTCTTGATTATAGTGGGGTTCAAACCTAGGCCTATGTGATCACTATAGTGGAAAAGCTTGTGTTTTGCATTTTTATAATTTAATACATTTTCGGTACAAATTATATAATCAGCTTAACAATTTAAGTAAATATTTGCATTAACTTTAAATATTGGCTTGTTCATTAGCTATATTGACAGCAGCACTAAATCTGCATGAACTCCCTTGTGTGAAACCTGATTGTTATATTGAATAGTTTCTGAAATCTTCTTGAATGTCTTATTCATTTTACATCATCACGTTTCTTTGAAAATTTACAAAATCATAAAACTTTTCTTTTCAGTTTTAAATTGGATTTTAAATCTGATTTTGTGGTCTTAGGCGTTTTGACTCCAGTGTACACATTTATATATTACATTATATTGTAGGCTACATTATATTGTTTTGTTTATTTAAAAAATACATACAGTATGTTTGGATTAAAAATAAGTTATTGCTAGTGCTGTTTTTATTCTTTTAAATTCATAATGTTTCTACTACAAACAAATTAATTATGCTTTACAATTTCTGTAGTAACCTCATACTGTGCAGTCTTGATTGAGAGATAATAAATGGTTTACATTCCACATATTCCTCTCAGCAGGTATTTGTCTGGTTCATATGTGAGTTTGGAGTCAGTGGGTGAAAGATGAATAAAGCATAGCTGTGGCTGTCATTCAGTTTTGTCACCCCACCTGCAAACCTCCATCAATCATAATTACATAAGCTTGTTTGTAGAGGCTGCTCTCATCAGTTGTAGTTTTATGGTTGTGTAACTTGTGTTGGTCTCAATGACTCTTTGAATTGCGTTTTGACCAATGAATTATATTGCCTTGAAACTGCCTCCCTTGTCTCAAGTTAGAAAGTATGACTAGAATGGCAGCAAGCTAACTGACACAGGAAGTGGTGTAACCTCATCCGTATGACAGATTAAAATGGCGGGTTTGGATGGTGGACCCACGTGTTTGTGTTTGTATGCACAAATATTCTTGTGCTTGCAGATTTGATCACTGATTTCAACATACAGTTTGCTTTTAATTTAAAGTGGCTGAAGGCTCTAACTATAGATTTCTGGGAGTACTATATTTGTCTATACCATATTTCTTTTCTCTTATACAGTGTTGCCAACTTGTGTTATGACTTTGTCGCTATATTAGCGTCTTTTCAGAACCCATTAGCAACTTTAAAATAAATCTAGTGACTTTCTGGACTGCTGGTTAACACAGCCAATCATTATATCATATCCTTTCCATTGTCTGACAGAAAATATGTAAATGAGAACAGCTTCACTGGACATTCGGCTATATATTTTATTAAAATACAGTATGTGAGCACGGATTAGGATAGAAAACTGATGTAAATTGCTTACAGTTTAAGTCATCTAGCAACATTTAGCTACTTTTTGAGCAGGCTTTAGCTACTTCCCATTGAAAATAGTTGGCAACACTGCTCCTATATAGCCTCTATTCATGCCAATAAAGTTGCCATCCATATGTTAGTGGCTTTGTAAATGTCAAAATAACAAATAGCTATGCTACCTTAATAAAAAATATCTGAATTGCACTTAAGTGATTGTACATACCAAAACAAATGCCTAACAATCCATCAGTTAAATGTTACGTCAGTTAACATTTAAGTCTTCTTCCTAAAAATAAATTAGTATTTGACTAACAAATTATATTTATATAAGATATACTTAATAAGAGTTGAGAATTTAAACGTATTCTATGCCGTACTTTTATGTTCATGCAAATGAGTTTGCAACTGGAAACATCTTAGACTTACTTAAATGGGTTAAATGTTACTCATCAATATAGTGTGCTATAATTGGTGCTTTATCATGTTATATGTGTTTAATAATTGCTGATCTGGGTACAGTGTGGCGTTACACAATATTATAGCATAATTATTCAAACTAAATGTAATGTGCTGGTTTCTCTTGGGAACCTAGTGTATAACATACAAAATTGCAAGTGGTTCTATTGTTTGAGAAAAGACTTGGTCAGGAAAACTGTGTGTTTACTCAGATATGCAGTGGCAAATTGCACAGATATTGAGATTGGTGTGAAAGAAAGACAAAATAAACAAGGTTCTCGTCTCAATTTATTATGATATTTAACTTTTGCATATTTTTAAGCCAGAGAAACCATTCTCTGTGAATACAATCCGAGCTGAGACACATTTAAAGATGATTTAATTCCTGCCATCGAAGAATGTTTTTCGGCTCCTAGTTGTGAAGCCTGGATTGACTGTATTTCTCAGTCATATTGACTCTCAGAGCACTGTACCGCATGGACTTCTGGTTATTTAAGTTGATTATCTCCTGAATGTCAGCTATGTGAGCATGCGGGTCAGTGTCAGTCCCACCTCGGCAGCTGTTATGGGCGACGGCCCTCTCTTGACTGAGCTGTACGCAACCTCAGTTTGCTCATAGATGAAACAGAGATTTGGAGAAGGGAAATGTTATTGCAACATGGCATTAACCAACTACAACAAGCTTCCTCCCCAAAAGACTTGTATATTTTGTTTGTTCTTTGTACTGAAGAGTGTTAAGGAGAACAATCATTCATTACCTCATATAGAGAACTTGCTGAACTTTGTGCTGGGAGACTGTGAGAGCATATGGGTGTGAACTTGTCCCAGCCACCCTTCAAAATTCATGGACATGACTTCATTTGGAGTATTAGCAAATGATGTAAATGCGCAGTGCAGCTGTCTGAAGGACATAATGTCCATTTCTTTTTAATGCCATGTTTCATGAAAGTGTTGTTTGGTAGATAGTGGTATCACTGGCAGGTAATGGCCGTTCCATCCATGCAAATCTTGCAGATGTCAGATAATGGCAGGTTGTCCTGTTACAGGATGTAGATGTCTGTGCCGCTGTAGATGGAGTCATTACATACTCCTGGAACACTGTGTGATTGATTCAAGACCTGGACCCTGATGGGATATGGGTGTGAGGTGGAGTCCATCATCATAACTCACTGACTCACACCAGAGTGTTTCGCGAAAGCTCGACTTTTCCAACACACCTTCCACTCCAAATATATTAGAGCCAGAACATGAGGTCATAGTACTGGGGCATTTCTGGCTGGAGAACACTCTAGATAGAAGAAAGTGAGTGTCCTTGATCTCTGTTATTTTGTGAAGAAATGGTGGTTTAGGCCTTAAACACTCTACACACAAATGTGTGCTATTTTTGTACAGAAAATGCATTACTGTGGGCGCTAACAAACCTCAATTATCATCAGTGCCATCTAAAGTGTTATAATTCGGGTAGCTAGTTGTACACATATAGACGTTTTAGCTAACTTTAACTAAAGAGGTCAAGGTTTGGCTAATTAGCATGACCCAACTATCCCCAGCTGATAGATCTTTTTCTATTGACTGCCATTTAAAAGTGGCAATGTATTTTTTAAGGAACATAAATTGTAAATATTTCAACATATCATCGATTTTTGTGAGTGACCAAATTTGTATTTATTTTGTATTTTATTTAAAGCCCCCCTGTAGTCAATAATTGTATCTCTTAAACTCATCTTTGATCACCAAAATGACACATTTAAACGTTTTTTTTCCTTGAAAAAAAATCTTCATGTCTTAGAAATAGCTTGAATGTAACTACCTTGCCTCAATTTAGTATATTCTATGAATATGCAAATTAGCCCCGCCTCCACTCACTCACAGCAGCTCAGAGATCCATCAGAATGACATCAGAAACACCAGCGATTTCATACCACTTTTTTCACTGCAGTTTTACGGAGAAAATACTCAGCAATGGCGATGACTTGTGAATTTGCACATGGTTTGTTTTAAAGCATATTAAAAACACCACATAGACACTTAAACAACATTAAAAGCTTGATTGTCACCACAGGGGGACTTTAATTATTTTTACTTTATTTATTTTTTTAAATGGATAATTCTTTGTTCTGTGAAACAGAAGATATTTTGAGAAATGTATTTCTTTTGAGAGATATTTTTTTGTCCATACAATGAATGTCAATGTAACCAAAAAACTGTTTTGTGACCAACATTCTTCAAAGAAAAGTGTGAACTAGCTCTTTGACTATTCCTTTAAAGGGAATTATAAATTGCATTCTGACATGCTTTGAAAAGCAAGGACAGTTTGTGCAAGCGTCTGTGATCATGGCATTATGTGGCGCATGTTTTAGCCTTAAGATGGAAAGGCTCTGTCTTTTCCTTCCTGTGCATCCTCTCTCATTAGGGGACATGGTTCAGTGTAAATTGAATCATGGCTGCTTCCTCATGTTCTTCAACTCTCTGACATATACAACAGATTCTTTGTGAGACACTAATAAGATTCTGTTTTCCACTGCCTGGGTTACAATCAGCGTTGTGTGTGCTGGTAGACTTCTAAAAGGAGGAGGGTGTTTGGGTTTGCTTTTGGAGTTTTTAAGTCTAATGAAGTTAATGTTCCAGTCACATTTGATGTTTTCATACTTTCCGGGTCAAAGGCAGATGGAATACCTACATGCAAAACAATACTTGTTTGTGATTGATTCTACAATCAAATGTATGTGTGCTGTTATATTAGTAGTATTTGGTCACATCATACGCTCACACCTCTTCAAAAGTTTGGGGTCGGTAAGATCTTTAATGTTTTTGAAAAAGTATCTTATGTTGCATTTATTTGATCAAAATACAGCTAAAACTGTAATATTGTAAAATATGAATACAATTTAAACTGTATTTTATTGTAATATTTTTTTTATATATATATATCCTATGATGGCAAAATTTTCAGCAGTCAAAATAAAAAATCTTTTGTTACATTATAAATGTTTTTACTGTCACTTTTGATCAATTTAATGAACCCGTGCTGAATAAAAGTATTAATTATTTGATAACACTTTAGTCCAATACTCTCTATTATTTAGTTGCTTATTACCATACATATTATTTGGATATTGGCTGTTTATTAGTGCTTATAAAGCACATATTAATGCCTTATTCTGCAAGACCATATTCTACATCCCTTAATACCTAAATACCTACATTTAACATCTGCCTTACAAACTATTAATAATCAATAATTAGGAGTTTATCGAGGCAAAAGTCATAGTTAATAGTTAGTTAATAGTGATAATTGGACCCTAAACTAAAGAGTGACCAATTATTTAAATCTACTGACCCCAAGCTTTTGAATGTTGTTGAAATAAGTATTTCAATAATACAGTAAAATGTATGTTGTAGTTTTTATATGCCATTGCTGTTTCAAATGGAAATTGGGGCTTTTGCTTTTGTAAATTGTTACTAGAAATTGAATTCTTGACATTCTGTTCAATCTCAGGTCATGAATATTTATCGAAATATCGTACTACAAATAATTTTCTCATCCAATTTTTTTTTTTTACTCCCTTTCTGCCTCTGAAAAAACACCCCTGGTCACAGTGTGGCTTAAACAGTTGAAGAGGAAACGCAGATGAAATACCCCAGAGTCCCGCTTACTTGGATGTTTTTTTTACACATAACTGCTCCCACACTCATGATGGCCTCGTGTTTAATGAGCTGATTCCTGCTCCAGCACTGCAGTGTGGTAAAAAACGGGTATATATATATATGCGTCATGAGCATGTCTCTGTTTTGGAGATTAAGAAAGGCTCATGCTGAACTGACTGCATTTGTGCTGTTTGTTGCTTTGTTTACTCGCTGTGTGTCATCTGACTGCTACCAACTGTTGTAAAGGTAAAGTAAGCTTTAGAACGAATCTGTGTTTTTGTTGCTTAGTTTATTATGGTAGCAAAAGTTGGAGAAACTATGAGTGACTATTGCAACAGTGATGCCATGATCAGGGGTCATCTTTGCAGGTGTGTGTGTTAAATGTGTGCAAAGGCACAGCTGTGGGGTGCACACACATTCAGACACACATATGCTGTAAATCTCACCACCCACTGGGTCTCAAGAGAAAAAGCTGCCCGCACCCTGCCTTAAATGAGTAGTAATGAGCTCAACGCCCTGTACTTAGCATGTGAGATACACAGCGCTTGCATTAAAGCTTTCAAAAGTAAACACCACACCATTTGTGATTTTATTTTCATGTTTTAAGGTCTTCCTCTGTAAAATATTCCCACAGAGTAGAGCAGAAATACATAACAATGGCCGATTATTTGCATAAAATGTACTGTAATGTAACTTTTACTTGCTGAATCTTCAAATATGTGATTGTAGAGGGGATCTGGTTGAAGGAAATCAGTGTTTTCTCAGTTGCTGTTGTTTAAAATGGCAAGCATGCTCTTACGTTGCATTTCAGGCATGGGAGCGGTTTAGTCTCTGGGGCAGGTCCTCATCGTCTTGCCATGTTGTTTTTGGCAGTTAGCATAACATTTTTAAATTTGTCAGTGACACTAAGAATTTCTACGAACGTGTCTTGGGGGTCACACTGGAGGAAGCTTTCTCAGGCTGATTCATTCTACAGTGAACTGGGTTACCAACTAAATGTGTAACTGCATGATATGGGCTAAACTGCTTGTATCTTGTTTCTCTCGACTAATTTCTAGTTTTCTTGTAACAATGCTAAACAAAACACATATTTTGTTAATATATTTAAAATAGCAACAAGAATTTTCACAGAACAAGCTTTTTTCTCTCCATCTTGGGCACTAAATGGGGCAAATGATGTCATGATGAGATGGAATGCTTTTATCTTAAAGAGGACTGGATCTAGTGAAGCTGGAACACATGGGCAGCAGACACAGGCACGACTGAGAGAAACAGACAGAAAGAGGTTGGGGGAAATATAGAGGCCTTTTGAACAGAGGTCTAAATGCGTCAAGTTACCAGGTGTCTTTTTCGGCCATTTTAAGCAGTGGCGTCCTGTACCTATTTTTATTTTAAAAAGTCTTCCAGGCTCACTTAGGGTGTGTTCACGCTTGGCAAGTTTAGTTTGATTAAAACCACCTCTGCTGTGATTGCCCTGTTAGTGCAGTTAATTTCAATAAGTGTGAACGGTGCCAACCGAACCCTGGTGCACACCCCTTTTCAGGGGATCTCGACCCACTTCCAAACAAACTCTTGTGCAGTTCAACTGAAATATAAACCCAACACGGACCAAAGACATCTAAACGCACTAAAAACAGGATGTGATGTCACAAGATGTGACTCTAAAAAGGAACAAATGCGTCATACCAATACCATTATGTACTCAAAACAAGTGCATTTAGCCCAGCAGACAGCATTGGTTTGGATGTTTGGTAAGTTCAGTTGCAAAATATACATCATAAAAGCTGTTTTTTGTTTTGTATTTTTAGGTTCTGTGTTAAAAAACGACAGTGTGAACGTTAAGCAAACCAGGACTAAATGTGTCATTCTTTTTTGGTCCAAAAAAAAAAATCAAAAGAACCAAACTACAAGACTTGTGAACACACCAAAACAGCTAAGCAAGATAAGATAAAAAGAATTAAAGAAGGTTAGACTTGTGTTAGTTGAACATGTTTAGTGTAGTAGTAAAGATTCTTGTTCAAATCCCAACCTAATATATTTACATTTTAAAAGGAATATAAAATTTGATTAAAACAGCATCATTGTTAGTGCAGTATTGCTTTTATACAACAGTTAAATAAATATTGATTTAAAGGTATGGTAGGCATTTTTTTTTTTATGAATACTTTTTGTGATGCTGGTTGAAACTCTCTTCACATCCTCATCGCAATCATTAATAGAAGTGGTCTAAATATTAAAAAAACGTACATATATTTTCCGTGGAAGTCTCAGGGCCAGAAATGTTCATCCAATCATTGCATTCGATCCGCATTGCATTGTACCTGCGAATTGTCCCACAATTTCAGTAAAAAGTTGCCTTCAAAATAAACTTTGCTCAATGACGCATCTGATTTGAAGCTCTTGGCCTGCTCAAGCACCCTTCCTGTTTTTGACTTGTCTTATATACATCAGCTCAGCTTAAGTTGCCTCATCATTGTATAAGCAACATCCTGTAAACCATAGACTGCATGCAGCTCAGTAATGGTGGGTTCCCACAAAGCTCAGTGACTGAACAGTGCCTTGACGGCGAACAGTTGTCTGAGTCCACAGACATTGCCTCACCCCCAAAATACCACATTGTGCTATCACTCTCGACAAGGCAAACTGGTTTCCCTCCACTGATAGTGAGACTGCTAATGGTCATAGATGGAAGCCTGTGGATGGAAGAGCCTGAGAAGGGGATGATAACTGGGCTGAAGTCATACCCGACTGAGCCTGTGTCCCCCTGAGGATAGTTTCTCAACCATTTCTTTTGAAATGCACTTTTTTCATCACTTTGCTCTAATGAGCGCTCACGACTCTCGTGGTTTCCTGTGGTGAAAAACAAGACTTATCTCAGCCTTCTCCGTGAAAGTCAGCATTACAAAACTTGTCATTAGAAATCTTTACTAGAAGATTAAAAAGTAAAAGCTGGACTAAACTCTTCTAATTGGAGGTGTTGCTTTGGACTTCGCAATAGTGTGTGTTCTCCTACATTTTAAGAAGATTTGTTATATATTAAGGTGGGCGGAGATTTCACAATTAAAAATAAATAATTCATTTTAAAGTGCTTTGCCTTGGATGACATGGTTCAATATTACTGATAATTAATCAAAAACAAGGGGACATTCTCATTCATACACTAACATTTTGTATTTCAGGAGCATTCTGTTGTAAAAAAGCGCTCTGTGGCTGAACTAGCTGGAAAATTCAGTTGTCCAAAACCCCATACGACAGATGCTGAAGTGGTGAGGTTTCATATTGTATGATCACATCCTCTCTGCTTTCGCACTTTATATTCCTAATATGTCCCATCGGCTTTTTCTGGACGTCGATGATTCAAATCATCTAGTTTTTTCTGCTATTGCTTAGTTTTTTTTGTCTTTTTTTTTTTTTTTTGTTTGTCTTCAGTTTTCCTTCTTTTTCCTCATTTCCTTTGAAATTTCCTTAAAAAAACAGTTAACCCTTAGTGTTGACAAAACGATAAAAGAAGACGTGAATCTTCCCAAAAGACAAAATCAAAAGAAACAAAACCCACAAATGATAATATAAATGACAATATCATTCAAATATGTGAAGTTAATTATCCAAAGCAAAAGAATAGGTATACTTATATTAAGATCTCTTTACTGCTAGAAAAGAGAACAGTTATGTAGAATGATTTTGTAGCACAGACCTGTTACCTGATACCCTGTGTGTTCATTTAAACAGAAAGTGTATCATAGGGGGAAATCTCAGAGATAGTTAGTTCTTTCCCCTATATTTCAGACAAGGAAACAAATTTCCCAGTCTCATTCTTTGGAACGATTCCACAGTGTATTTTTAGTTTCCTGCGTGCCAGATTTTTTTCCTTTGAATGTGTGACTTGTTATGTGTCCTTAGGTTTTAATGTTAAGATTGGTTGTGTGAATCCTCATGTACGGCATGGCAAAGTGTCATTCTATCGCTTAGGAAACAGACACCGAAGCAAGGCGTACCTAAGCACAGATATTAATAAGAGCGATCGTTATGCAATGCAGAAATATTACGTTGCATGTCTATGCAGGTGACACATGGGTTATCTCGTTTTTACCAATATCTTCCTGCTCCCCTCCTTTCTAAGCGCTGTTGCTCACTTTGGTAACATTTCTCAAACATTTCCTCATTCCAAACTATTTAATTTTTTTGATTTGTTTAAATAAATGTATTTTTTATTTATTTCTTTTATTTTTTTAATATTTAATATTTTATTTCAAACAATTGTATTCATTCATTACTATGTTGTTTTTTATTAATTGAATTTTAGACATTTTTTTAATTCTTATTTCTAATATATTCTATATATATATTCTAAATATAAATTTATATTTATTGGTTTTAAAATATACAACTTTTTTTTTTAAATAATCACATTTATTTAATTTAACTCTCATTAGAGTATTAGTAGAGTATTAGTGTTTAGAGGGGGTCCCCCAACAGACATTACTGACTATAAGAAACTTACATGTCAACTTATTCTACTACTAACCTTAACACTACTAATACTCTAATGAGGGTTAGTTGACAGGTGCAACATTACTTATAGTCAACAGAATGTCTAAAGGGTCAAATAAAGTGTAACCTTACGTTATTGATAACTAGAATTCTGTGGAAGTATTTTGGCGGTACGGTAAAGTGGACGTACATGTTCAAGCATGTGGATCTGAGCTGTTCTTTTGTTCCAGAACAAGCCTGTGCGGAGGAGACCCCCACGCTCGCTCCTGCTGCCTGCTAGTAATGATGCAGCTCAAGGCCAAGATGAGGTGAGAGGATCAGGGAGTTAACTAACCCTTTATGGCGTTGCCATTTGGCAACAATCCATTTCTACTCATTTCCTTGTTATTCAGAAAAAAACAATATATTGCACTGTGCGAATTAAAAGGGCAGGCCTTGAGGCAGCCAGTGATGTGCTGTTTTTAAGTCACATGACATTTGAATGTCCCTCCAATCTCTCTTTCCCACTGTCACCCTCACACGGAAGACACCTGTTGAAATGCTCCAGAAATAGCTTTATTAACCTCATTTCTAAACCTCTTTTTTTCAAGGGGGATTTTTTTTACAGCATCTTTGATAAGTAAATTAGATATTTTATTCGACGCTGTTCCACTATGGAAAAATAGGTATGTTGCCGTATGGCAACGCTGTACCACAGGGGAATTGCACTAATGCATTTTCCCATTGGGATTTTTTATAGATTGTAGCATCAACAATGTGATTGCAGTTATTTATTTATTTGAAGTGTTTATTGTAGTATAGTTGTATTTATGTATAAATAACAAAATGATTTCTTATTTTCAGAAAATTAAAACAGCAATATTTTACGGTAAGGGCAATGGGAAGAGAGCAGAGTTAGCTCTTATTTGATGAGAGTGAGGATGAGTTAGCCAAATGATAGGGATTAATGATAGGGATCTACTTATTTTTGGTTTGTTCCAAGTATATAAGTTTATACATTTCTATAAGAAATGTGCAATTAAATAGAAAACAAATTAATAATTTTACACAAAAACTACTTTTTTGACCATATTCCATTGTGGTAGAGCCTAAGTAAATCTTTTTTTTTCAACAATCTTTTTTTTAAAAGTGATTTCATGTAATAATAACTTTATTTGAAAAAAATATTTAATGGTTAGAACATAATGAGTACCATAGAGGGTTAAATTAATATACTTTAATTTAATTCCTTAAAATATAATTCCTGCATATAGAATTTTTTTTATATTATGTCAAATCAAAATATTCAATGTTGCGTAGCAATGATGCAGATTTTCTTTTTGTTTCATCCATTCAGAAAGGAGCTGAAACAGTATCACCCAGGAAGAACAGAAACTCAGCCCTTATTGAGAAACTGCAGGTTTGTTATTCTCACGTTCCCTAATCTTATACAGCAGTGTTTCCCTCTAGTGGACAGAGGTTGTACTGCTTTAGAAGAGCCATATCGGACGTGATTTTCCTTCTCATTTCACTCAGGCCAACCTTGCGCTTTCTCCCACGGGGCCACTGCCCTTCCCAAAGAGCCCGGGGGTGTTGAAGTTACCGGTGCCGTCCTTCTCCCCCGGCTCTCCCAGCAGCCCCTCTAGTCCTCCTGTAATTGTCACACCCAAACAGGAGGAAACACCTGCCAGCTTTGAGAATCCCACAGAGGGAACTGTTCTCAAAAGCATCATTAAGGTTTGAGGCTTTTATATAATTTCATGTCAATGAATTAAAACCATAGATGAAAAGATGGATGAGAAAAATGAAGCCAAAATATCCCAGAAGGGATTTTTTATTTCGGCTCGTGTCCCATTCGACTACATGGAGAGGGCGGGTTTATGACCGATACTGCACCCAGCCACCAGGGGGCGATCAAAATGCTTTGGCTTCACTTTTCAGGACGTGTGCTGCACACTTGATTAAAACCGATAAAAATTGGTGCAGTATTTGAATTCGAATGTGTTTTTTGAATCAACGCAGGGTAGAGCTCGACATTCCATCAAGCGGCGGCCACCGTCTCGCCGAAACAGGAAGTCTAGTGCCGATGAAGAGGAGGATAAAACAGCCTCAGCAACCCTCGAACCCACGACTCCAAATGGACACGAAGGAGATGTGTTTGAAGAACAGAAGGCGTCACCAGACACAGAATCTCTCTCCTCTAAAGAACAGATTGAGCAGGAAACTAAATCGACAGATTCAGAGAAGGCGGAACCAGAGGGAAAAGTGGAGACTGTGACTTCAGAAAAGAAAGAGGGAGAAGAGCTAAAGGAAGAGAAGATGGAACAAGAGCTAAAGGGAGAGAAGATGGAACAAGAGCTAAAGGAAGAGAAGATGGAACAAGAGCTAAAGGAAGAGAAGATGGAACAAGAGCTAAAGGAAGAGAAGATGGAACAAGAGCTAAAGGAAGAGAAGATGGAACAAGAGCTAAAGGAAGAGAAAGGTGAGGCTGAACCACAGCTGGCTAACAGTACAGAAGAAACACGTGAAGAGCCAGTCATGGTACCTCATGGAAAAGCACAGACAGAACCTGACACAACCGATGAGAAAGAAGAGGAACAGAAAGAAGATGAAGTGAACCATTAGAACCAAGTGAGTGAGCATTTACTCCTTTAGCTCTAGGATGGAGGAAGAGAAGACAATGCCACACTAGCATGTTCACTACTAGTTATAAGCACAGACTTATTGTTTCATTTGATTTCATTTATATTTTGCAGGGATTTCATTGAGAAGAAGGTCAAATCAACTGGCTCATGCCGAAGAACTCCCTTAAACGCACTGCTTAACCAAAGCAAAGACATCAGGAGAAAGATAATGTGAATAGCTTGGTATTAGGCTTCTAGTGTCTGTCAAACATTTGAGTCGTTTGAATGTGGAAGTGAATCCTTCAGATGCAGAGAACAACAGTATATTCCCTGTACAGTTGTGTTGATATTTTGATAATACCTCTGTTCTGAGCCGCTTGTATGAATTTACACGTAAGTTTGGTTTTGAGATATACTTTTTGTATATAATTATTTGTTTCCACTAAAAGATTTTTTTATTCTATTTGTGTTGTGTGTAGCTGTATTCCTATCAAAAATATGAATATTGATCTTGCGATTTTTTTGAGACTTGCAGAAATTAAAAATGGAAATATGAAAAAATTACAAATTTCCTTTGAAAATACTGTTTTCTCATTGTACTGTTGCATGTAAAACAAATATTGAAATTAAATATGTACTAACAGGACTTGACATAAACATACGCCAAATGCGGGTGGTTTTAAGCCGAGGCGTGTAGCGCAGTCACTCCTACTAGCCTCTTTGGCGGGTTGAATTTTATATCATTTTTCCCGTTCTAGTCTTTTAAAAAGGCATCTGAAATAATAAACGAAGTTCAATGTAGTGTTGTCAAAAATATAGATTTTTCGATACATTTCGATACTGAAACGCTTCCCGTTCTAATTTTCTGCAGAATAGAGAACTTTCTCAGCCTCTCATGATCTCTCTGACACACAAACCCGCCTCTCCTCACTCACTCCTTACATTTGCTCCAGAAGAATATTGTTGGTTACAGGGCTTGAATTTTGGCGTGGGATTGCGCATAATTTTACTCATTCCCGCAGATGTTGTGCTCACACCCGAAGTGTGTGCACATAAAGCCGCCTCTCAGCACTCAGTACCAAATTATGAGATAATATTATATGGTAGGTTTTCCCCATATTGGAAAATTGTGGCCAGTGAAAATGCTAAGTGACTAGTAACTTTGGAAAAGCACTCGCCTCAGTGGCTGGTGAGCAAAAAAGTTAATGCCAAGCCCTGAGTACGTATTATCGTAAGAATCAATAAGATAAAACGTTCTGGTTCTAGAAGCCTCATCTGAGGTTGTAACTATTCTGCCCAAAATTTTGACAGGATATTTCAATATTAAGCTTGCCTCATTAGTGGCCAAAATATTTGCTAAAAATATTCACTGATAACTAGTGGTCTATAGTGTAAGTGACAACTATACTATGTACTCTATAATTCATCAGAGGGTAAGGAGTCTCAGCACAATGGGTCAACAAGATAAAATTATGTCAAAAAAAAGATATAACAAAGCTTTAAAATGAGCTAAAGCTAAAAATCAAGACTATTATTTTAACTCATTCCCTCAGTTTTATTTAAAAACCAAGGTTCTCACTGAATAATTAGCTTTATGAGAGAATTTTATTTAATATGAGAAGTGTGATTTCTAGACCTGGAAAAGCTGGAAATTATTATAATCTTAATAATAAGGAAATTTCTAGTTTTTCGGTTACACTTAGTCCATTAAGACATTCAACTAACTTTGCAGCTACATGTCAACTCTTGAGTATTAGTAGATTGTTAGGTTAGGCTTAGTTAGAGTAAGTTGATGTGCACTTGCAACACTTATAGTCAGTAGAATGTCTGTTGGAGGACCATCAAAATAGCAAATATAAAGCAGACAGTCTAATAATACTCTATAGTTGACATGTAGTTGCAAAGTTACTTGTAGTTAAGTCTAAAGTGGACCATCGAAATAAAGTGTTACTGGTTTTTCTTGTTGTCAAGATGTAAAATATTTTAATGGGTAGAAATTTCTGAGAATTGCTTGCTATTTGTGAGTAAGAAAATTGTTTAAAAAATAAAAGCCTTATCCCGTAATCATGAACAACTGGAAAAGTCATATAAATATATTTATCATAAAGAGTATAAACCTTAAAGAACATTCGGTGAAAACTTCTAGAATTGCGGAACGTATTATTTTAATTTTATTGATGTATAATTATTTTACTTAGTTGTTTTTAATATATTGCAACTAGTTTCTGTCAATAAAAAGAATGAAAACAAGCAGAATCAGACATATCTGTGGCCTTCGAAAAAAAAGTAGAACCATTGAAATGTTGCCGAAGCGATACTTTTCTCTTATAAAATCTTTTAATCAGGTCATTGACAAGCTCAACCTCCCAGACCTGTTCTCATCTCTGGAATCAGTGCTGACCTCATGGAAGCTCTAGTAAGGGACAGATTAGGCCTACCATTTAAACAGATCTCTCTAGCGTTCTCATTCAGCATCCATTTTGTGTTTTAATATTTACCCTGAACACAACAGACTACTTAGCTAGCCTACATAATGGCACAGACCCAATATACTGCTTTTAGGTCCTGAAAGGATTCGTTACTGTCCAGTAATGGCACTGAGATTAATTAATGATTGGAATCAGATATTCAAGGTCAGGTGAAGAAGGATTACAGTGGATCAACTCATGTTTCCTAATCAGGCTTTTACTGAAATACTGCCAGACTCCTTGGTTTGTCCTGATTCCTAATATAGGCACAGCACAGTCTGATTAAAAACACAATAAAAAACTAATGAGGTTAACAATCATTGCAATGAGAAAATGATATGTGACTATTAGGCGGAAATATAGCCTGTTCACTTTTTCTTCTAGTAGGCTACTGTTCTGATTGCACGTTATGTATTATCATTTAATTTCATATAATTATTAATAATAATAACACTTTAAATACGGTTTATAACCAGATATATAACACTCCTCTTGCATACTCACATTTCAGTGCAAATCATATAATGGTATCGGTATATCCACGTGTTGCACCTTGAGCGTTAATTTGTTTCGTTCTATCACGTGACGTTAAACAGAATCACTGCTACTAATCCCATCATAGGAAACGTATCTTAAATTACAGGAAGGCGTTTGGAAATGGCAGGAAATTAATGAGTTGAGAGGGTCAGGCTATAATGCCTACAATGAACGTTTGAGCTAATGACTACAGTCACTTAATCCCATTTACTGTAGTGGATACAAACCACCTTAAGACCCTAACGAAGAGCACGGATCTGCCTCGTCACTTTCAAGTGAGAAAAGTCAGTGATCTGACAAGCAAGCGATCATCATCAGCAATTGCATTTGCAATAAAGTGTTATCCGACTCCATAAGCCTACCCATAAATTGCACAAAAAAAAACATGCCTTCTCACCTTTTATTTATAATGAATTCAGAGTGCATTGTCTTGACAGAAAATTAAATCCTTCTCATCCGTATAGTGTACAGTGATTTTACACTAAACGGTTATTTTTTTTATTTTAGCGTTCAGTTTCAAACTAAACTACAAAATTTGCTTATTATTATTAAATTCTGTCTATTTTGTAAAATTATTTACATAAATATTTTCTTTCACATTAATTTATGCATAAAAACATAACAATAAATCCTAAAATAATATACCCGTATAAAGTGCAATCACTGATTAAATAATTAAATTTAGGAATGCATATTTGTACCATAAGGTTTTTTAATGATCTGTTTTGGCTGATATTTAACTGCGCATTATTTTACTTTTCAATCATCACACAAAGTTAATAATCATCCAAAACACTAATAGTTTAATAACGTTGTTAAATGTAATAATCTGCTAATTTTAAAATGAATATCCATTTTTCATACTATATATTATAATGTTGCAATGCCTAAATTAGTTTGTATCTAAAATGCCTGATTTGAGTTTTGGTAACACTTTATTTTAAGGTGACGTAGTTACACGTTACTACATGTACTAGTGATAACAGTAAATTATGCATAATTACAACTAACCCTAACCGTCGTAACTCTATAGTAAGTACATGTAGGTAATTAATATTACTTACAATGTATCTAGCCTATGTCACCTTAAAATAAAGTGTAACCATAGTTTTAGTGTTTTACTTTTAATTTAGTGAAAATAAGAATGATTTAAAGACTATAACTGTTAGACCTCAAAGAGTTCAGGAGCAGTACCATACTGAGAGGTGGCCTCTAATGCACTCTGCGCTAAAATGACCGTGCAAACGGTTCATCTTGAGGCTGAAGGCTGTTACATAAGTCTTCTCTCTGTGCCACTTACTCTTTAAGGGACCAGTCTTGCCATCATCCCATTAGCAGGAGTTATTTTCAGGTGCCACCTCTTTTTATTAGTATCTGGATCTAATAGGTTCAGACACTGGAGAGTGCGGAGGCCAGTCGGCAGAGATCACAGAGTCACAGGCTGCCTGGACCAGAAGGTGTGCGAGGCGAGGGTGCTCCCTACCTCTGCAGGGCACAGCCATGGGTAACAAACACCCAAGTCTGGATGACATCCTCGCTGAGGACATGCACCACTGGTACAACAAGTTCATGAGGGAGTCTCCATCAGGCCTGATCACGCTTTTTGAGCTCAAGTCCATTCTGGGACTGCAGGGGATGAATGAGGACGCCAACAGTTACGTGGATCAGGTGTTCTTCACTTTCGACATGGATGGGGTAAGTTTGCATCCTCTGGTTTAAATACTCACATTTGCATGTAAAATCATCCTTGTAATTTCTGATGATCTTCAGTCTTGCAAAGCATGAGATCATCATTCATATGCTTGTTACATAATTATCATTTTAGAGTTTGAACTTAAATGGATATTTCAAAAGGATTTGTGCACCAGGGATCAGATGGGTAAATTGAGGTTAACTCTAGTGGTAAACCATTTATCCTTCGCAGAGGTATTAGTACCCCAGAAGAGGAGGCAAATGTGTATCTGATTTGGATGCTAAATTATACGTGTAAATGTTTTATCGCTTTACTGTGGTCAAAAGCCTTCTTGACAATACAGGGGGAAAAAATCAGGCCAAAATAGAAGTAAACATATTTTTCATATTTTTTAAAATATTTAAAATATTTTTTTTTCAACCGTTTCATTTAGTTCAAATCTGGGGTTAGTATAGTTAAATGAAACTAAAACTAAAACCACAATTTTCTTTATATATATATATATATATATATATATATATATATATATATATATATACACATTACATTTTCACATATAAATTTCAACTTATTTTATTTCAGCTATTGCCAAGGCAATATTTTCTAATTTTCATTTAATTTATCTTGATGTACTAAAATAACTCAAATTAAAACTGAAATAAAAAATAAAAAAAACTATGTTTTTTTAAAAGAACAGAAATACAACAAAATTACTAAAACATTTTTTTTTTAAATGAAAAGGGAAAATATATATATTTTTTAAATCAAAATATTATAAAAACATTGATAGTATCTTAATACTAAAATAACACGGGTTCAAATGCCAAAATATATTACAAAATGGACTTCAAGAAAATACTTCTAATCCACTCCTAACATACATTTTGAGTCAATGCAAAACGTAATTTAAAAAAATATATATATTGGACAGTGTAAATATATCTAGATTGAAAAATATATATATAAAAAGGACCACAAATATATGAGGAAATATAAGTAACTAATACACGTATTGTAAATATATTTTAACGTTTATAGCCATATATTTTGGTCAATTTTATATTTTGCCATATGGGAAATGTCTCAATCGATATATAAAAAGACATTACAGGCAATATGATATGTGATGTATAATAAGAAATATGGTGGCTACATTTTGTAGTGTAATCCTCCCAAGCGCACTCGATTGGTTTACATTGAGATGTCAATGTTGACTGTTCAGCTTAGAAGAGAAAAGCTCATAATGCAACAATGTTACAAAGCCTATACATTGGTTCCAGTTAAAAAGCTTAAACAGGTTAAAGCAAGATAAAAAGCTAAAAAAGCACAGGATGACATCACCTGAATCGCCTTAGAGGGACTATTCATATTAAAACAGCTTCTTGAATGGTCTCTTTGGGATTAGAAAAAAGAAAATACCTGTTCCTCTCTCTTTCTTTAGGATGGATACATAGATTTTGTGGAATATATCGCTGCTGTTAGCTTGATGCTCAAGGGGGAGATTAACCAGAAACTCAAGTGGTACTTCAAACTTTTTGACCAGGATGGCAATGGGAAAATTGACAAGGATGAATTGGAAACAATATTTACGGTAAGTGAATGATTCATCAAATACCATAAACCATCCTCAACAGCTTACTTTTTTGTGTGTAATATGACCTTTGTTTATGATTATCGCTGGATTCTCTACATGTATATTTGCTTCCACATCAAGTTCTTTGTGAACGGACCAAAATAGTAATTGCAGAAACTGATTCAAAAGATAGGTCGGGTTAACATGAACCCTGGATCATTCTGCTTAACTTGTAGATGAGCTGATTTAATCCAGTTACAGAACGGTGTTCCTTGTGCTGTTTCTGTACCTCAGTTTCTGAGACTGACACTTCTTAGAGTTGAAAGAGTGTTGCATGCCATTTCATGTTCAGCTGACCTAGTCGGCTACTTCACACAATACTGCAGCAGTTCAGATGTAAAAAAAAAATTCTGGTATATAGATTTTCAGTGATGTTTCTATATAATTTTTTTTTTTTTTTTTTTTTTTACAACAGGCTATACAAGACATTACAAGAAATCGTGAAATTGCTCCAGAGGACATAGTGACCCTTATATATGAAAAGATTGATGTTCATGGAGAAGGTGAGCACCAGTTAATTCATGAAAGTCCTCATCAGAATGCATTCATATATTCTAGTGAGTTTATGGCGACTCTTTCTACTCAAAACGTACAGGCGAACTGACGCTGGAGGAGTTCATTGAAGGAGCGAAAGGACATCCTGACATTATGGATATGCTGAAGAAACTGATGGACCTCACTCCAGTCCTGGTTATTATTTTCAATGGGGCGACAGAAACAAGTCAAGGCAAGGGCTGAGTTTACTCCAGCTAAAGGACAATGAAGAAAATTCCCCTCTTGAAAATTAAAAATTGAGTTTGGAGGTCTAGCTCTTGAGGATCAGATGTAGCTTCCCACGGCACTGGTGCGATTTCCTCGACCGAAAGTTCACATGAGAACTCTGACTTTTGCCCAATCACGGTGACCTACGACTCCAGCGGAGATACAAAGCCTTGCATCGGAGCTGTCCTCAGGTGAACATTGATCCTCTAATGCTATTAGGGGTTCAGGAGACTAAGAAACTGCTGGCAAGACTTAGGCCTGAGCAATGTGGTGCTTTTTAAGGAAAGGCTCAGAGGAGAACACTGAGCATTCATCTAGTGACTTTCATTGGGTGAGCACATCATATAATCCATGTACTTGTGCTTAAACTGTTTATGGCATCACTAGATTGCTCTGAGAGTAAACTCTGAGACAGTCCATTGACGTGGCCTGAATTGCCCTAAAAACTGTGAATTAAACAACCTATAGAGCAGTGGTTCTCAACTTGTTTTTGCCTACATTTTATATAGCACATCAAATGGCAACCCAACACATAAAAAAAATTGTAAATCAAACATTTCTATAAAATGTTGTATTCAACATATTATTACAATGAACTGCATTATTGCGGCACAGTAAACAAATTAGTAACATGTAACAAAATGTTGAACACATCTTAGGCTCATCAACTTCCCATATACTGAGGTCAATTTATTTTGCTCTCCACGACCCATCAGAACAGACCTAAGACCCATTTTTTGGGTTGCGACCCAACATTTGAGAATCACTGTCACTGATAACATATCGCAAATACAGCACTTTATACAAGGAACGCATTAAATTTACCTGATCAAGTTATCTGACACAGTAGGTGCAAAAGAAATGCATTAAATGCATTTCCACCTGTTATTTTAGCTGACCTAACTGACAGTTTTAAATACTAGCAAGTGCATGTTTTAGACTCATTTACACTACTGGTCAAAAGTTTGGGGTCAGTTTTTTTAATGAAATATATATTTAAATTATGCCATGTTTTTTGCGCACCAAATCAGCAAACTAGAATGATTTCTAAATTTCTGATTTCTTTTAATTACATTTTCAAATAAATTCAAACAGTCATTTTAAATTGTAATAATATGACACTATCTTACTGTTCGTACCATATTTCAAATATGATCAAATAAATGCAGCCCTGGTGAGCATGATAGATTTTTTTTTCAAATTTTAAAAATCTTACTGACCCAAACCCTAAACTTTTGAATGGTAATGCACACATTTAAATGTCAAATTCTGTAATATCACTGTTTAGAGGTCTGCATGTGTTTCAACATTCTTGAGACCTTTGGATTGGATTGGAAAATGCAGGCAAATCACAAAAGGACTCAAAAAGTGCTTTTACTTTTTGAAATATTTTAACGGCATCATTAGTAGGCAGCCAGTTACAGTATGTGTGTCTAGACACAGGATTGCACCTTTAAAAATACATTTAAATTGTGTAACAAAACAACAGTATACAGCAGAAACAGTCCAGTGAGGAGCTCTGCCAACATGACCATTTTCATGACATGATTCACACCGAATATAGATCAGAACTGAGGCAATAAAGTGGGAATTCTTCAGTGATGTGACTTCCACAATGGTTTTTATGCTTAGTCGGCACCTTCATAATGTGGCGAGTGTGAACTGTTTTTGATTGCTTTGTTTTCGAAATGTTTTTTTAATGGAAGCCACAAAAACTCGTGAGATGATCATGTTTTCATACCCTGCATTGTACCCTTGCCTCCAGTGACGAATCTCTGCATTTGACCTTTTTCACTCTAGAAATATTTCAGGTAAAAAAACATCAAGTACTTGAATGAGGTATTGTCTTCGTGTACTTAGTAATAATAAGGTAGTATGTCATCTGGTATGGAATATTTATGTTGCCTTATTAATAAAATTGTTTAAACAAACCAGGGTTTCATTTGATTGGAAACAATAAGAAATGGGTGAAAAAAGTCCTTGTTTTAGGTTTATTTATACCATTGGAGTTTTTATAAATATTTTTGAATAGCTATTATTTTTAATTTTAATTTTTAGCCATTTTGGTATGTGCTTTTTTCTATTTAGCTTTATTCATTTTCATTTCAGTTTAAGTCATTTTAGTACTTCAAACTTATTTAATTTCAGTTAGTTGCCAAGGCATGTTTAGTTTTTCATGTAATATTTCTATTTTAAAGCTGCAGTCCGACATTTTTCCACTTTGTCGCCATCTCTGTTCGAAATCTGCAATTGCAGTTATTCGCGGAATTATCAACTTTACGTGAGATGTACTTCGACACCCTCGACACGGCACAGCGCGGATGAACACAATGTTTGAGGAGAGTGTGAGGCTGTCAGTCACCGCGCCGGTGTGGATACTGGCATTCAGAATCACAGATTATTCTTTTTGGAAGTATGACCAACATAAAAAATTTCACCGGAAAATGTGATCTGAACTAGTAAGAAACATCCACTTTTGTTCTGGTTCTGACATTGCAGTAAATCGCGCTGATTAAATCTAACAATCGCTTATAAGTTATCATATCACGCAAAACCGTGTAAATTATACTTTGTTCTCAAATTGTTAATGTTATCAATGTAAGCAAGCATTGCGTGGGTCCGGTTGCAGTCTCTTTTTTTCTGTAGCCACTCCGAGGTCCGAACGAAGTCTGTTGCATTTTACAGCGGGTGAATCTGTTGTCACTGGTGATTGTCGTTTGAACCTTTCTGGATCCGCCATCAAATTGTTAAGTTTAATTATATCAAGTGCTGTGAGAAAAGGCTATAAATCTCCACCTCCAGCATCCTCACACGCAATATAGCCTATACTAGCCGAGACTCCTTTATGTGTACAGATGTGACATAATGACGCAAAGACATGCTCGAATCTCCCGCGGAAATCCACCAGTACCACTGGAGTTAAAAACATTAATACAAGCTTACCGCTTTGAATCGAGCTAAGGCAAGCAGATAGTTTTGAACACTGGCTGGTTATGTATTTTCTCAAATATGTATTTTGGATAATTTTTAACCCCAAAAAAGCTACGGACTGCAGCTTTAAGTTATTTCAGCTTTATTTCAATTCACTTTTTTTGTAATTTTTGTTTTAGTTAACAATAAAAACGCTGCAGGTTATAGGAAAGTTTAATGAGCAAAATACAACAAAAATAAACATTTGTATCCATAGTCTATATTCAATAAAGTAATAAACAGCTGAGTACCGAGATACTCCCACAAACCATCCCCAAACAAATCCTGAGATATCTACAAATCTATAATTTTGGTCCAACAAAACATTTTTGTCCAACTCAACAGAAATAAACAGTTTCTAGAAATTAAACCTAGCCTCTGATTCACTGTGTTTTGATCCTTTTAGTGGTGTCTGAACATGTCAGCAATGAAATATATAGTCTGATGAAGGCATATGTCACTCCCAGTGCGCAGTACACTGAGGTGAACATCAGAGGGAGGAAGGGGAACGTCTTCTGCCAGACTGTCAGCGGGTAAACAAACTCACAGATGAGCTCCAGAGGAATCAAGCCCAAGAGATACGTGGCTTCCAGCGGGTTCAACAAAGACCCACCCTTCCTGAAAAAAAATCGCATAAAGAATGAATTACATTACCAATCGTTTAATTAAACATCAAGTCCAATAATCCCATTTTAAATACTGACCTGAACAGCGTTTTTAGGGAAGTGAAACTGAAGATTGTAAACAGCAACATTATAAATATTTTAAGGGGCAACTCTGGAATTGAGAATGGAAATGTTTAAGAATTATAATCAGTGAAGAATTATAAAAAATGCTTTTTGTATATGAGTGGAATATTCCTAAATGCGACATACCTTGGGTTGTGAAGAGGAGTGGAAATAAGGAATAGTGACCAGTAATACTGAGGATAAGAAAAATCCTGGCATCTTCTCTACTCTCCACAGCGAGCAAACTGAAAAACAAGAAACTGTTTTTGAGAGTAGGTGGCTGGCAGGACATGCTTATGTAAGGATACCATCATCAGAGGATCACCTTAAAGGAAGTATGACCATCAGAATGGCTTTCTCATGTACATGCCAACCAAACATAAAGGATCCAAGGGCACAAATGACAAGGCAGCGCAAGAATCCTCTCGCTCCATCAGGTCTATGCCATATCCTGAGAAGAGCAGGCTGCAAGAAACAAAGTGACAAAAATGGTATACACTATAGTTTCTGTCTATATTCAGAGTAACAATGGAAATCAAAAAGAACTCACCAACACTGACAGTAACGTACAAGCAAGGGTTGCTAAAGGAGAAACTGAAGGAAGCACAGAGTGCTGAAACTCTTGAACCAGACCACCAGTCATCGAGGCCTTGGGAAGTGTGTTTGTGTCAAGCAGTTTCAATTTCACACCTGAATAAGTGAATCAGTAACAATCAATGTAAAAAAAGGGATAAAAAAAAACACTCTCATAAAACATACAATCAAATTAATCTATCTATTGTTTCTATTTTATCTACAGTAATACAACACAATCATTGGAGTTACTGAACACACCCAGAATGGAAAAAGCTTTATCTGCTATATTGTAAAGCGCCCAGATGTTTGGTGCCCAGTACGCATGACACAGGCCACGTTTGAAGGGGAAGAGTCGTGACAGGACTTGTGGAAGCTGACCCTATTAAAGACCAATACAATTTATTAGTGAACCTCTGTTATAAAATAAAAACAATTTTTTTTTCTTTTTTTTAAAAGAAATTAATACTTTGATTCAGCCATTTCAAATAAATGCCGTTCATTTGAACTTTCTATTCATCAAAATATTTTTTTTATATGTTAGATATACCGGTTACAAACCAGTGCTATAAAGGGTCCAAAAGACACTGCAAAAGTAGTCAAGACAATAGTTCCTAGTGCAACCAGTCGCAAGGGACTGAATCCTCTCCACTGCAAAGACCCATCTGAAAAATAAGAAAAATATACAGTACCGGTCAAAAGTTTGGAAACATGACTATTTTTAAGGTTTTTTCGAAAGAAGGCTCTTATGCTCACCAAGCCTGCATTTATTTGATCAACAATACAGAAAAAAACAGTAATATTGTGAAATATTATTACAATTTAAAATAATGGTTTTCTATTTAAATATACTTTAAAATATAATTTATTTCTGTGGTGCAAAGCTGAATTTTCATCAGCCATTACAGTCTTTATGATCCTTCAGAAATCAATCTAATATGCTGATTTGATACTCAATTATCATCATGTTGGAAACAGCACAACTGCTTCCAACATTGATAATAAATCAGCATATTAGAATGATTTCTGAAGACTGGACTGATCACAGAAATAAATTATATTTTAAAGTAATAATATTTCACAATGTCACTGTTTTTGTGTATTTTTGATCAAACAATTTGTAATTTTTAATATTTTTTCCGATATTCTGACAAAGACCATTATTTACCTGCATTGTTCTGGGTGAAACAAAAACATCTCAGCAGGAAGATACCGTATGCAGGAGCGATGTATAGATATATATGCTTCAAGTTTAGAAGTATTGAAAACAGCAAAGCCCCCTCTAAGTGTCTATTCTGTCAACACAGAAAATCATAAAGACATTCTGAGTCAAAACAAAGTCCAAGTGAAATTCAAATAAAACACATGTATGATACAAATTTAAATAAAATTCCATATTAGTTATGTCTTAAAACTCTCTAATTACCACACAGAAATTAGAACCAATACCTGGAAATGTCTTGCTATTGATAGAAGTAGAACTCCAAACAGGAAGCCATTATACTGAAAATGAATATCTGCAGGAATTTAGTCAAGTGAAATTAATTTCAGGTTAGGAAAATGGCATGTCTGAGCCACAGCAGGGCATGCATGACTTGGCTTATTAATGTGCAAGATCTCCAAGGATACGGTCAACAATTAGAAGGCCAAAGTTCCACAGTACTAACACTGTCAGAATGAAAGATGGCTTTCCCAGAAGGTCCTTTCCTTTGTCTTCTCGCAAACATTTGCAGCATCTAGAAAAGTACAATGTACTTCATCCCAGATTCAACATTAGCAAGCCCCTAATATGGTCTTTCTGTAAAAGTATCTTTAAAGGATAAAAAGACAACGGTACAAAAACTAGGCTACTTGTTTTGATCAAATTGTGCAAAGATAAGTAACATATTTTTTAAAATAAGTATCATGTAGAAGCTACATACTCTTTAACAGCATAAATCAAGACCACATCAGCTGCAATGACTGACAGCCTTTGGAACAGGACTGTGGCTGGACTTGCATAATTCAGATTCTGAACAACCAGCATCTCCTTATCAAAAAATCGGGCAATATGAGAAAGTCCATATTCAAACCAAGCAAACAGGGGAGGATAATCCAATGTCCATTCAGATGTTGCCTGAAAATATATAAAATAAACCACAAAATAAAAACCGTGTGTAACTTATGTGTTACATAATTGTATGAAAACTGTATGTAATCCATATGACTACCTCATAATACCACTGTGATACTGGCAGACTGTGAGTCAGGGCAAGCCAGTTCCTATGTACTTCAAAGTCCGTAGAGTGGCTGAAATATAACGATTTTTAATTAAAATGTTACATCACATTATTGGACATTATGTGACGCAACGGAATTATTTCCACTTCGTTAAAGGAGGACAGAATGAATGAATCTCGAGTATTTGCTCGCTCGTCCAACATATCAAGGAGTTTTAGCTTTGAATGTGGTGATCACAAGAGAGGAAAAATATATAACGTTAATGTGCGGAAAATTTCACTTACTAGGCATTTATCAAAAGACATTTGAGAAATGAAACACAGAGAGCCAAAGCAAAAAAACAGCTATGATCGTTAGGCATGGGCGCAGCCATGACAGTTTCCTTGACAGAAGAAAACTTTATTTCTAAATGGCGAATTACAACCTTTGTGTGGCACAAAGTTGCTGACATTATCAAGTTCTCCAGCAGGGGGCCCATGACGGCTCAAAGCGCAATGTTCCTTTAAGACAAACTTATATATCAGGACGTTTTTGGTATATCGACGGAGATTTTTACACTCAAAATTATAATCTTTTTAATCTGAAAATTCGAAAGCTGGTCGTTACAAAATAAAATCAGCCTCAGAAATCTCTTATCCAATCCAGCACACACAACGACTGTGATTGGTCAATCTTAAAGGGATAGGTCACCCAAAAATGAAAAATTTGTCATCATTTACTCAGTCCAGTTTTTTTAAGCCAAAATGGGGGTCAACCTAGAACAAATTGCAACAGGACATAATGAGGTTACAAAATCAGTTGAGTTTGCTTCTGAGTAAGGGGGGGAAAAAGCCAAGAAGAATCCCATTAGGGGAAAGTTTCGAAAAAGACACAAGACATTTTCACCTGGCTGTACCAGGTCATGTTTAGATCTGGTTTAGATCTGTTTGTGGTATTTATGCAAATTAACACATACTAGATTATGCACCGTTTGCCCATGTTAAGAAATTTCAAACAACTTTTTTCAAACAACTACATTTTCTGTTTTTCTTGATGTAAGTAATCAACTCAGTCATTTTTATGGTGATATCTAAAGGTTAGAATTTCTACCCTATTCACGTGAGAAAAAGAATGAATAGGCGAATGAATATTTGGGTCTTTTTCGAAACTTTCCCCTAATGGGATTCTTCGGGGCTTTTTTTCTTCCTTACTAGACATTGAGGATGAGGATACAAAATCAGTTGAGTTTGCTTCTGGTGCAATTTGTTCTACCCTTTTTTCATAAAATGACTGGACTAATGTCCAAACCTGTATGAGTTTCTTTCTTCTGTTGAACACAGATGTCCATATTATTATTATTATTTTATTCCTACGATGGACGTCGCTGGCTACTGTCAACTGTTTGATTACCAACATTCATTAAAATATCTCTTTTTGTGTTCGACATAAGAAATAAACTCATACAGGTTTGGAAACAACATCAGTAATGATCACAAAATATTCATTTTTGGGTGAAAGTTATCTCTTTAACAGCGCTGAGAAAAGTCTTTAACGTAGCGGTCTGCGGTGGATAATAATTTATGTTAATTATCACAACGATAAACTTTAATAGCAGTTTATTTAAAAATATACAGTGAAAGATGGAAATTATTATTTAGACCCGCGGCCGTCGCGCTTTTTGAGACAAATATCCGGGCCGCTAAGCGTTTCATGCTAAACTGCCTTTCTAGTTGCTTACTTACTCTAGTCTACCAGTACGACTTCAGGAACTCCACCTTCTTTTACAATCTATCGAAACGTCATAGACTGAACCAAACCAGGAAACCACATAGTAAACGAAGAGATCTGGAGCTTTTTTTAATCGACTTGACCCTGAAAGGTGTGTACACAGTGACGTTCTGCCCTGAATGCAAGAGGAAGGACACACCAGAATAGATTCGTCTTTGCCATTGCTGAGCCATTTGCAAAAAGTATAGAAGCTAAAGGCCCATTACAATTCCATTCACACAATAATCCTATATTTATTTAGTTTAGCCATATAACTTTTTATAAAACAATGTCATGTTGGGGAACATTTATACGGAGACAATACCAGTTCTCCTCGCTGTTAAAAATGCATCAACTCAACCTTCAACCAATGTGTCAGCGGAGAGGTAAGTGTTGTTCGACCGACTGACAGTGCAGTAAAGTAAGTAACTTAACCCAATTCAAGGACTTACAGACCAGACGTATGTTTCCTTTCAGGATTGCATAAAACTACTGCTTTCAAAACATATGATGTGAGAAAAGTGGAGTTAACGCCACTGGAGCAGAGGAAACTGACGTTTGATTCCCATGCGCTCGTGAAAGAGCTGGAATCCAGCGGTATGTAGCCTATGGGCAAGCCATTGAAATATTTATTTCGTAAAATCTAACTACTATCTATTTTACTATGTTGTATTAATTTTCATCTAATTTATTTTTAAATTCTTGATTTTTTTATATTTAACATTTAGATGTATGCATGCATGTAAGATTAAAAATAGATATTTGAAATTAAAACAATTTATTTACATTTACTAAGTGTTTTATATGCTCATTTTACGAATGCACGATATATCGGCCACTACATCAGTATCGGCCAATATGTTAATTTTTAATGTTATCGTTATTATCAGCCCGATAAGAAATCTCATATATTAAAGCCAATATATAATGGATTATTTCCTTCAGCTCAGAGACTTCAGATGCACACTGTTCGTCATGATGGTTTAGAATCGCTTGAAATATGATTGAAATCACTTCAAAAAAGAAAAATAGTTAAGTGCAACATGTGCTGTGCAAGTCTGTCATCTAAGCTACATACAATTTAATAATGAGAACATTATAATTGTGTACTTTTAACATGGCATGGCTTTTATGGCTTTTAATGGTGAGACTTGTTTTTGTAATCATGCTCTCAAAAATTATATAAAAATTTGGATTTAGATTTATCGGCCAATATATCGGTTATCGGCTTTCAAATATAAAGAATTATCGGTGATCGGTATTGGCCAAAATGTCATATCGGTGCATCCCTAGCTTATAGATCTTGAAAAATTGGGCAGTTTTGTTAGATAATTGTTCAAATATGCTTTATTTTACATTCTACCCTGCATATGTAATCCAGGCTTTGAGAAGAGGCAAGCAGAAGTGATTGTCTCAGCATTGGTGACACTTACCACAGCCAATATGGACATTGTATACAGAGACATGGTCACTGGAGCCCATCAGGTAAATGAATAACAAAACTGCTGTCAGCAAAAATGACTTTTAATGAACCCCAATGAATGATATGGTTTCTTCATTTGCGTTAGGAAATAGCTCTACAACAAATCATGGCTCATCTAGACGCTATCAGGAAAGACATGGTTATCCTGGAGAAGAGTGAATTTGCCAACTTGCGTTCAGAAAATGCAGTAAGAATAAAGTTTAAACCTGAATTTCATCCTTTGTTTTTGGCTCTATAATCAGAATAAATACAAAATTAAAGACAAAACCTGTTGAAGTTTAATTTGGTTCTTTACCTTCTCTAAAATTTCACACTTTAGAAAATGAAAACAGAGCTGGAGCAAATACAGAATAGACTACTGGTAGGTAAAATGTGTGAATTTCAATAACCATTCTGCACAATACATGTTTCTGTTTAATGTAAGCTTTATTTATTTCTTTTTTATGTTTACATTGAAGGAAGAAAGTCAAAAAATCAGAGCAGATGCAAAGTTAGACATTAATCTGGAGCGAAGTAGAGTTACAGACATGGTATGTGTATGTTTAACATTTTAACTGTTTGTATTGTTTGTATTGTTTTTTTTTTCTTTTTCACAGTATTTTTTGTATTCCAGTTTACAGAACAAGAGAAGAAACTTATGGAGGTTAGAACAGAATTCCAAAAAAAGGTAAGGTTTAAAAAATGGTTGTGATCATACAGCATGTTTTCACTAAGATTTACCAGGAAGAATTTTCTATTCAGTGTAATTACTTTAAGCTTTTATTGCAATTATTCATATCCAAATCGATACACATATTATTACAAAGTCATTTTTAACCTCAATTTTACAGAATGCAGATATAGAGAGTGAAGCAGTGGAAACTTCAAAGAAAATAGATATACAAGTAGCCTCGTTGAAAACCCTCCTGGAATCCCTCAAGCTAGAGACTGTTAGATATCTTGCAGGTACGTACTGAAGATTCTTTTCAAACAGATGACAGCTATCTGTGATTCTGTACATATATTTGACTGATGTGTGACTTGTTTGCAAGTCCTTCAGATAAGACACTGAATTTGATAACAGATAAATAAATTAATCAAGTGCTTTGTTAGTGGCTTAGGTTGTTGATGTAATTTAAATGTCTTTTTATAAGAACATAATCTAAACTGTAAATTGAATTATTTTTTTTATTTTTTTTATCATTGTTGTTATTTTTCACAGCATGCATCTTCACCTGCTTGGCAATTGCCTTGGGATTCTATCGCTTCTGGAAATGAATCTCACAAAACTGGGAGAGATTTAATGGCCAGAGTTTTATCTAAAAAGTTTTGCCATTTGTTTTAATCATGCTAATGTATATTTATTTTATTATATTTTCGATATTTCAATATTACTTGTTTTTCATGTGAGAATCATAAATCTGTTTGTTTATTTTTTTTAGACCAGAATTTAGATTATATGGCATGGTTGGCCAAATCAAAAGTCATCATAGGCCAACTTTGGCCCACATGTCCTGGTTTGGGCATTTCTGCTTCAGACCAAAGTGCATTCATGCTAAGTTGATATTTCGAGGTTCTGATTTGTAAAAAGTGTTCACATCCTCTTAGAAATCGTATTTTCAACTCTGATGTACCATATGTCCGCTGGACCACCTCAACAGCTCAGAATAGAATGTTTAATTACAGTTAATACGACATGGTGTGAACACAGCTCAATCACAGAAATTCCAACAATTGTCTTTTTTTAATATTGCCAATAAATGCTCAAGATTTTGGACAATGCCACATTTTTTACATTGTATTTGTAAATGTATTTAAAGTTACCATGAAATTCTTATTTTTTATGGAATGTTAAAGGTTATTAAAACTGAATCTGATATATTGGAGTCTTCATTTCACTTAATATCTTGAAGCATAAGATATTGTATTTTCTACATATTAGGATAAACATTTTCTCAATGGGTTACATTGTACCTTTACAAAGCATAGCGCACACTGGTAATAAATTAATTCAAACATTTATGTTAGTAATAACAATTATCAAGTTGTTAGCAATGATACGGCTAAAATGACCACATAAGCTTGATTTAGTTTTTTGTTAGCACATTATTCATTTATCATCAACAATGTCCATTTTGAGGGTCCAAGACCACCAGACCAATATCACACTGGTTCTGGATCTTAGACCTCCATCATATCACTGTAACTTATCTTCGAAAAGAAGTCATATGGAAATATGAACAGCTTTTACTATGTTGGTTGAGCAAGGTTTTTTCTACTAAAGTAAAATAAATTTTGTTGAAGGGTTTCTTTTAACATGAGTGCTAAACTAAATAGTTTAAATATAGTTATCAATTTTATTGGACGCATAATATTCAAACAGACACACATGATATTGTAATATTCAGGACAGAATAACTGAACAGAGAATGTTCCATTAGCACTGAAACTTTATTTAGGATTATGCATAAAATGACAACTTTAAATCAGTCAAAAAACACACAATAATCACTTTTCACACGACACTATTTCTTCTTTAGATTTTTATTGAATATTCCGCATAAAGCAAAATTGCCCTTTGAAACCTCTGCAAAAGGAGAGAAAAAAAAACACCCTGAATTTTTTTTTTTCCATTTTGAACTAAACACATTACTCTGAACCAAATACAGTAGTAAACTCTGAAATAACTATTTACATATTGAGGACAAGGAAATTCTCATAATATTTATAATTTACAATCGGCCCCACACCTGGATTTAGGGGATTATCAATTACTGAAAAGGGGTTTCCCTAGTTTAAAAAAAAAAAAAAAAGAAAGTCTTTCATAAATTAGTATTCAACCACTGTTCACCATTCTCAAAGTTAGAACAAATGTCTCATTCTGAGAACCCAAAAAATTCAAACCTTTTTTTTTTTTTATCAATACTACACAAAGAATACCAAAAATATCTTTATTTATAAATTAAATTATACATATACATTTACCCACAAATGTACATATTTTGCAGTACATTTCATTGGGCATTCACATGGCAAAAAATACCTGATTAGTGCAGGCAAATACAAATACAAAAATGTATTTAAAGTGACTAGCTGAGGTCCCGGCCCCAGAGCACTGCAATATAAAAATATCCTTCTTTACAAAAACACAAAAGACCAGCTAAAGTAACCACAAAAAAGTGGCTAAAGAGCAGCAGAGTTAGAAAATAATTGCACTGGTTTGTGATTCGCCTTCTAACTTAACCTGAACCTCCTCTTCTACCATTGGTGCATCCGTATCGTCCTCGGGGGGCTCTTCTTTAATACTGGAGCATGACACCTCATCACCCTGCTCTTGTTTCAGGAAAGCGGTTAAAGGGTTTTCTGTAAGCATTTTATTGGGTGAGGGTGTGCAGTCCACAAAGGAGGATGTCTACAAAAAAAGGGAAGTGTTTTAATTGCCTACATAGAAATTATTTTACACAAATGAAATAAAGCTTTACACAAAAGCAGAATCCAAAATACAGCATGTTTCAGCCACAGGACTTCAATATGTAGGTGTGATGCATGTTAAGATTATGGCATTCTCCATATGAAGTACAAACAAGACAAACTACAAATCAACACTTACATTTTTGTAGTCTTCATAACATGAGGGATGATATGTCTAAAAGAGGGGGGAAAACAATTGTTTTTATCAAACATCAAAGCCACTGCTATTGAAGGTACAGTATGCGATTTTTCAAACTTGTTAAATACTTGATATTTGAAATCAACCTAAACAAACACCCCTCCCTTCATTGCTCCGAACATGCAATGCAAGAGTGTCTCTTATCATAGCAGAAGCAAAGCAAAATAAAGCGAAGATGAAGAACAAACTACAAGCACAAAAAAAAAAAAAAAAGTTCACAAAATACACTCACCTAAAGGATTATTAGGAACACCATACTAATACTGTGTTCGACACCCTTTCGCCTTCAGACCTGCCTTAATTCTATGTGGCATTGATTCAACAAGGTTAGCATCGGATAGCATCGTGCAGTTGATGGAGATTTGTGGGATGCACATCCAGGGCACGACGCTCCCGTTCCACCACATCCCAAAGATGCTCTATTGGGTTGAGATCTGGTGACTGTGGGAGCCATTTTAGTACAGTGAACTCACTGTCATGTTCAAGAAACCAATTTGAAATGATTAGAGCTTTGTGACATGGTGGAAGTAGCCATCAGAGGATGGGTACATGGTGGCCATAAAGGGATGGACATGGTCAGAAACAATGCTCAGGTAGGCCGTGGCATTTAAACAATGCCTAATTGGCACTAAGGGGCCTAAAGTGTGCCAAGAAAACATCCCCCACACCATTACACCACCACCACCAGCCTGCACAGTGGTAACAAGGCATGATGGCATGTTCTCATTCTGTTAGGGCATGTTCTCATTCTGTTAACGCCAAATTCTGACTCTACCATCTGAATGTCTCAACAGAAATCGAGACTCATCAGACCACGCAACATTTTTCCAGTCTTAAACTCTTGCAGGTCTTCTGCAGTTGTAGCCCATCCACCTCAAGGTTGTGCGTGTTGTGGCTTCACAAATGCTTTTGCTGCATACCTCGGTTGTAACGAGTGGTTATTTCAGTCAAAGTTGCTCTTCTATCAGCTTGAATCAGTCGGCCCATTCTCCTCTGACCTCTAGCATCAACAAGGCATTTTCGCCCACAGGACTGCCGCATACTGGATGTTTTTCCCTTTTCACACCATTCTTTGTAAACCCTAGAAATGGTTGTGCGTGAAAATCCCAGTAACTGAGCAGATTGTGAAATACTCAGACCGGCCCGTCTGGCACCAACAACCATGCCACGCTCAAAATAGCTTAAATCACCTTTCTTTCCCATTCAGGGTATATGCAGGAATCTTGAAGTTAATTTTAATACCTTTTTAAGACTTTTTCAAGACCTTCTCAATATTTTTTAATACCTCACCGCCACTTCAAGCTGTAACCATTTACATCAGTGATACTTTTAACTTAACAGTTTTAGTTTGTGATAAAGACTATATACCACTCTGATAAAAAAAAAATCAAATAGGATGGGATAGTAAATCAAAGCAAAGTTTATTAAAAAACAAAACTTTGCTCCACCCTCAACAACAATCATGCTGACATGTGCCTCAGTTCTTCGTTTTTTTTTTTTTTTATAAAAATTACTAAATTCACACACTTTTACGATGTTTTTGGGACTCAAACTGTTGGACAGCTAATTCAGAAAAAATTAGGGATGCACCGAAATGAAAATTCTTGGCCGAAACCGAAAACCGTAAAAGAGGAACCCAAGGCCGGAAAACCGAAAACCGAAACACCGAAAGAAATTATGCCAATTATAAGTACCATTGCATTTATGGTTATGACTGTGTACAAACTTTACTAAAATCAAGGCATTGCAATTGCACAAATTAACATTTTCAAAGAATAAATCCATTACAAATTATGCAAATATTTATTTAGCACAATGCACAGTATAAAATAAAATTCAAACTAAAATGTTTAACTTGACCCCACTCATGTGTACATTAAATAATAATCTGCTGGCCTGCAGAAAGGTTTTAAAATTAAATGTTCTCTCATAAAAACAAAGCTGAGCACGAACTTATCACACCAGCACCCAGTTTGCACGTCTAAATTAGTTGATTACATTTTAAAAATGAGCATATACTAGCATAAAAAGCCATTTTAATGAACAAAGGTCCATGTTTAATACAAATGTACACGAAACTTAATGAAATATGTTTAGTGAAATTAGAAAATATTTAAGAGAGCGTTAATTTAGTACATATTCCTATACATATTTTGTTGTAATGTCACAAGTAATAATCTCAGGTTTACATGATTATTTTTGAATTGGTGGTGGTAGGCTACTAAAAAATAAACATTGTCACGTGTTTATCTTTCTTCTTTACACCGATTCCTGATGGTTAGAGGACAGTTACTTGAGTCGTCCCCTGTCGTTTCAAAGAATAGTACAACGGCGAGCGCGTCAAGTCGCCTCGACCGTTTGGAGAGGTAACGTTACGCGCGCTGTCTTTGGAGACTCGCGCTGCAGAGGCAGGCGAAATAAACAAGGCTTCCGTCTCCTCGCGGGTTCAGATATACTGAAATACGTCCACACCGCAGACATGTTGCTTCAGACAAGCACGTGCAGGTCGCGGTTTCTGTTTGCGTCATCACAACATTTCACATCATAAAAGTCTTTCGGCCGAAAACCAAAAATGCACTTTTGGGCTATTTTCGGACGAAAATTTTCGGTGGCCGAATATTCGGGGCATCCCTAGAAAAAATACTTTCAAAATTTAAGACTTTATAAAGCCGTGATAAGACTTTTTAATACTTTTTAAGGGTCTTAATTTTCCCAAAATTGATTTATCACCTTTTAATACTTTTCAAGACCCCGCGGATACCCTGCCATTCTGACATTCAGTTTGGAGTTCAGGAGATTGTCTTGACCAGGACCACACCCCTAAATGCATTGAAGCAACTGCCATGTGATTGGTCGATTAGATAATTGCATTAATGAGAAATTGAACAGGTGTTCCTAATAATCCTTTAGGTGAGTGTATATACAAGCAAGGTTTGTTGTTAGTCGCCA